CGAAAAATAGAAGCGTAAGTGTTTCAAAAGGTTTAATGGCGGTGGCAGATGTGAAGTTAAATTCACCAACTCAAACAAACAGTCAAAGTGTTGTTGTCAATGTCAAAGACAGAGATGTTGAATTGGGGAAACCATACGAAGACGAAGATGGTATAACAATTGTTCCTGTAAAAGAACCAACATATCCTGAAGTTAGCAGAGACTTAAGTTCTGTTGCAGATATTCGAAATGACTACCAACAACTGAAAGACAAACTTCAAACTCAGGAGAAGATTTGTCAAGCTTTAAGTATAATGTTAAACTTGGTCGAACACAACCCTGTAAAAGTGAACTCATATGTCATTGCACCTCATGAAGTTTTGAAAGAACTATTGAAACTTTTGACAGAGGCAGACGATATAAACATCAAAGAAATAGAACCCGACATTAGTTGCTGTGGTGTTTCATATAATGCCATTGACAAGATATACGTTATGAAAGGAGGTGAAACGTTGAACTTAAAATATAGTTTCCCAGACGTTATAAAAATATTTGACGACCACAACATTTCATTAAAATTTATTTGCTAAGTAAATGGCAGAAGACATAATGGTTTATACTATTACGACTAAAAACCCTGAGTCATATAATTCTATAACAACAAACTTACAAAGTCCTCAAGGACGATATTGTAAACTAACCTTAAACACAATGACGACTAAAGCCTGTTTTGCTCTTTTGACACCAGAAGACTTTATTGTTGTGAATGGTAAAAAATACTCCTTTGAAGATACTTACTCAGATATACCACCAACAGGTTTTGTTGACTTATTTAATACTTTAAGTACGGGTGTAACATGTGCTGCAACTAGAGCAGGTTTCATTATGTTTGGATGTCCGACTGAGTTTACTATAAACGATATGAGCTATAATACAAAACTTATTTCTGGTTTTTACTACCAACAGTTTCCCATAACAGGAAAAGGTGTCATACAAGGAATGTCTATTCCATTGACATTAAGCACACCAATCTTATATATTGTTTCAAACTTAGGTTCAAAGTGTTATTCGAATGTCGACAGAAACTATTATGACCAAAAGATACTTATGCGTATAAACAATACTTTCTCTGCTGGTTTGCCTATTGTTCATTCGAATGCAGAATTTTCAACCTTAGTGAACTCAAACACTTTGGCAAGTATAACGTTGACATTAGTTGACGCAAACTTTGTTCCTGTAAAACTTTTATGTCCTATGTATTTGTCAATGACGGCAGAAAGTTTCGAATTGGAAGATGCAACTGGTGAAAGTATTGTATTACAAGAACAACTTCAACAACAAATAGCTCAAGAACAACAAATGCAACAAATGGAACAACAAAGTCAAGAATAAAAAAAATATTATTTTTTTATTTTTATAAAAATGTACAGAATAGATGTTTCAGATTTTTATGACTTCCAAGCATTCAGAAATATGTGTCCATTTAGAGATTATAACAAAGCAGTCGAGAATTTGAAACGTTTAGTCATTTATGTTGACTCTGCCCCAGAATGTTATGTCATGAAAGAATGGGATGTTGTCTTTAACAAACCAAGAGCAACAATAGTGTCTGAACAAGAATGTAGACAGAAACTTAAGAAAATAAAAGTCGTACAAGTTGGAATGAAGATGTTAGATGCTTGGGATATCTTATTGTCAAAGTTAGAAGATTTTTCAGTTCGAGGTATAAAGTTCTATACACCTTCTCCAAACTTCTATTCTATCTTCACTGGATATAAATACGAACAAGTAGAATGGAAAGAAAATGTTATAGAAGCTTGGTTAGACCATGTCAAAGAAATTATATGCAATGGAAACGAAAAGGTTTATGAGTATATCTTATGTTGGTTTGCAAACATCTTACAACATCCAAGTGCTAAAAATGAAACTGCTCTCATTATAATTGGAAAACAAGGAACAGGTAAGAACACATTCTTTACAGATATTTTGTGCAAACTGTTAGAGGGCTATTCGAATCCGAATATGACAAACTTAGAAAACATCTGTGGCAAGTTTAACTCCTCAATAGAGAATATGAAACTTATAGTTTGCAATGAACTTCAAAGTATAGATACAACAAAAGTTTTGAACTCAGATGCTTTGAAGAGTCTTATAACAGACAAAGTTGGAGTTGTTGAAAGAAAGTATAAAGACCAAAGAGTTTGTGAAAATGTTGCAAACTTCATTATGGTTTCAAACAATGTTGTTCCGATGAAGTTAGAAAGTTCTGACAGAAGATATGTAGTTGTCAGAACGTCAGATTCTCATATGCAAGATACAGAATATTTTGACGACTTAGCAGAAACTTTGACATCTGACTTTTACAACCACTTGTTCTCATATTTCATGACATTAGATATTTCTAAGTTCAATCCAAGACAAATTCCACATACCGAAGAGAGACAAACATTGTTAGAAGCAAACAAGAGTGTATATGAACTGTTCATAGATGAAACTGACTTTGTGTCATTAGATGAAAGGTCATTGTACGATTCGTATAAACAATATTGTCAAGAATATGGTTATATGGCAGCTTCTAAACGAACATTCTTGGCAAATGTCAAAAGTCTTTTAGACGTACAGAATGGTGTATATACAAAGAAAATTTTTTCTGAGTAAATTTTAAAAAAAATATTTTTTATCCGATAGAAAAAGATGGCAAAATTCATCTCAGTAAATAAGTATATGACAGAAGTCAAAGATAAGTTAGCTCCATTCGCATATTTGAATGTTTACTTCTACAATTTTGAAAAGTCTACATTTGACAAAATTTGGAACATTGCACCAGTTAAGTTTGCTGTTGTTAGAAAAAGTGGTGCAACTTTTGAAGACTTAGACATAGAAGGTTTGTTAACAGTCAAAGAAAATTTTGACAGAAAGTTCTCAAAACTCGAAGAAGGTAAAGCATACAAACTTGTTATACCTTATGAACCAAAGAAAGCAGACGACTATGAATATTATGAGTCTAAGATAGTTGAAGTTCAAGGTAAGTTGGGTAAAAAGATTTTAGAGTCTAAGCCAGTGTTTACTCCTAAAGAGGAAGAGAACATTGACATTGACCCAGAAATGTTCTAAAAATAAAATTTTATTTTTACATGTCAAATTTCTTTTTCTCTGGAACTGGTTCAGGTTCTTTCTTCTCTTCTTCTACTTTCTTTTCTTTCTTTTCTCTCTTCTTCTTTTCTGGTGGAGTTATGTCAAATTTGGCGCAACCATATTTATGTAAAAGTTCTTTGTCCTTTAATAGCTCATCTATTCTGTTTTCTATTTCATCTTCAAGAACAGCGCATGTGTCTTCTTTGCATTCTAAGAACTTTTGTTGGACTTCATCTTTCCAATCGGCGTCATCTCTGTCAACAAGTCTGTCATTGACAAATTTTAAGACTGCTCTGCTTAATGTTTTATGGTTCTTGTCATATTCCCAGAAACAGAACTTTAGAACAAATTCACCTTTCTTGTTTACACTATGTAAGATTTTATGGTCGACAGATGTTTTGCTGTCAAAAAGCTTGTCTCGAATATAGATAGCGAAATCGCTAGACATTTTCTAAAAGATAAAAATTTTAATTTTTCTAAAAATATGTTAGAAAAAAGTTTGCTGACATTGACAAAAAATTTGAGAATGTTTTGAAGAAGAACAAGAAGAAATTAGAAAATGCTCAGATAAAACCTATACATGACAAGTTCTTATTTGCTCAGAATGGTATAACAGGTCTAATTGCACCACCTGGGTCGGGTAAGACTTTCACTTATCTTAAAATGGCTGCACAACAACAAGAACTAGATGAGAAGAACCCATTCTATGAGTTAGTTGTTATTTGTAGTACTTCTGGTCAATTTGACCAAACCGTCAATTCGTTCAAAGATATTATAAAGAAGTCTAAGTTAGTATGTATAAAGGATACTGAGTTGTTAGATTGGATAAAGAAGTACCAAAGAAGAGTTTTGAAGTATAATGCTATAAATGAGTATATAAATTCTAAGTTTAAAGACCCAAATGAGGAAATGCAGAGAATATTAGAGAAGAAACACTTCAGAAACAAACAGAAAGAGATAGAATACATTTCGAAGAAATTGCAATCTTACGATTGGAAGACTTACCCTCATAGATGTCTTCTTATTTTAGATGATTTCGCCTCTCATCCTTTGTTAAAGAATAGAGAACAAGACATGTGTCGAATTCTTAAGAAGCTCAGACACTTTAACATCTCAGTTGTCATTTGTGTACAGACAGCAAAGAGTTTAAGTAAGGATGTAAAGAGAATACTTACTGACATTATACTTTTCCCCGGATTGTCCGAAGACGATTTCATGGAACTTATGAAAGAGTCCATGGCAGGTAAGTTTGACAGACATGAACTATGGGAGAAGTATAAAGTCATACAAGACCCCCATACTTCTTTCAGAATTCATATCTACGCAAACAAAGTTCAAATTGTAAAAAGTCAATAAAAATAAATGGTTCATCTACCCTACTTGTTTGAAGTTGTCAAAATACTCTGTTATTTTTTCTTTCAGTAGCGGTAAGTCTTCTTTGAAGGTAAAAATTGTACAACCTTTCATATCATAGTGTGTTTGAGGTAACGTATCTTGAACTATTTGTTTCACATCTTCATTTGGGGTCATTGAAATCGGTAAGTTTTCACGATAGAACCAATTTCTGTCAGATTTGTAAATCTTAGCAAGGTCGTAAAAGCTTTTGTTGTTTCTTCTGACTAAATGCAACATAACCATATCTTTATCTTCTTCATTTTCCATCTCTTCAGTATAAATCATATACTTATAGTTCTTTTCCTTACCTTTTGGTACCGAACGTGGTATTCTTTTCTGAATGCTTTTGTCTTTTGCTTCAAGTTTGTTTTCCATCTCTTCACGTTCTTGTCTATGAATTTCGTCAAGAAGTCTGTAAATATACCAAGCATAACGAGGCGAAGCCCACATTGCAACAGCATTTACAAGAAGTCTATGTACATAATATCCTCTCAAACCGTTTGGCAATTTTTCACGATTTTCATAGAGTTTTGGCGACTGGGTTTTTTACCTACTCGCTGTTCTTCACTGTTTTCAGAAAAAAGTATGTCTCGCTGTGCTTCGCTCAAAAGTTCTTGTGTGCTTTGGTTCCTAAACCAGTCTTTAGGAAGCTTAGTATCTGGAGCAAAACATGCTGTCAAAATACTTTGCATTTGGTACATATCGTCTTTGACCGAACGAATGAGATGGAGTTGTTTGTTAAACTGTATGTACTCGTATTCTTCATTTATAGCTTCATGGACTATAACTGTTGTTGTGTTCTCTGATGTTGACATATCTGTCTTTACATACAAAATAAAAAAATTTGTTAGAAAAAAATTAGCGTTATTTTCTGACTTTCACAAAAGACCAAAAATAAACGCTTTACATGTATTTTTCAGCAACTTCGTCAAATAATTTTATAGCTTTATCTATCTCATCTACTTCAAACGTTTCTTTACCTTTTATGGGAGCACCATACATTTTCTCAAACTTTTCAAGTAGTTCTGTTTCTGCAGCTCTCATATCATTAACAAACACAACCTTGACTCTATTGACTGTACTGTCATATCTTTGAGTTATATTATATGTTCTTCCTATCTTATATCTCTTTGTATTGAAGTCCTTCGGTTTCTGAACGATGTAAAGTAAGCCTTCACTGCAACGTTCCGTATCGAATGAACCATATGTTATGAAGTTATATCCAACAACTGGGTCTAACCATAACAAAACTATTGGTATAAGACTTTTGTCTATAAGATATGCTGCAGTTCCATAGAATCTTACCGATATCATAAGCTCAGGATTTCTTGTCAAAATTTTCTGAGTAGAAGCATTTCTAACCCAGTGGTTTGTTTTCTTTTCAGATGGAGATATAATGTCTGACAAAGAATATTTGTTGTATTTCTTTGAGTATCTTACGTTTAAATCACCTATTCTAACCACTTTGGTGTCATTGTCTATCTTTCTAACTGTTTCAAACTCAATGTTTGACATATCTGTCTTTACATACAAAATAAAAAAATATTTTATAAAAAACTAACTTTATTTTTTCTATCTTAAGGAAATTCATGAAATTTGGTCATTTTTCAATAAAAATATATTTTAGGTGAAGCCCACATTGCAACAGCATTTACAAGAAGTCTATGTACATAATATCCTTTCAAACCAGGAGCCAAATTCTTGCGATTTTCGTACGGAATCTCTTCTCTCGGTTTTCCGAGGGAAGCAAGCATATGAGGAAATTCATGATTTTTGTGCTGAATTCAATAAAAATATATTTTAGGTGAAGAGGTGAGATTTCACCTGTTTTTTCACCTAATTTTCGCCTCTTTTTTCACAAGCGTTTTACATGGTAAACGTTATTTTTTAAATTTTGTGAAAACTCAACGGTTTGACACATACCCTAAAAATTATTTTACTCAGAATTTTGTTGCTGAATTCAATAAAAATATATTTTAGGTGAAGAGGTGAGATTTCACCTCTTTTTTCACCTAATTTTTCACCCCAGTTATTTTATAAGCGTTTTACATGAATTGTACGATGTATATTTGAAATCCTAAACAGTTTCGTAGCTTCTATTTCTTCTTTTAGTACATCGAATGTTTTAACAATGCCGAAAGTTTCTTTATACTTCTTCTTGACATCAGATAGAAGGAAATCGTCAGCAGTTGGATAGTTTTTGTTCAGAAATTCTAACATGTTCATTTTATCTTCTACCGGCTTCTCTGCTTCTTTCTTTAAGTCTGCATAGTCGTTTCTCATACGTTCTATCTCTTTGACGGAGTAGTTATATTTCCTAATTGCTGCTTTACATTTAGAACATTGCGGGTTCATTTTTGCGTTATATTCTGAAACCTTACCTGCTAAAACAACCAAGGCGTCAATGGTTTTCTTTAAATCTGAAGCAGTTGGTTTTATCTGTTCATTCCATACCTTACCTCTTCTGTCTTTATCTCTTATCTGCCATACACATTTTGCAGCTAATGAAACAAAGTTGTCGTATGTCTTAAACTCCCCAGATTTATATATGTCAGAGATGTTCTTATATACCATGTCGCAATCTTTGTCCATAACTTTATGGTTGCAATGAAAACCAAGGAATTCATAATTTACCTTTCGTATGAACTTCTTTATTTCTACTGAGTCAGTTGGTTTCACTTCAATTTCATCGAATTCAGGAATAGTTAGTTTTTGCTGCTGAATTTCAGGTAGTTTAGGCAAATGGTCGATGAGGTCCTCCATTTCATAAAGATACTGTTCATTTGTTTCATCTTTCGCACTACAGTCTAAATTACTTGTTAAAAGTTCCTGCTTTATTCTTTGTATTTCTGTTTCGAAAGTAAATGAAGAAGGAATGAAGCTTTTCATTTCTACTAACATAGATGTTGGATTCATGACTAACGAGTTTGGTGCTGTAGTTGTTTGAATTGTTGTTGTGCCGATTGTTGACATTTCTGTTCTTTTATACAAAATAAAAAAATAAATAAAAATAAAACTAACTTTATTTTTTCTATCTTAAGGAAATTCATGAAAATTCAAGAGGGTGAAAAAACAGGTGAAATCTCACCTCTTCACCTAAAATATATTTTTGCTGAATTCAGCAACAAAATGAACGAGGTCAGGATGTATGTAAATACCTTTGAATTCATTCATAACACCCTTAGTAAGCTCATAAAATGCTTGTTTTGAGGTCGAGCCACTTTTGGCTCCACCGTATTCTTTCAACCAAAACTCAAGAATTTCCTGCATGAATTTTGTATAAAAAGCAACCGTCTGAATTCAGACTGTTGCTATATTCTTCACAAAATGCCTTATAATACTCTTCCCAGGACTTATTTTCCAACAACTTTCTAAAGTCTTTCCTAAACTGACTGACTGACTGACGGCACAAAGTGGCTTAACGAAAACATTAATATATAAAATTCATGAAAATTCAAGAGGGTGAAAAAACAGGTGAAATCTCACCTCTTCACCTATATTATATTTTTTGGTCCGGGAACAACTTTCTCTCAATTGGAGCTGTAGCATACTCTTTGCGTAAGTGGTTCAGACCTTCTTCGAAGTCTTGGTCTCTCTTGGACTGAGATTGGAATTGGAATTGTTGGGGTGGAGCTTGCTGGAACAACCAAGGGTTGGGGAAGTAAGGCATAGGCTGAGGAGGGTAGTTCGGGAAGCCTTGTGGTGGGTAGTAACCTTGAGGTGAAAATTGGTAGTAATTCGGAGGTACTTGCTGGAACTGAGGAGACTGTTGTGGTTCTTTAGGTTCCTCTGGTTTGGGAATGGACTCGGTTGGTGGGACGTCGGACATTGTTCTGAAACAGTACAAGTATTGTTCTGAAGCAGTACAAGTATTGTTCTGAAACAGTACAAATATTGTTCTGAAGCAGTGCAAGTCTTGTTCTGAAGCAGTACAAATATTGTTCTGAAACAGTACAAGTATTGTTCTGAAACAGTACAAGTATTGTTCTGAAACAGTACAAGTATTGTTCTGAAACAGAAAATTTTTCTCACAAATTGAGAGCTTTTACGGGAAATTTGTTCTGAAAAAGTTCAAGTCTTGTTCTGAAAAAGTTCAAGTCTTGTTCTGAAAAAGTACAAGTATTGTTCTGAAAAAGTACAAGTATTGTTCTGAAACAGTACAAGTATTGTTCTGAAACAGTACAAGTCTTGTTCTGAAAAAGTACAAGACTAGTTCTGAAACAGTACAATGGACAACATCGAGCCATTAGATGAGGCAATTTACCTTATAGAGATAAATGAAGTTGTTAAGCAGTACTTGGGCAAGGACAAAGCCAACAAGTCCCTCGGCTTCTGGTTGTCTGGAAGAGGTGCGCTGAAAATCGAAATTGAAACCGGAATTCCAATTCAAATACCAGAAAACACTCCTGTAGACGACATAAAGGAGATGAAGAAAGAAGCTCTTCTCAAGTTCTTTGCAAAGCGCCCATGGATACAACTTCCAAACAGAGAGAGTCCAATTCCACGAATTATACAAATTCTCAGAGCACTGTTCCACTTCTCGGGTCAGCCGTTCTACATAACCTCAGAAGGCGGCATCCAACCAGTTCAGTAAACCTTAACGTTTAACTTCACTTTTTTTATGTTTTTTGTGAAAGTGTCAAAAATAAATTGTTTTCATGAGTTTTCTACGATGTTAGAAAAAATGTTATTTTCTAATATCTTCACATTCAATACTTTTTCAGCACTTTTCCGTAGTTATATATGAAAGACAATTCGAGATAAAAGTCATAGTACAATGGAATAATATGTTGCACACCATTTGTTGTGAACCAAACTTGAAAGTCAGAGAAACTGTTACTAGATGGTTCGTAGAATTTAGAAGCAAAGTCATAAAAGTCCTTACCAATACATAGAAAACTATTGTTGCTTGAACTGAAACTTGCATGACACATAACATTTTGAGGGTCAAACACGTTTCTATAAACCATCAAATCTGCTGGTGGAAGTATAAATTTAAATGGACCATCTGGTAGTAATGGTTCGTTCTGGTTTAGTAACCGAAGAAATTGTGCCCAATAACGTTTGTCTACTTCCCAAAATAAAAACTCTGTATCTCTTGGAGGGTTAATTTCAATCTTTTGAAATGAAATGGTGGAGTTCATCTTGTCATATTCTAGTTTCAGATAGTGTGTTCCATTTAGTAAAGAGTCGTATTTTTTTTGAAATTCCCAATAATATTTGTTCATTTGAGTTTGAAAGTCATTTAGAGTTTTCTCAAGACTTTCGTCTGAACGAACTGTAAAGATTCTCATTTCGTCAAATTTGTCTATTAGACCATCAGAACCTTTATACTGCCCATGAAAATATACTGCGAACATAAATGCGTTAGTTCTATTTGAAAACAAAACTCTTCTAAATCCTATTGCCTTTGCATCTGAAGGACTTTGAAGCCAACGAATTGGATAGTCAAACCTGTATGCTCGGGATGAAATTTCTTCATCTGAAATAGTCCTACCAGCATTTGTAAAGATATAGTCTAACGGTTTTGTATCTGCTACTTTTGTTCTTTGTTTTTCAACCTGAAGCATTTAATATATGTAAAAATATATTGTTTTAAAATGGTATGCCATTTCATATTTCTCATCTAACAAACAAGTTTCCCAACGGTCTTCTCCAACAAACTCAGCGTACATTTCAAATAAAATAAAAAAATGTCACTTTTTTAAAAATAAATTTTTTATTTCATGCAATGTTTTATTTCTGTGCCGTCTTCAAGTATGCCCCAATATTTCCTTTTCGATATTACATGAACTTCGGAAAATACCTTATCTAGCTTAAAACAGCCCATCTTTTCACCGACCATTCCCATTTCAATGAGTTTGTTGTATCCTTCTTCGTTCGTCATGAGTGCGTCAATGTTCTCATAGTAAACCTTCACTTTGGATTTGACTTCGGAGAAGAATTTGTTGTAGTTGTCAAGGACTGCCTTTGCGAACTGAGGGTAAGACCAATGTTCGACAATAGGTTTTAATGTGGTTACTAAGCCACTTTGACCTTGAGTGAATTCGTACTTCAAAACAAAAGGAGAAAACCTTTCAACAAAGTTGTCGACCTTCTCATAATGTTTACTCTTCATCTCTTGAGGTTTCTTAATGGAATATCCCCATGTCGAATTCATAAGCAATTTGAGTGTCATTGCAAGTTTGGAGTTTGAAGCTTTCCTAATATCATACAGTTGTTGTATGACTTTTCCAACTGTATAGTTCCTTCCCGGGAACTCACCATCTTCGTTTGGAATTCCAGTCGGAATATATTGGACAAACCTCATGTATGCAGCGTTAAGGTCGACATAGTATATCTTTTCATCTGAGTCGAACTTGTCGCAACCAATTGGTCCAGTTTGTGGAAATTCAAGTGAGTCTCTTATCTTCTGAGAAACTTCTCCTGTTATCTCATAAACATCGTCGAAGCAACCTGTTTCATATAAAACCTTCTGACCTAACTCAGATGCTCTCCAATACAATTTGACGTCAATTGGATGTCTCAATGGAAGTTTGTTTATAGCATCTTGAAGTTCTTGCAACCTCATTGGAAGTTCTTCTGGTTCAGGTTGGTATCCGAACATACCAACTCCTTGTGGAACTGTGTACTTCTTTTGTACTAGAACTTTGTCTGGAACAACTTTTGGTCTTGCTAACAATGAAAAGTTTGTTTCGTCTTTTGGTACAAAAGTTTCTGTCAGCTTGTCATCTGGAATTGGTTCCAACAAACCTTTCTCGAAAAGAATGTTTACAGCTCTGACAATGTTGCACTTGCCTTTTCCGAACAATGGGTTTGTAAGACTTTCGTTCAACATGAAGTGGTTGTGGACAATTACAATCTTCAACCATTGTAAGTCTTTGTCAACAACATAGTCGTCATGTGAAGAACCTTTAGCTGTAGGTATGTTGACTCGGATATTGACATTTGCCAACGGTGCAATTTTTGCCAATTGACCTCTGAGAATGTACCTTGTCTTCACACATGACTCAAGATACTTCATCTTCTCATCTGTAACAAGACCAGAGTTCCTGAGACATGTAAGAATACAAGGTTCATTGACAATTGTTTCAATTGAATTGTAAATTCCATACCTTGTCAAGTCAATGTCAGACTTATTTATGAAGGGGAAGTATCCAGCATGTTGTCTGACTGCTTGAGGGTTAGGTTGGTACCATTCGAACTTGACAATTGCAATTCCTTCAATTGCATTCAAAATATCTGAGTCGGAGTCAACCATTTGTTCTCTCTTTGTAGTCTTGAAAGCGTCAAGAAGTTTTGCGGCTGTTTGTTCATTGCCATGTGCATAGTAAATGTGACCATCCAAATCTGTTATGGTCAATCTGAGATTGTGTCCTTTCTTATTTCCGTCTTGAATTGCAGCAAGTACTCCCATGAAGCCTTCTTTGTTCTTTCCTTTGTCAAAGTTTACTGTAAAGGTTCGACCAGATGTAATTTGACTTCTAACTTCACGGTACTTTTCATATGCATATCTTGTTCTTTCCATGGGAGCATGTGCGTCTTCACCTTTTCCTTTTTTCCTTCTCAAAGGATGCAATTGTTCGTCATGTTTCCAGTAGAATCTGGCAAAGCCGTCGTGTCCTTCAACTTGAGGTTCACTAACATCGAAAGGCATGTCCATAAGACGTTCTTCTTCTAACCTCTCTAGTCTGTTTGGATAATTGGCACGTGCTGTTTCCAAATCCATTTCGTAGCGAAGACCAGACAATTTGTCATAGACTTTTATGGGTCTTCCCTTCCTATATTTAAAATTCTTCGAAACTCTCCAACCATATCTTTGCAACTCTGCTTTTATTCTAGCAGACTTTCTATCCATTCTATATGAGGGCATTTTTATAAAAATAAAAAAATATTTTTTCTTTACTTTACATAACCGCCTGCTGCCATAAGTCTTTGACGCCAACCCATACCAGCTAATGAAGGTTGACTTGGTTTAGTTTGGAAACTAAACTTTGGTTTTGGTTTATCTTCAGTTTTTGGTTTTTCTTCTTCTATCGGTTTTTCGTCACTTTTCGGTTCCTCTGACTTTACTTCACTTGCAGGAACAGTTGTGTCGTCAACATCTTCATAAATATCATATGCCATTTGTTTTTGTTTTCCTTTCAACTTTTTGTGTTTGTTGTAAAGTTTAGAATATTTCGACTCTAAGTCAATGAGATGTTCTATAATGAACTGTTGGTCAATGAAGTAAACTTTTCCATCTGTTGTCTCGAAAGCTCCTTCAGACTTCAATATTTTATTTGTGAGAGTCTGTTTCTTTTTTGAGATACTAGCCGTTCCATTTCTATGAAAAGTGACTTTATAGTTAGGGTTTGTATTTCCAGACCTGGCACTTTCTATTATTGAATTTTTCTCTTCATCTGTAAGTTCTTTGACAGGTTTTGACAATGTTTCTGAACTTTTTGTTTGTGGTGTCAAATCTACCGTTTCAACTTCTTCGGTCATTTCATCTCAGTAAAAAATTTTAGTTTGGTTTGTTTTCAACTGGTTGTTTAGGTTTTTTAAGTCGGTCTAAAACTTCCTGAGGTATAGGAAGAACTTTACAAACACGTGGTGTAAATGCTGGAAGCCGACAAATCCATCTTGAACTCATTTGTCTCAATGCTGCATTGTTCATGTCATCTCAGTAAAAAAATTTACATTCCCCACGTTTGAGGCGGTTGAGGTTGGTTATTGTTTACCCACTGTTGTGCATGGTTATATCCTCTGTTAAAGAATCTTTCACCTTGGTCCATATAGTGCCCTGCTTGGTTATAGTAGTCATTTGCTTTGTTATAATAGTTTCCTGCTTGTCTTCCTACATTGTCCATCCATCCTTGAACTTTTCCTCTTGTTTCAGGATTTGGAATAAGATTTGTTGCATCTCGTGCTACCTCCCAACCTTTCTGTACAGTTTGTATAATAGGTTGTGCTTTCTCTTTAAGTATACCTAATGTACTCAAAATCTTCCTTCCAATTCCAAATGCACCTCTGGCTATTGTTCCCACTGCGGGTAAAAATCTAGATGCAACTCCTGCTAATGCGCCAAATAAACCCATTTCTTATAGGGTAAAAAATGACGAATCCGAACAAGGACCCCTATGTTTCTAAAGCGACAAAGAAAGCACTCATGATAAAAATCTTTAGTTCAACACCAAATGCTTGGTTTATGGATATCTTGGAAAACATTCCGAGAGTTAGAACAGATGGACCTCCATACTGGTTAATATTTGTTGGTCAAAACACAAGATACTGTGAAGCCATACCATTATGGTCCAAAAATATTTTAGATGTGAAAACTGCTTTGACAATATTCGTTGACAAATACCATCCAACAAAACTGACATCTGACTGTGAAAGTTCTTTCAAATCAGATGATGTAAAAAACTATCTGCGTTCAAAAAATGTAAACCAATATTTCATTGTCGACCAAAACCATTCTGCTCTTGGTGTCATTGACGGTTGTATAAAAATGTTAAGAGACTTAAACCAACCACAAGGTGGTGAAGCAACTGAAATGTCATATGACGACAAGTATAGACACTTCTCCATGGCAAAGATGAGACAAGTTTTAAATATTTACAATAGCCGTAAACAAAAAGGTTTGGGAAACCACTCCCCCGAAGAAATGAAAAACAACCCTGACTTAGAGAAAGACTATATATTTAATAATTTAGTCAAAAGAGACAAACAAGAAAGAATGCCGGGCTTCAAACTTCAGAAAGGTGACAAAGTAAAAATAGAAATACCTAAACGCGACCCATATGAAAATACTATTGACTATGACAACAATGGGAACCCGACAGGTACTCACATTCGTGTTCGTAAAAATAGAAGAAAGTATACAAGAGAATATTATGAAGTTTTAGGCAAACATGGCAAAATGTACACACTGCAAGCAGAAGATAAAACTACTATTGCCAGACCTCGTTTCAAACTTGTCAAAGTTCAAGGTGGTATACTTTCAAAGACAGTTCCTAACAAATATAAGACAACTCCTGACGAATATGCTAAAGAAGTTGAAAATGACGACTAAGCATTTCTATACCATGCGTAAACTGTCATGTAAGGTGGCATGTAGTCTTTACTTTGTCCCGTTGTTTGTGTATATCCTGAAACGAAATGTGTATGGTTTCCATCTCCCTGAGTGTCACTCCAGTAACCATTTATAGCAAACTTAACGTCGTCTTTAACATCATATCCTTTACCTTTTGTCATTCCTGACCAACCAATATATCTATGACTATGCCAACCTGCTTGAGATGTACTTAAATCTATGTAGTGACTGTGTGCAGGTAAATTTTCACCTGAAATCGTTTTACTTCCACCTGTTTCCTTTGAAGAGTTTGCACAATACAAAAACCTGTCGACTATTTGAGTCCAAGTTCCAAAATCAAGTACTACTTCTGGTCTGGTAGAGTTCATTGAAACATATAATGAGCCAACCGGGTAAATAAGATTCGGCAAAATTTGTTTAAGCACATTGAGTTCCTGTCTTAGATGCATAATACTATTGTCATTAGATATCAAAGTATCTACAAGACTTGTTGCCGGTGGTATTGTTGGACCTTTACTTGGCAAGGTTGTGTTTAGTGTAATATCATCTGCTGTAAAAGTTGTAAAACTTGTATGTGTATGAGTCTTATTTGCTTTAGTGTTTAAGGTTTCTTGTAAGTTTGTAATATTTGCAATGGTATGTGTATGTCCAACGTCACTTTTCCTGTTTAAGGTTTCTTGTAAGTTTGTAATATTTGCAATGGTATGTGTATGTCCAACGTCACTTTTCCTGTTTAAGGTTTCTTGTAAGTTTGTAATATTTGCAATGGTATGTGTATGTCCAACGTCACTTTTCCTGCTTAAGGTTTCTTGTAAGTTTGTAATATTTGCAATGGTATGTGTATGAGTCTTATTTGCTTTTGTCTCTAATGTTTCTTGTAAGTTTGTAATATCAGATATAGAATGTGTATGAGTCTTTTTAGAATATTCGTTTTCAGCTCTTGTCACTTCACTTGACATTTTATTGTCAACATATGTTTTGTCTGCTAGTTCAGGATGAGTATGTTCTTTTGTTGCATAAGCATTGTTAGCTCTTTCTTCTTCTTTTGCTATTGCATCGTCTACATATTCTTTGTCAGCTTTGTTGTCAACATCTGCTTTCAAAAGAAGTTCATTTATAGGTTTCTCGTTTAAAGTTCCTTTTGTTGGATTTATACAGACAGTATGGTTCTTATTGTCTTGAAACAGAAACTCATCTGTCATAGGGTTTATTGTCAGTTTTAAGTTTCCTTCTTTCAATGACTCAGATATCTTAGAATAGTTTGAAAAGTTTGTTGTGTTCTTATTTAGAGCTTGCATAATGAGTTGTCGGTTGTGTTGTATTTCTCTCATAGACGCTGTTTCATTTGACATTTTTATTATAGATAAAATATGCTTCCAATAGAAAAAGAAAATTCTAGAGTTGCTACAACTAAACCATTAGATGAACTTTTTACTAATGTCGGTCAAAAGTTTGAGACAGATACCGTAAAGCATGAAGGCTATCGTTTTGACTACCCATTAAGATGGTTAAGAGACCCATCCGTCACAAAAGCTATTGGCTTTCGTAGAATGAAGTTCATTTCAGAAGCCATACATGGTTTCCCATTTACGGTCGGTTTTGAAGTTCGATACTATAACAAAGAAAAACGTATGTATGAGAAATTTGAACAGGGAAAACTTTTACAAGTGAATTTGCTTGTAAACTTAGAAACAACTCTTCAAGCTTTTCAAGAAAAAATAAACGATATCTATATCGAATATGCAAACCAGTATAACATTGACGAAGGAGAATACCATCTCGATATTATTTATGACAGGAAAAATGCAACTGTTAAAATCAATAAAATAGAAGACCTTGGAGAAAACGTTTATATTTCTACAAAATATAACAACTTGGCATGGTATAGATTTATGAGGATGTTAAATCAGCCTGCAGCATATCCAGTACACCCGGACTATTATGAAGTCGAAAACCCTAATGGAACATATGAAAATATTTTCGACCAAGATGCTATTATTGTTCATGCTTCATTTTCTGGCGCCCAAAACTCTTTTTTATGCTTGGCAAATGACTTTTACGAAAAACCTACAAAGTTATACGAACCACCAAGTGGAAGTATTTCAGACTTTCAAGTATGGTTTACTACAGATGGAAGAAAAAGAATAATTCCATTATACCATGCGTTTTACTTAGAACTTAGTTTCATATACAAATACTATCGAACGGTAAAAATATAATTTTTTAATACGGTTGAGGTGTTGGATTTGGTTGCCAACTAGACTGTGGTGCAGGTTCAGGTTGTTGTATAACAGGAGCTTGTTCTTCTGGTTCAGGGTCTTTAGGTATAATACCAACGAACTGACCTACTCTTTTACCAATATTTTTGACTCCGTTCCAAATTCCTCTTCCGACAGATTTTATTCCATTCCATATACCTCTTCCAACTCTTCTGAAGAAGTTTCCAATACTACTGAAGAAACCCATTTACTACGTGTAAAAATCTAATGTCCGCCTAGTCTCTTACGTTTCCTGTTGAGTTCCATAGCATTCTTTAACTGGAGCTCATACATTCTGTTTCTCCTCTGGTAGAAAACATATTCTGGGTCAACTCCTGTGTTCGCGTCATCTGCATAAAGTTGTTTATATCCCACTTCAGGGATTGTATAAAACTCTTTCCATCTCATATAGTTAGTATACCTATGTCGTGTACTGTGACACTGCGCGCCTCCGTACACCACTTAGCGGTTTTGACACTTTACGAAACCAGTAACGTATATTTTACAACACAACCATAACACCAACTTAACCTTAAATATTTACGAAACCAGTATCGTATATTTTACAACACTAACGACAACACCAACTTAACCTTAAATATTTACAAAGCCGCCAACCACTTCACCTCACTAACGTTTTCACAAACGACTTCACTAATGTAAAAAAAATAAACGTTCTCACTTACAAAAGTATTGCAACTCCTCCCATTGCTGTGCTTCACATAACAGTTCATATTCTTCTGACTCACTTTCTTCTTCATATAGGTCAAAATCACTGTCAAAATAAATGTTAGTAAGTTTTGACAAAGCTAATGAAACACGCTTACCGTTTGTATCGTATGCTTGTATAAACTTTCCATTCTTCATTCCTTCATAAACGCTCAAACTAACTTTACCCTTTCTCCCTCGTATCTGATAGAATGTATTTTCACGAGGAACGAAGAACAAATTCTTGAACTCATGACCGTTGTAGTTTGTTATCTCAATAGTTTTCGTCATTTATGTAAAAATAAAAATAAAAAATAAACGTAAAAATAAATGATATCACCACCCTCACACGTATGAAAACATAGCACAAAAATAAATTTAGGTGAAGTGGTGAGATCTCACCTCTTTTTTCACCTGTTTTTTCACCCTGTGGAATTCATTGCTTTATAACTCTCTTCCTTGGTTTCTTTTTAGTTGCTTTCTTAACATCTGTCTCCAACTTGACTGTCTTTCTTCTTCGGCCGTAATGATACCAGTTACTTCCACCAGTCAATGGGTCAAATGGTCGTTCATAAGGGTTTCCATACATTCCATAAGGTCCGTATGGATAAACCGCTGGTGGAGAAGAAACATTTTCTTTAGTTCCATCGACTCTATTTAAATGCATTGTTTCACCTTTCATCTGGTCATTAAAGTCTTTTGCGTGTTTTGCAAACTCATCGCCCTTTCCTAAAGCATTTTCTGACTCAGTCGCAACCAAATTGGATGCTTTATTTATGAGCCCTATTTTATTTAATCTTAACTTCTTTGCAACCCAGTCTCCAATCTTCCCTTTATTTGCATCTAATGTCTTCGAAACCCTTCCTCCACTCATTTTATTTACTGCGTCATAAGCTCCAAGTGCTTTTGCTCCAAATGCTAATGCTTTTGTTCCCATTGCGCCTAAAGCTGCCCAAGCTACCATTTACCCCATATTAAAATCATCTCTCTTCAATATTATCTCATAAAAGTTCTCGTTACTGGAGAAAGTCAATGAAACATAAGCGTTCTCACGGGCTTCGCCCTCACCGCTTTGCGGTCTATCTAACTTCTTTCTTATATCATCTATACGCTTCAAAATGTCTGAACAATTGCTAACATCTTCTACAACAGTTATTTCATCATGAATGACCTTCAAGAACAAGCTCATTTAATATGCTATTAAAATCATCTCAATAATGAGTCCATCCTTTCCATCTTTAGGTAGCACAACATCTTTCATTGAAGAAGGTTCGACAAGTCTTATGTTAAACTTACTGACAAAGTTTGTTATACTATAATGCTTTGGCGGCGAATACATATAGTTTGAAAGACATAATATAGATTCTTCAGCAAATTCACTTATACTGGATTTTATAACAATGTTCTCACGAGACCAAATGCCACCAATTGACAATCTTGTAAGCAATCCTGCTGAACCTTCTACTGTAAACGTCGATGGTAACATTCCACGAAGGTCATCTATTGACATCGTTGAGTCACTGTATTTAAATATTTTCTTAAAGCAATCGTCATTATCTAACCATGCAATAGCTTTGAAGTTTTCATTCGAATAGACATCTGCTTCATTAAATGTAAAACCTGACTTCTTTGCAGAGACGACTTTAAAATCTATTGAGTTTGTTTCAAAATTATATGCTATGGTAACTTCTGAAGGTAATGGATGCCCTTCCGCAGTCAGTTGTTCTCTCACTACCGTTTGAAGCTTTGTATTAAAAACTTTCATGTCATCTCCTGTGTCTAGGTTCACATACACAGCAACAGGGAAACTATCTTGCTTCTTTGTTTCATCATTATATCTCAAAACATTAAAGTTCTTCAATAATATTGTTCTTCCTGCTGGAATACTTCGAACCTGTCTGATTTCAATAGCTTTCTCACCTCCTACATACTCTACCCAGTGTCTTGGATATTCATAAGTATACTGACTTTCTTGAATTTTGGTAGGTTTCATCATAACGTGTTCATAGTATATCTTTATACTCTTGTCAGTTAGACTCGGTGCTATGTTCTGAATATTTCTGACTTGCATTTTTAATGGAGATAAAATGAAGCATTTAATACATGACGTAGATGAAGACATGAATGAAACTACAGACAAACTTAACTCTTCTCTCATTCTTCCTTTCAGCAAAGATTATGAGTTCTGTTCAAATGGTGTGTATTTCTATTGTGGAAAGATGGGTTCAGGTAAGACATTTAACCTCATTCGTCATATACTCATAACAGAGCGTTTAGGAAACGACTCTTACTATGACCAAATCATTATATCAGCAACTTCAGACTCTATGGACTCAACAGCGAAAACATTTATGTCAAAAGTTCAAGCCTCTGTCGTTAAAGTTCCAGACAGTGAACTCATTGAATTTCTTCAACGTTACATTCGACGTAAGAGGAAATATTATGCCATCGTTGAATTTATACAGTCAGGAATGCAAAAGACTTCTGAGGAGATGGAAAGAATTATTGACAAACACCACTTACGTCAATACTCAGGAGTTTACGATATGAAACGACTTACAAACTACATTCTGTCAAAACTTTCAAAATACCCCTTCAAAAAATATCCTCAAACACTTTATTAGTTTGTGACGACTTCGCCGGAAAAGGTTTAGTGTCAAAGCCTGACTCACCATTAGCTAACATCATACTAAAGTCAGACATTACCATTTAACTGTAGCAATACTTATGCAAACATGGAGGTTTTTAGCTTTAAACATAAAACGTCTCATAACTGACTTCGTTATCTTTCAAGGTTTCTCACGTTATGATATTGAACTCATTTGGAAACAGTCAGGTATAACATTACCTTTTGAAGAAATTTGGGAAGCATATAAGTCTCTCATCTCTCCTCGTTCATACCTTGAGATTCATATCATGACTAATACCATTAAAGTCAAAAATATTCCATGGGAACGACCAACATTGTTTTAAAGTTTAACCTTCAATTGACTGATGGTAAACAAATTCCATGCATCTCTGTCGCCATTTCTGTTAATATTTTTGCTGTCATTCATATCATCCACTTCCCCATCCGTTAGCTTTTGAGGATATGCGTTAGAATAGCTGTTCTTAAATGAAGGCTTTTCACCTTTGAGAGCATAAACTCTATAACTTTCTGCATACTTTATGTTTGAACCTCCTGAGCCATCATTGACATAAATTTTTATAGGCTTCCACCCTTTGTTCATGTTCCTGCTTCTTCCCTTAGCTCTTTTGTTCAGTAGTTCTACATCTTTATACACAGCTCCTGTCTCAGTGAATTCAACAATATTTTCATTCGTTAGCTTTACATTCAAACCCTTGTCGAGTATATTGTTCATTTCATACATATAAAAGGTTTTTATTCTATATGAAATGAGAAGCAAATCCATCTTAGCTGGTGCCGTTAATGTTCCAATTGAACCAACATCAAATGTTGACTCACGAACGACAAACAATATTGTCATAAAGAACTATAGTTCAGAGTGTTTGAAAGAAAAAGAACCAGAACTTAAGTCGGTGAATTTAAACACAGCTTCAAACGCTAACGCTACATCAGATGTTAAGTTAGAGTATCCACCACTGGACCAAATTCTTTCAAGAGAAGCCAACGACAATCCTTACACAAATGTTCAAACAAATCCTTCAGATAACGTAGACCATTACCTTCTTCAGTTATACCAAACAATTTTACTCAAAGACGATAAGAAGCTTTTGACAAATCTTATAAGTAAGAACCAAATAATTCTAACAAAGGAGGACCTTGAAAATGTTATCTCACGAATAACAGGGAAACAATGTGTCATTGACTATCTCGACCCTGAAATCGAATGCTGTGGTCAAACTCCACTATTCATGAAAATAGGTAACATCCGCATCATTGAAACACCAGGAACTACAGGAGTTGAGTTTAAGTATAAATATTCGAATGAATATACAAAACTTTCAACAGAATATAAGCTTTGTTTGAAATATGTTTTAGTAAATTAAAGCAGTCAGGAGGGCTCTTTGAGCCCATCTTGGCGCTTTGCGCCGTCAGTCAAAAAAATTTCAAGTTAGCAATTTGTAATATCTATCCAAAACTTCTTCAACAGTATCGAACTCATCTTCATAATGCAAACCTAATCTTATTGACTTGGTGCAGTTTTCACTAACACAATATTTTTCTGTTCTCTTGACTGACATAACTAACTCATTTGTTTCATCAAACAGCAACAACCAAAGTTCATGACCTAATACATAACATTCATACTTTATATTTTTAGCTCTGAGTTCTCTTGTAAGCTGTTGCATTTAATATTTTCTAAAAAGTCAACTTCAACAGTCATTCGCACTGGTGCCTTCAGTTCTACAGGCTCTCCTTGAAAGTCAACAAGTCTGAATTGCATGTCTTTCAAATTATGAGGACTAATGCGAACCCATTTACCTAAATGAGTTGCTATGACAGGAACGTTTGGAATGAACATTGAATTGACTGCATAACAGAAGGATTTATATTCTACTGAACCTTTACTATTAACTCCTGAAATGCCTGTGACATTAGCTATTTTAGACTCAATGTATAAACAATTACCATAACATACGTATGGAACAGATTTCATCTCAATCGTTTTGTCAACACTTTTCAAAGGAAATGTCATATGGTATGCACCCAAAAGAAGTTGTACTCTATGACTCATTCTTGGTATCTTAAACTCCTTCACATAACTGAACTTCAAAACTCCTGCAATAAGTTTAACATTCATTAAGTTTTCTTCGTTATCCTTGTTTATTGTAGTATTTATGAGAGCATTTAACACTCCAGCTAATGTTTCCATCTTATATTCTACATTATTGTGAAATCTTATTTCGTGCTTCTTTCCATCTATTTCAATCTCCATGAAATCTGTTTCATCTGTTATAACGAATGAAGCGATAGTATTGAAGTCAACCATTCTGAATGCAAGCGCCTCATTCTGTAGACCTAAGTTTGTTTGTAGCTTTACTGTCCCGTATTCGTTTGGGTATGTACTTTGCAAATAGAACAACATTTTATTCTCATTAAAATATGAGTATAGCTGCATATGCGTATGAAGCTGACAGAGCTAAACGTTTATATTTTGGTCAATACTCTCTCACACTTACTGACAAATATATTGTTATCACTGATGGAAATACTGAGAAATACATAACATGGAAGGACTATGAAAAGTTTGACCCTATTTTAACTCCATGTACTATGCCGTTTATAAAGGACGGTGAAATTATTGAAAAAGATAATACAACCGTATATAGGTCTGTTTATGAAGCATTAGAATATATGTTGAATCATAACCCAAAAAGATTTGACCCAAGCACTACACCATGCGCAATGCCTTTTATTAAGGACGGTGAAATCGTAAGAGTTCCGGATTCAACGGTTTACACAGCTGTTCAAAACAGTTTACAAAACATTTTAGCGAATATCTTTAATTCAGAAACTACAGAAATAAAATTACCGTATATAACAGATGCTAAAGAAATTAAATCAAAAACGACAACATTATTTACGTCACTTAATGATTTAATGACTTATATCATTAATACTCCTTCTTCGACTACAGCATTTGATCCAAACTTGACGGTTTGCAGTGTACCTTTCATAAAGTCGCAAAGCGACCAGGGCGAAGCCCATGACAGTTCATTAATTACTTTAAGGGATTCGACAGTTAATGAATCATTAAAGGCTTCATTAATGAAAATCATTGATTTTAACTCATTCACGAATACATATAATTCATTCATTAATGTTTCATATGCTTCTAAAGAAGGTGAGCCAAAAACTATTGATAAAGCGGTGTATGAAATAAAAGCATCAACGACGAAATTGAATTCGTTAACTTTTGACGGTGATAGTTTCGTTAATGACATAACATCGGGGAAAACAATTTTAACGAAAGAAAACTTAAAATCTCATGTTAGTGAGTTCGTTGAAATTGAAAAAGAAGGTGGAATTAAGTTCGATCCACTGAATTTCATTTTCAGCTTAGCGAATGCGGGTGTTAATTTTGCTGAATGGACAACTATACAGAGTGAAATAAATGCAATATGGGCGTTTTTGGGGTCAAAAGCGGGAATGAGTGAGCTTGTAAATGCTGCAAGAACATTAGGTGAAACAGGAAATTTTGTAGATGGTTTTAAAAGACTTGTTTCAAATGTTTTAACAAACACAAAGAAATTATTTAGATATACCGTACATAACGGACGGATTTTCGAACAGATAGCAACAAACCCTCCGGTTATGACTGCGTTGATGATGGTTAGAGATATAAAACCACGTAACGACGGGAACGAAGAACATGAACAACAGGATACTGGTCGGGTTATTCGAGACATTAAAAACGTGTATCCTGAAGTTATTGATTTATTTAGAGGAGTTAATGATTCAATTTCAAAACATTCTATAACCCTCGATGAAGAGAATAAATTAACAGATTATATATTCGTCATTATTGCAGAAATAATGAAGAGAATAAATGAAAAAGGAATTGGTGATATCATTAATGTCAGCGATGTAATGATGAAAAGAAATTTTGACTCATTATTTACAAAACCGAAAACAGAATATAGTCTTTATGACGTAATTACCGAATTAATGAAAAAGATTAATGATAATAAGAGTTCTGGCGGAAGAGTTGAATTAGAAGTGAATGATGTTAATGAGAAATTAGCCGAAAAAGCAGACAAAAATGAGCTTTTAGCTCTGAGTGATAAAGTCAAGAACCATGTTCATTATATAACTTCAGCCGAACATATTATAACGGACTATCATGGATATTTAACACAGGATGAACAAATAAGCACTGAAGATGTTAATGAAAGAAGATACAAATTCATTCGTGCTAAAGGTTATGACATACACTGTACTGTACAGTATGACACAGGTAAAGCACCAGAAGCATTTGGTTATAACAATGAAATTTATGCTTCATACTTCTTTGTTAACGGTGTATTAGTTGAACCAAGATTTACTTTGAGAGTTAAGTCAAAAATAACTTTTGAAGATGCTATTAAAAGTAAAGCTGACAAAGTTGAACTTGACGCAACGAACAAAGTTTTGAAATCTCATAAACACAATATCTCCGATATAAATGAACTTCAAGCTACATTAAATAGTAAAGCTGACAAGAACCATACACATGAATCCTTCACTACTGTTAGAGCAGACGACATAATATTGAACTATACCCTTGGTTCAAGTGCACCTTTAGAGAATCCAAGTACAAGCGTAAAAGATACACTAAACTCCTTAAATAGTAAATGTATGAACATTGAAGGTCATGTCAGAAACTTTGAAACACATGAACTACCAGCAATGTTAGATAAAAAAGCAGATAAAGAACATACACATAACTCCTTCTCAACTGTTGCTATAGAAAGTATTGAAGGAACGGTTGGCGGAACTGGTGGGGATGCATTATATTATAAACCTCCTAACTTTCCACAAGGTTTAACATCGAATGAAAACATAACAACGAAGAAAGAAATTAGCTGTAAAAATGTTTATGTCATGAATGATGAAAATAATGTTAAATTCACTGCTCAAGATTTATATGATAAGAAGGCTGACAAAACAGAGCTTCAAACATTAAAGACTGAAATACTTCAAACATTATATCCTGCAGGCTCTATTTATACGTCAATGAATTCAACAAATCCAGCAACAGTTTTAGGTTTTGGTTCATGGAAGCAGATTGTAGATAAATTCTTATACTGTGCTAGATATTCAAAGCAAACAGGAGGTTCGAAGAAAATTAAAGAAGCAAACCTTCCACCGCACACTCATACAGGAACGACAAACTTTTCTGGCGACCATAGCCACTCATTAAGAGACCATCCATTATACAACTCAGAGTATGAAGCTGGCAATGATGTTTTATCTCCATCTTATAACAATTCAGCAAAAAAGACTTTTCGACAAACTGAACCAGGAGGAAATCATGTCCATACTTTCACAACAAATCCAACAGGCTCGGGTGAAGATTATATGCCACCATTTGTGACTATATTCGCATGGTACCGCGTTCAATGAACGCGCTTGAGCCTAGAATAAAATCTTTAACTTTACATAAATGAGCTTGAAAGAAGTATTCGAACAACATCCATGGAGGTCATTTAAGAAGTTCAATGAAGCTGCAAAGAGTTGGGGATTTACTAACAGAGCTGAAGTTAAAAAGTTCTTTGACAAAAATGTTGTACATCAAACAAAAATAAACCCTTACGACTACTTTTTACCAATTTACTCCAACACTCCTGACGCATACCAATTTGACACTCTCATTCAAAGCAGAAAAGGAGGACATAAACCATTCCTCATCTTCATAAATGTTAACACTCGTAAAGCATATGCATATCCAATGAAAAATAAAGGAACTCGTGAAGTGTTAAGAGTTTTACAAAAGTTTGTAGCAGAACATAACCCAAGTACTTTAACATCAGACCAAGACAGTGCATACCTCAGCAATGAAATCACAGAATTTCTCATTAAGCATAACATAACTCACTACACTACTGAAGACCATAACCATAACATACTCGGCATCATAAACCGCTTCATAAGGACTCTCAGAGATTTAAACCAAGAGCGAGACTTTACCGAAGAAACAATGAAACATTTTCTCGAAGTATATAATTCCTCAACACATTCTACAACAGGACATACACCAAATTCAATGACACAACAACAAGAAGAAAAGTATATACAAAAGAAACGAAGCCAAACACAAAATATCAGAAATTCAACACAATTTACCCTCATTCCTGGTACAAAAGTTCGCGTAGTTCTTGACGACAAACCGTTGACAAAGAAACGTTTAAGGTTAAGTAGAAACTATTATATCGTAGACTCTACGCAAGGTAATGGATATCTTATAAAAGCTGCCGACGACTCTATTGCACTTTATCCTCGTCAGAAATTAGTCGAAAGTAGTAATGGCAAACTTGCTGAAACCATTGACGAAGCAAAGCGAGGAGTGGTTATTGAAATACTTGGCTATAACATAAACGATGACACTTATAAAGTAAGATATGAAGGAGGCGTTGAAGATGTTATACCATCTAAGAACTTGAGAGAGTCGAAGCCAACACATCTGGGACCATTAGAGCGGGAGTACTGGAAAGACAAAAATATGCCAGAAAGAATAAGAAAATTTTTCTAAACTTTTTCATTAGATGTAAATCAGACAAAAATAATGTTTAGGTGAAGAGGTGAGATCTCACCTGTTTTTTCACCTGTTTTTTCACCCTCACGAATTTTCATGAATTTCCTTAAGATAGAAAAATAAAGTTAGTTTTATTTTTATTTATTTTTTTATTTTGTATAAAAGATATGATTTCAACAATCGGTACAACAACAATTCAAACTACAGCACCAAACTCGTTAGTCATGAATCCTACGTCAATGTTGATAGAGATGAAAAACTTTATTCCTTCTTCATATACTTTTGAAACAGAAATCCAGAAGATAAAGCAAGAACTTTTAACAAGTAATTTAGACTGTAGTGCGAAAGATGAAACAAATGAACAGTATCTTTATGACATGCAGGATATTATTGACCATTTGCCTAAACTACCTGAAGTTCAGCAGCAAAAACTAACTATTCCTGAATTCGACGAAATTGAAGTCAAAGCAACTGACTCAGTAGAAATAAAGAAATTCATACGTAAAGTAAATTATGAATTCCTTGGTTTTCATTGCAACCATAAAGTTATGGACAAAGATTGCGACATGGTTTATAAAAATATTTCTGACATATATAAATCGGTGGAGTTTAAGACATACGATAACTTTGTTTCGTTAGTTGCTGAATGTGTATGGGAAATAAGAGATAAAGATAGAAGAGACAAAGTATGGAACGAACAAATAAGACCCGCTATGTTTGAGATGAAGAGAGCAATTGACGCTTTAGTTGTTTTAGCTGGTAATGTTTCAATGTATAACGCAAAAACGATGCCGCAATGTTCAAAATGTAAAGCAGCAATAAGAAAATATAACTACTCAGTCAAAGAGATAGAAAGAATGCGAAACGACTATGCAGACTTAAAGAAAGAAGCAGAAAAGCCAGCAGAAGATAAAATGGATATGTTGACATTTCTTAATAAAAACTATCCAACAGCAGAAGATTTCCTTCTGTCTGACGTCAAGAAGAAATATAAAGAGACTTTCGGCACGATTAAAACATTCGATGTACTAAAAGAAGAAATTGAAGCTACGAAATTGTTTAGGATTTCAAATATACATCGTACAATTCATGTAAAACGCTTGTGAAAAAAGAGGTGAAAAAACAGGTGTGATCTCACCTCTTCACCTAAACATTATTTTTGCTGAAAAATGACCAAATTTCATGAATTTCATTAGTTAGAAAAATAACGCTAATTTTTTTCTAAGAAAAATTTTTATTTTGTATGTAAAGACAGTAATGTCAAACATTGAGTTTGAAACAGTTAGAAAGATAGACAATGACACCAAAGTGGTTAGAATTGGTGATTTAAACGTAAGATACTCAAAGAAATACAACAAATATTCTTTGTCAGACATTATATCTCCATCTGGAAAGAAAACAAACGACTGGGTTAGAAATGCTTCAACTCAGAAAATTTTGACAAGAAATCCTGAGCTTATGATATCAGTAGCATTTCATGGAACAAGAGCATATCTTATAGACAAAAGTCTTATACCAATAGTTTTGTTATGGTTAGACCCAGTTGTTGGATATAACTTCATAACATATGGTTCATTCGACTCAGAACGTTGCAGTGAAGGCTTACTTTATATCGTTCAGAAACCGAAGGACTTCAACACAAAAAGATATAAGATAGGAAGGACATATAATATAACTCAAAGATATGACTCTACAGTCAATAGAATCAAGGTTGTGTTTGTTAATGATATGAGAGCTGCTGAAACAGAACTGCTTGAAGTTTTTGAGAAAATGTATGGTGCTCCCACGAAAGGTAAAGAAACGTTTGAAGTAGATGAGATAGATAAAGCTATAAAATTATTTGACGAAGTTGCTGAAAAATACATGTAAAGCGTTTATTTTTGGTCTTTTGTGAAAGTCAGAAAATAACGCTAATTTTTTTCTAACAAAAATTTTTATCTTGTATGTAAAGACAGTAATGTCAACATCAGAGAACACAACAACTGCTATCGTTCATGAAGCCATAAATGAAGAATACGAGTACATACAGTATAACAAACAGTTACGTCTCATTCGTTCAGTCAAAGATGACATGTACCAAATGCAAAGTATAATGAATGCTCTTCGTTCTACAAAGCAAGCATATCATTGGTTTGAAAACCAACAGACAAAAGAACTTTTAGAAGAATTTCCTCATATGATTGCTTCCCTCGGAAAACCGAGAGAAGAGATTCCGTACGAAAATCGCAAGAATTTGGCTCCTGGTTTGAAAGGTTATTATGTTCATAGACTTTTAGTAAACGCTGTAGCAATGTGGGCTTCACCTCGTTATGCTTGTTATATTTTCATGATGTTAGATGAACTATATAAAGCAGAACGTGGAGAGATGGAAAAGAAACTTCATGCAAAAGATGAAGTCATTGAATCCAAAGACAAAAGCATACAGAAAAGAATACCACGTTCAGTACCAAAAGGAAAGGAAAAGAGTTATAAGTATATGATTTATACTGAAGAGTTGGAGAAAGAGAAGATAAAGATATGGTTATGTTGCATTTAGTCAGAAGAAACAACAAGAGCTTTTATGACTTAGCTAAAATATATAAATCTGACAGAAACTGGTTCTATTGTGAAAACTTACCGATTTCAATGACTCCGAATGAACAAATAAAGGAAATTGTCAAAAATACTCTTCCTCAAACACACTATGACATCAAAGGTTGCACAATACTTACATTCAAAGAAGACTTACCATTACTGAAGGAAAAAATAACAGAATATTTCGACAACTTCAAAGAGGAAGAATGAAGTCACGACAACATTAACGATGAAGTCACGACAACATTAACGAAGAGAGAATGAGGTGAAAAAAGAGGTGAAAAAACGGGTGAGATCTCACCTCTTCACCTAAATATATTTTTTGTGCTATATTTACACTCATTTACGAAGAAGTCATGAATCCTACGTCAATTATGTTCGACACTGTAAGCATTAACAATAACATTAACGATGCATCATGCTGTTCGCTCTTTCGTACCTGTTGTCAAAATGTCATGTTGTCACACTTTTTAAAAGAAGTTAATTAACCTGGTGACATGGTGACGTAGTGACACCTTCAGTTCTTCAAAAATATATTTTTGCTTAAATAGCTTCAGGGTCTATTTCTTCAACCATTTCACTTCCTTCGTCAATGTCAATAGAAGCTTCTTCAACCTTTGGTAAGAATTTCTGTATAACATCTTTGTTCGTTATTGTCTTCAGAGATGAAGGATAATATTTCACAGATGTTTCACCCTTCTTATATTCTTTCTGTTCGGAAAGATTCATAGCAATACTGAAGAAGTCAATGTTGGAGTTCTTTATGACAGTATAATGAGTATCTTTGACATTCACGAAGAAACTCTTTTGTTTCAAAACTACTGCTAACTCTTGTGAAGTATAACGTTTGCGGTCAATGACGATAGCTAATGGTCTGACATACTGACCAAACTTAGATTCTTTCACAAACTTCTTGTTAAAGATAACATTAACATTTGAAGCATTATTGAACTCATTCTTGATGGCAGTAGCGAGAGCATTGTATGAAAAGAACTTGCAATCTTGCATGTGTTTCATTAAAATAAAAATATTAAATTATTTTGAAAAATAACTTAAAAAATCTAATCTAATTTTTTCAAAAAATATTTTTTTATTTCCTACTAAAGATGTATCGGAAGTTGTCTAGGTTAGAACACTCGGAAATAAAACAACTTCTTACAGAAGCTAACATAGAAGTAGCAAAACATTACGCAACAAACAAAAAAGCACTCGCTGACATCCTCAATGACTATAATGGTGCAATAAGTTATGATAGAATTCATGAGTTCATAAAGCCGCAACGCGGCGAGGACGAAGTCCACGCAAGAGCATTTCCTTTAAATGACGTTGCTATTGACTTATATCATAGACGTTCAGTACCTCATGAAGTAAGAAGAGAAATGTTTGACATAACAAATGCAAACGTTGGTGAAACAAGAAGAAGAGACGACACACTGAAACAACAGAGAAGAGAGATGTTTAAGAGCGCTATAGAACAAGTTCGCAAAGCTAACGATGTCATTCGTTCCATTGACGACAAACCAAAAGAAGGTGAGAGATGGTTAAAGAAAGATGAAGAGAATAGGAAGAGGAATGTTAAGACAGGCAATAGACTCATTGACTTTAACATCGAAGCTTTAGATGAACCAAACAGAGACTACTTATACAAACATTTCGGTAAGGTTTTCATGAGACTCTTAGAGAAAATTAAAATAAACTCACAACAGAGATGGATGGTATGTTATAAACTTGGTGGAAAGTATGAATGTTCTACGTTAAATCTCAATAATATTGGAACATTACTACATCAGCTCTTGAAGGAGAACTTTATATCAGAGATAGAAGCAAATGCCGCAGGTATTGTTGAAATGCACTATGACTTCTTCTTGACAAACATAAAGAATCTTACCGAAATAAAGATGTATGATTTAACAGAATATGAAGGCTTAACGATGTCAGATGTAAAGAAAGGCAAACCAAAAAAGAGACCATATAGAGATGAAAGCACACTGACAAATGACCAGAAAGCCATTTTGGAAGCTCTTAAGCAAACAGGAAACCCAGCACTTATAGAAAGCTTTTGGAAAGATAATGGTGAAAAGAAGTTTTATAAGAAGAGAAGCGGTCAGTTCTGGAAGTATCTTTGCACATTACCTATAAATCTTGAACGCTACCAAATCTTCAATGAACTGAACAAAAGAACTGCAACACTTATGACAGAAGACAATTGTTTCGTTTATGCTTGCATTCAGGCTGGAGTAGATGGAGAGACTATTGACCACATGAGAGAAGTCATTCGTGTTAGAGACTTTCCTCAAAGTAAAGTACAAGAAATTTCTGACGCAACAGGTATAGCATTTAATGTTACCATTGGTTATTTCAATGACTCAAGACATAATGAAATAAAGAGATACATACCAAAAGAATGTGAAACTGTTCGAACTATTGACTTACTTCTTGTTGAAGACCACTACATGCTAAATGAAAGATTACCAATGACAACATATTTCATTCGCAACTATATAGAAATCTTGAAGGAGTGTGGTGGAATGAACATTGAGAAACAGATGAAGATTTATACAAAGAGAGAGAACAAATATGTAGTTCGTTATGATAGAACAACACCGTTATGGGATGTTATGAAAACATTGTGGGAGTGCAAATATTTCGAACCTATTTCTTATGGAGAACTTTTCACATATACGACTGACTTATATAAACAGAACCTTGCACCATTTAAAGATTTGACATATGCTCCAAAGTATTGTGTACAACTGAAGAAGAAAGCCGAGTCAAAAGAAGTAAATAAGAATAAGTGCAAGTTCATTCCTGAGCACGTTTTCTTTGCTGACTTTGAGTGCAGTACTGATGGCTTTCATAAAGCTTTTAACATCTGTTACGACAGTGAAGATGGTTCAGTGAGTGAAAGCATTTGGGGTCAGAACTGTGCAACAGAATTTTTGGAACGACTTCCTGACAAGAGTTTAATATATTTCCATAACCTCAGTTATGATATAAACTTCATCTTAAGACACATGACAGAAGTGAAAGGAACTCCCATCATTAAAGGTTCACGAACAATGCAAATAACTGGCTTATATAAAGGAAGGGCAATTATTATAAAAGACTCTTACAGTGTTATAAATAAGAAGCTTAAACTATTTCCTGCTATGTTTAACTTACAAACAGGACCGAAAGAAGTATTTCCATATAACTACTACAGCAGTGTTTTGTTAGCAAATGACAACAGAACTGGTGTCATTTCTGAAGCATGTAAGTTTGTAAAAGATATTGAAACGTTCATGAAAAACATAGATTCCATCAAAGGTTGCAGAATAGATGAGAACCACTTCGACTTAGAAAAGTATAGCACATTTTATTGCAAACAAGATGTAAGAATTTTAAGAGAAGGTTTTGTTAAGTTCCGCAATGACATATTGAAAGAATTTGATTTAAACGTTTATGACTACGTTAGTATTTGTTCTATTGCTAACAAATTGTTTGAGAACAGAGTGTACTTCCCGAATGGAAATTTATATGACCTATCAAATAAACCAAGAGAATTTATTTCACGCTGTATTCAAGGTGGAAGATGTATGTTGTCAGATAACATTAAACAAAAGAGCGAAAAGAAACTCATTGCTGACTTCGATGCTGTTTCATTATATCCATCAGCTATAGCAAGACTTTATACTTTAGAAGGTATTCCGAAAGTATTGAAGGAAGAAATGTTAAGCACAGAGTATCTCATGAGACATTTATTCGATGACGACCAAAAGGAACCCATTGGTAAAAAGTTTATGTCTGGCTTCTTTGTTCTCATTAAGATAACAGAGATTGGAATACATAGACACTTTCCTTTAATAGTTTGTGACCCTGAACTAAATCCAGAACTTAACGTTCCCAGAAGTTCAAACACTTGCTGTTTAATGTATGTTGACCATATAACATTACAAGACCTCATAAAATATCAAGGTGTCAAATGTGAAGTGTTGCAAGGATACTATTACGATGGAAACAGAGATATTAGAATAAGAGATGAAGTAAAGAAGTTGTTTGAGTTAAGGTTAAAGTATAAGAAAGAAGGAAATCCTTTGCAAGAAAATATAAAGCTCATTCTGAACAGTATTTATGGCAAAACTATTCTATCTCCTATTGAGTCAAAAATAACCATAGTAAATGACAAAGATGCTATAAGATATGCCATCAGAAACTACAACCATATAGTGAAGTTCGAAGGTTTGGATGGTTCAGATAAAACTATTTTCAAGCTAACGAAAAGCATTTGCAGACACTTTAACTTCTGTCCACTTGGTGTTAACATTCTGTCAATGTCGAAGAGAATAATGTGTGAAGTATTCTGTACTGCTGAGGACTTAGGAATGGACATCTTTTATAGCGATACGGACAGTATGCATCTCTACAATGAAGATATCCCTCGTTTAGCTGAAGAGTTTGAGAAACGTTATGGAAGAGTTCTCATTGGTAAAAACCTTGGTCAATTTCATAGCGACTTTGCAGAAATCACAAAAGATAAACAAAGTTTAGCATACAAGTCAATATTTTGTGGAAAGAAGACTTACATAGACTTACTCACGAATGATTTAAATGAAGTTGCATTTCACTGCAGAATGAAAGGCGTGAAGCAAGATGTTATTGCTTTAACCGCTAATGAAATGTTTCCTGACTCTGTTCAGTGTTTCTATGATGAAGATAAAGGTTTAATGGTTCCGCAAGGAAAATTTAACAAAGACTCTGAGTTCAGTGTTATGAAGTTATATAAAGCACTTCATGACGGTCAAGAGATTGCATTCGACTTATGTAAGTCTTCTAGTCCTTGCTTTGCTGAAAAGTTTAACTTCTCAATAACGACTAAAACAAGCTTTATTCGTAAGTTGAAGTTCTGAGGTCATTTATTTTTGTCAGCAATGATGTCATTCGTGATAAAAATAAGCCGCTAGCGGCAAGGCGAAGCCCATGTGGTCATTTATAATATTGCTATGGTAGAATTTAAGAGTTGTGCTTCAATGTAGAGACAGTCCTTATGGTCTGGAGGTAGCAAAACAGGTGCTTTATGGTCATGAGTGGAGAATATGTCTATCCAAAACTCACGATTGAAGCCAGTTAATTTATAGTATTTAGGGTTAGGAAGTGGTGAAGTTCTTGTATGACCAATGAACTCATTTTCAACTCCCTTACTTAAGTTTGAATATAATATAGCTTGCTTTCTATCCCAAATGCCGGGTGTTACAATCTTTGAAAATTCATTTTTCCTCGGAAGCATTGCATCATAATTGAAAACATTCTTGAAGTCTTCATTGGGTTCAGAGATTTGAAATCTTATACGTAATGGATTTTCTTTCTTTTTAGCGACTTCATTGAATGGTGAGAATACAATGAATTGACAGTCATGAGTTCCATCTTCATTTTCATTAAATTCATAATGAAAGTCTATAAGTTGTGGCTGACTACCTTCTTCTTTCAGTTGTGCACGAAACTCACGTAAAGGCTGTAAAGTTTGTACTTCAATGTTAAACTTTTTCTCGAACATTTCATTAAATGAAATCATACATTGTTGCAATGTTGTATCGTCTTTAAAGTATTTGTATATGTGAATGTTTTGGGCACTTAAAGACTGTTCGTCATTTTCTATCTCGACTTGAAGTATAAATTCAACCTTTCTGAAAGCACGTGTTATATACATAGATGTTATGCCAATGTACTTCTCTTCATTTATGTTCACAATCCAGTCTGTTGGAAACTTAAACGTTACTCTGTTCCCCTTTATTTTGACGTCAGGGTTTTCACTACTGAATGCAACAGATAAAGGTATTTGTCTATACATTTAGTTCCGATAAAAATAAACCATTTACTCTTTCTTTGCTTCAGCTTCTTTAGCTTTTGCTTCAGCTTCTTCTCTAGCTTTTTTCGCCAGTAGTCTTGGGTTCTTTTGTCTTCCAGCAGCTCCTGTCAAAAATAGCATTTGGTCAAGTCCTTATATAAAATATGGTCTCCCACTAGGTTTGCTAGCTACAGCAGGAGCAGTTATGATGTTGAAAAGAAATAAAGCAAATGTTGTAAATAATACTGAAGTAGCTGAAGTTAAACAAACTCCAACACCTTCGCCAAAACCTTCAATGACTCCTGAACCTATGGAAGTACAAACTCCTGTTCAAAAGTCAACTCCTAAACCGACTCCAACATTTAAACCAGAACCTACTCCTCAAATAAATCGTAAAACTCCTGCGTTTCCTTACTGAAAAATAACGTTATTTTTATTTAATATTAAAATTTTTATTTGATTGAAATGACGACTAAAGTCACTGAAGCAACAAAACAAAAGTTTTTGGTAGAATACATTAAATCAGGAACTATTCCAGAAGGTTTTTACATTCATACCATGAAGGATGGTAGAGTTCAGTTTAGAAAGATAAAGCAACCATTAGATAAAGAAGGAATTTTGAGAAAGATTAAACTTCATGAGGACAACATTGCTGAACTTAAGAAGAAGTTAGAAGAGTTGGAGAAAGGAAGAGAGTTATAAAGCAATGAATTCAACAGGGTGAAAAAACAGGTGAAAAAAGAGGTGAGATCTCACCTCTTCACCTAAATATATTTTTTGTGCTATGTTTTCATACGTGTGAGGGTGGTGATATCATTTATTTTTAAGTTTATTTTTTATTTTTATTTTTATATAAATGACGAAAACTATTGAGATAACAAACTACAACGGTCATGAGTTCAAGAACTTGTTCTTCGTTCCTCGTGAAAATACATTCTATCAGATACGAGGGAGAAAGGGTAAAGTTAGTTTGAGCGTTTATGAAGGAATGAAGAATGGAAAGTTTATACAAGCATACGATACAAACGGTAAGCGTGTTTCATTAGCTTTGTCAAAACTTACTAACATTTATTTTGACAGTGATTTTGACCTATATGAAGAAGAAAGTGAGTCAGAAGAATATGAACTGTTATGTGAAGCACAGCAATGGGAGGAGTTGCAATACTTTTGTAAGTGAGAACGTTTATTTTTTTTACATTAGTGAAGTCGTTTGTGAAAACGTTAGTGAGGTGAAGTGGTTGGCGGTTTTGTAAATATTTAAGGTTAAGTTGGTGTTGTCGTTAGAGTTGTAAAATATACGATACTGGTTTCGTAAATATTTAAGGTTAAGTTGGTGTTATGGTTGTGTTGTAAAATATACGTTACTGGTTTCGTAAAGTGTCAAAACCGCTAAGTGGTGTACGGAGGCGCGCAGTGTCACAGTACACGACTTAGGTATACTAACTCATATTTGCATACCATGGTGGCAAACCTAACGCAGCGTCATTTGACATGGCAGTTTGCATTTGTACATCTGTTGGCACTTGACCATAGTTTGCCATTGCAGTTTGTATTCTAACTTCATTTGGAATATTCTCTGGGTTTGGTTGTCCAGGTTGCTGTGCATTCGCTAAGTTCTGTGCGTCCATTTAATATTAGATAAAAATATCTCTTACGAGTACATATACTGAACATTTGCAGGCATTGGTTCATCTTCATATTCTCTGTACTTTTCTGCCACGTCAAATAAATAAATGACACAATGGAAAAAACCTAAAACTAACAATCCGATTTCAAACCACATTTACTTACTAATAAAATTTCTTTATTGTGACACTTTCTCCGGTTTATAGGACCTCTCTCATATTCTATCTTGTCATATATAAACTCATAGTCATGTATGTCCTCTAACCATCTCATAACGGTTTCCAAACCACTTTTATCGGATGTAAAGTAAAAGCATGGATGGTTATGTAAAACGTCTAAAGTTTCTAAAGAGTCTCTCAAAGTCCAGTCTACTTGGTATTGAAAATCCCATGTGTTATAGAACGGCGGGTCCACTATAAAGAAAACATTTTCCTTGTCTTTATATTTTTCATACAACTCTGTCCAATGACATCTCACAAACTCTATACCCTCAATATATTTTTCTATGTTCTCTTTGAAAACATTTGTATAGTTAAGATATAAAACTTTTGACATAAGTGTTTCAATGTCATGAACTCTTATAGAACCACTATATAATAGTCTAGCAGATATACTATCCCAGTCTATATATTCTGCTTTTTTCAAAACCTCTCTCACAATATTTTTCTTATCTAATGGTATACGTTCCATCTTACCTATAGGTATCTTTTCTTTTAACTCTTTCAATATATTGTTTGTGTCTGGAATATGTTTGAGACGGTCCATATAGTTGTCGAAGTCATTGCATATAATCTTTGAGTCTGGGAATATTGTATGACATAAATGGGATATATAGAAACTTCCACCGAACAAATCTACAAATGTTAGACCATTCGGTAGTTTCTTAAGTTCTCTCAATATAATATCTTTACATCTACTCTTATTTCCAAAGAACGGTAACGGTGGTTTTGTAAAATTCATTTATATATAATAATAAAAATGTTTTTACCTGAAAAGTGACAAAACATGAAAACATATATAATTTGTGAAAAGCGACACAAAAAAGTCAACGGCTGGTCGGCTGGGGTTCGGTCCTCCTCTTGGGTCTTGGGAAAAACATCTTCAGGGCTAGAGGGCGCAACGCGCCTGGAAGCCCCACTACCTTTTTTTTAGTTCCCGCTTAAGCCCTACTGAATTTTATTTTAAGCCAGCAAATAATGCGATATTCTACCGATTTTTTAAAAATTCAAATGTAAAACCGATTAATTTTGGTTAACTCGATTTAAATTTGTTTAATTTTCAAGGTCCATATGCATATTTCACGCGCAGATTCGATTTTTATCGTGAGTGAGGTGGGATAAAACTTGACATCAACTTTTTTTTAATGGATCAAAGCGCTCAGCTTCTAAAATATTATGAGAATCAATACAACAAATATTCTAAGCAGAGTCAAGAATTAGAAAAGCAAATCGAATTTTGGAAGAACGTTGATGCCAAAGTCGGAAATAATAATAATTTCGATGACTTCAACAAAGAGAATGAAGGTCTTGAGGTCGAAATCAAACGCATTGTTGAAGATTCCAAGATCTACATTGCCAGCCAAAAATACCGAGACCTCCAACAGACCGATTTCCAACGAAAGTTCTTATCCGCTCAATACATTTTATGCAAGCTCTGGGAAGAAGCTAAAAATGACAAGGACAGGCGTGAGCAAACTTTAAAGGAATGCCAGAACCTTAGCAACCAGATTACATCATTCGAAGAGCAAACTAAGCCAATTGTCGAGGAAACCCTTTCCAATGTCAGAAGAACAACCTCAAACTCAAGACTTGCTAAGCGCAACATCTTTCATCTTCAATGTAAACAACTTATAGATAAAATGGAGTCGGAGCAGAAAATCCTTCAAGAAAAGACGATAAAGCTCACTGCTTCCACCGAATCGAATGTCCTCTCAGCTAAACTTCTTGCTCACGAAGCAAATGCCAAGGCATTGACCTTAAAACGCGCTATCCTTACTACGCAAGACCAAGACGAACTTCATGACCTCTGTGTATGCATGGCTAGTCACTGTGAAGAAATGAACCGACTTCTCCCCGAAATTCCTCAATATGATGGAATCATCCAATATACCCAGCAAGTTACAAATCGCCTTGAAGCCGAACGCCTACAAATTATCCAAAGCATCCAGAAATACGTATCCGCGTTCAAGGCTCTCGATCCAGTTTTTGCCGCATTACTTGGAATCAACGACCAAGTTTATCTTGAGTACGACAAGCTTTCATTCAACAACGATGATACTAAATACCAGATCAAGGATGTCGCCGATCAAGCCACCAACGCTAAACAGCAGATTGAAGAGTATAAAACAAGATTGGAAACAACGAAACACATTTTATCAAAGGAAGAGCAAAATCTCAAAGATGAAGAAACAGCACATGGTTTTACACATGACCAATTAGCCCAAGAAATCACAAGTCTCAAAAACAAACTCCAAAAGATGAATAAAACCGATAGCAAATCCCTTGAAAGCATATGTAACAATATCATTGGAAACATCGCTGCTTTCGTCAATCCGACAAAACAAACTGGTGTTCAGAGCGCAATCTCCAAAGATTTCATGGAAAAATTCAATAGTTTCAATAACATCGTTGGAGATCTTTGCAGAAACATCAAGAAACAGGACATTGAAAGGAAACAAGGCGATTTAATTAAATTACGTCAGAACTTCGCCGATAAATTGAAGGATAATAATATCCAGATCTACAATCCAGAATTAATCTATGTTTACGATCCAAATTTCGTCTGCATTGCACATAACGAGAAAGACAGTGTCCTACAAATTATTGGTGGAAAACCAGGTGCTTTAGCAGAAGCTCTTGTTAATCCAACAGTTATACAACATGATCCTCTCTACCACATCATTCTTTTACTCCACATTTGCTATACAAACATTTCTAATCAAGATATCATTATTCACATCACTAATTTCTTGAGTTACACATTAAGTGCAATTGAAAAAACGAACACAACTGTAGAGAATCAAGCGAAAGCCATGGATGCATTCAAGATGAGATCATATCCAATTCCTGATTACGATGCTCCGGATTCAACAATTATCGTAAACTCTTTCTCCCAGTATATTTACGATTGGCTCATCTATTATCCAGCTTGCTTCAAAGGAAACAATCAAGGTATTGATGAAATCGAAAAATTAATCAATTTGAAGACTACGCCATACAAGGATATTATCTTGGATATGTTTAAGCCGATTAAGGATCCTAAGTATCAGAAAAACGGCCCCGTTTATAAGCAAGCTCAAAAAGATTTCTCGGAAATCGAGAATGGATGCAACGATTTCATGATCAGAGCTTTCGAGATCTATCGCAACATGAATGTTAAGGAAGTTCTCAACTTCATCTGCAATAGTTCACAAGCACAAGATGATTACCACTCAAAGATCGTTGCATTACGCAAGGAATTCCAATCATTTATCTATACATCGACCATTAATGATAAGAGGGCTAAATACATCTTAATTGGCTGGTTCCACGCAGCAATTGATGCATTAAGGAAATACAAGAACTACGAACTCTTTTCTGCTATCGCTGAAGCATCAAATAAGATGACAGATGATTTCATTGCTTCTGTATCGAAGAAATACAAGGAAAAGTTGCAAGAATTGGAACAAGTCCAAGCTGAGCTCAAGTCTGCAAAAGAAGAATACGAAAAGATCAAATTCCAGATCGCATCCGATGTAGTTCCTTCTATTCTCGATTTCGAAAAGAAGATTTTCGATACAAGAAATGAATTCTTAAAGAATAACAAGACTTCTAAAGTTCCAAAGGATATGCAGTCTATCGAATTAATGAGAGAACTCGCTCCACTCTTCAAGGACTTCTTTGCTTCTAAGAAGGCAAATATCACTTTCTTCCTGCCAACTGAACAAATCTCTAAGATCATGGCACACTATCCTAAACAAATCACTGAAGAAGACCTTCTTGAGAAGAAGAGAAAATAAGTTATTAATATTTTTTTTTATCTATATTGTTGAATCGTTATTTTATTAAACAAAGTTTATTTTATCAAATGACTTTCTATTCTTTTTATTATTGTCTCAATAATAATAGTTTTCTCCCTATGTTTGGTTCCGAAATGTACTTTTCGAAGTCAATTATCATGAAATTAGGATGACATCAAGAATAAAAGAGTTATGTGAGGAAAAGAATTACCAGATGTTCAATTCTTTGGACATATTGCCAATTCGACAAATTTTTTAGGTTAATCATGATAATAATAATCTAATTTTTCATTTTTTTAACGTGTAAATATCTCAATTATCTTAATTTTTGAGAGTCAGACGGAAATAATATAAAATGAAGATGCGCAATCAAATTATTTGATCTTTTTACTGAAGTAATAAGAAACATTTCGACTTTGTTGTTTTTTCTCATACATACATTTCTTTATTCTACAGATGTTACATAGCATCAAAATATTCTTAAAGCTGGAATTGAATTCATATTATACTTAGTACGGATATTTTAAAGAAGATTAATTGATCATAAGTTAAAAGGTAAATCTAAATTAAAAATATATATTGAATAAAAACATACATTTTATAAGACAAATTATACAAGAGTTGAGTAATATGTAATTCCAAGTTCCTTTCCGTGTGGAGATTTTGCATAACCTGGTGATTTTGGTTCTTTCTTCGGAGTACTAACGCTATGGTAACTTGTTGTTGTATTCTTGGCATATACATCCGTTTTCTGAGACAGGATGCTGATTTCATTCTTGGTTTGTTTGATTTTTGCCAATGTAGCTTCATGTTTTGAGTCAATCGAAGCTTTTGAAGGAGATCCTAAAGCAGAGAGAGAAAGATCAGACTGTGATTGATGCTTTGCTGGTGATTTGTATGGAGAATTAAAACTCATTGATGACATTTTGAAATTTTTATTGCTCTTTTGTAAACGTCAATTTTGTAAAAAGACGAAAGAATGCTTGTGTTTATTATATTTGGCAGTTGAAATATCACGTGTTGAAGCATAATTGATAATGAACTTTCGAATGATAATAATGCATTAATTTATCAATACTTATTGATTCCAAATTTATTGAAAATATTTGAAGAGCTCCCATGCTAAAGCCAAAGCACAAAACATGCCCGTATTAAGTATAAAAGTACTTACATAAGAGAAACTAATAAATATAAGTTACTTATATCTGACCTTTTAAAAGAGTAACGATTATTAATATTACTCATTAATTTATATCAAACCTCAACTTATTCTTGTTGATAATTTCTTTGATCCAATATTGAATTTGATAATTTTGTATTAAACTCAATCCAAAAGTAGGCTTGTAGGAACTTATAGATATGCATCAATTTGGTATTATTAATATCAGATAATTTATTGAGTTGCAAAATTGCATTTACAAAAATACAATATTTCGTCTGAAAAATTATCAAATATAGGATTCATTTCATTTCTGTAATTAATTGTGCAATTTTGGCATGAGTCATCTTTTCCCGTCTTATCCTAAAATATTCATAGTTTTCTTGATTAATTTCTGAATGAATACAAACTATTTGGAGCTACCAAAGCTTATTTGGGATGATGATGGAACATGCAGTAACAAAAATATCCAAATAATATCTAAGCATATAAGTCAAGGACATACAAATTCAAAAGAGATTAGCAATATCATTAATACTTTTATTCATTTGAATCCTCACAAGGCAATCATCTATTTAAAGTATATTCCATCATTGATTTTAAAATATCCTGATATGATATTTTTCTCTCGATATATAATTTGCGAATTTTGGAAAGAATTATCAACATTCACAAGTATTCCTAATGAAGAAGAAGTGATTTATGAAAAGGACACTCTTTTATATTTCTTGTTCAATGATTTACCTGATAATATTAGGAAGTTTGATTTAGATCAAAAAGTTCTGTCTTCAGATATAATTGGTAGCTATTTATATCTTCCGAAGGATAAAGATTTGAATTTGCTCGAAGTTTCTGCTTTATTCGGATCTTTGAAAATGTTTAATTATCTTAAAGAAAAGATCACATCAAATCCATTAGAATTAATCAAATATGCAATCATTGGAAGAAATAAGAGCATTATTGATCAAATTATGATCGAAGAAACAAGCGAAATCAATGATTTGAAAGCCTCATTCTTTGTTGAATGCCAAGGAGAAATAAATTGGAATTCGGCAATAAAATTCTACAACTATTCTTTGTTACAAAACTGTGATTTAAATCATGTTGATACAAATGGGGAAAATGCAATTCAATCCGCAATCAAAAACAATAGATTATTCTTGGTAAGACACATTATTAATAACAATAATCCACCAAATTTATTGCAGTATCTGATTTTATCAATGAATGAAAACAAGTATCAAATATTCAAAGAACTGATTACGAAAGAAAAGAATATTGATAATATGATCAAACTCATACAAATTTCATTCAAGCATGACATCAAATACTTCATTCAAATCATTTCTTCAATCAAAAATAAAGATATTGGAGGAATAATAAAGATTATTGTTAATTGTGGAGATGAAAAGTATGTTCAAGAATTCATGAAGCATATTAAAATTCGAGAATATCAAGATCCAGAAAATCTTGTCTATATTATACTCCCATTTTGCATTGACATTGATATTTACAGGTACTTATTCTCAATGATTCATGATAAAAAGAAATCATATAACTGCAAACTTTTCTCTCTTTGTGTTGCGATTTTAAAGAAAAACTATGATTTAGTTGATGTTTTAATCGAATTAGGTACAGATTTGAATGGCCATATCAATTCAATCTATATTCAATTGCCAATTCAAATTTTCATGTTATATGTTTGTACTGCTGATCAATGTATTTATCCAATATTCCAAGCTCTTCAAAACGATGATGAAAAGATGTTTAAATACATTTTGGATAAAGGATATGATATTAATCATAGATTGTCAGATGGAATGACAACATTAATGAGAATTGTTTTATTCCCAGAACAAAGATACATTAAATATCTTCAAATCTTGATTAATCATGGGGCATACATGGAAATGCGAGACAAGCAAGCAAGTACTGTTTTAGAAATTTCCATTTTAATAAACAACATTGAAGCTGTCAAATGCCTATGCAAGAATGGCGCAAGACTCAACTACAATAAAATTGAAAAAGAATATACAATATATACTCCTCTTAATGCAGCAATGAAGACAAGGAATTATAATATTGCTAATATCTTAGTAAGTTATGGAGCAAAAGATGTCGATCCATTGATGGCCAACCAAAAAGATGGACTCGAAATGTTACGATTCATCTTCACAAAAGTCTTAAATGTTAGAACATGGAGGAATTCCAACAATATGACAGCATTGATGATTTTTGCAGAGAACAATCCAGATCCGCGATTCTTAGAAGAGTTGATCAAACTTGGAGCTGATGTTAATGAAACAGATGAAGTCGGAACAACTGCTATTGTAACAGCAACAAATCTAAACAGGCTGGAAAATATTAAATATCTTGTATCACAAGGAGCTAATATTAATTGTGTTTCTCAAATGCAAAATCTTGTTGATATTGCAGTGAGAAATAATCAAGAGAAAACTCTCGAATTATTATTCAAACTTGGTGCAAAAATTAATCAAAACAGTTTACTCGATCATCCAATCTTTATGGCAATTCATTACCATAACTTTTCAATGGCTAAGATCTTACTTGAAAATGGTGAAGATCCGAATTCAAGAAAGAAAGGTTTCTTAATAACGACTTATGACCACGGAACAAAAGCTAACGAACGATCAGATGATAAAACGTGGATGATATCTGATGAAACTCCTCTTATAGCAGCAATTCGAGAAAATTGCTATCCAATTGTTGATCTCTTACTCAAACATCATGCAGATGTTAACATTATAACTAAATCTGGATTGAATGCTGTTTTCGCTTCTATTTTGAAACGAAATGAAAAGATTTTTGATATTCTTCTTCTCTACAATCCAGATTTAACGAAACCATTTTATGGAGATAGTTCTTTATCTATTCAAAATGGTGAAACACCAATAATGCTTGCCAAAAGACTACAATTACATGGTATTGTTAAAAAGATCAATAGATTAATCCCTTTAAAATAAAAGTAAAAAAGTCGATGGGTTAATATATAATTTGCATGTTTCTTATAATTTGTTAGAAATCGTTCAATAACTACATAAGTTTTTTATGTAACATCATGGAATAATGTTATGCATTCGTTTTTTTCATCTGATGAAAACTTGTTTAAATCTAAATAGAGAATCATTGTATCAAAGAAGATCTTTAATTTGCCATAAAAATTGAATATTTCTCTTCCTGAAATATTGAAGCCAATAAAATTCAATGTTGAGTCTGCATCCCTTAATTTATCTGGAATTGTAAGAGCAGTATCAAATGAATAAAAGCAAGTATTAGCAATGCTGATATAAAAGTTGAGGTTTGAATTGTTGACGCAGTGTTGAGGATAATAACTTACGATCATAATATTAAAATTAAAAATTTTTGAAAATCGATATACGGAGTTTGAATTTTCACAAATTTCGATTCAAGAAATTAACACAAAGTACGATTATGGCAAAAACGATTCCACGAAAATTTTGCCAAAATTATCAAATTTGAATTTATCGTCTTAACACTATTAATATATTAGTGAGTAGTATGACTTGTAAAAAGAATCATATATAGGTTTAAAAGCAATTTATAACAAATAATATGAAATTATTGCAAACATATTGAATAATAATCTATTTTAAGTATGTACTAGCAAAGAAAAATGTAATATACTTAGAATTATGCAGTATGAGTTCTCCAATTTTTTTCAAAAATGAAAAAATGACATAAACAATATCGAATTGAATATTTAATAAATGTTTACGAAAAAAAACATTGAAAACTAATGTACTTCGGCTTGTATATTTAATAAATGTTTACATTGTTGGAAGAATATTTGAAAATATAAATTTACAATATATATTTCGCCAAAGTAATTTTTTAAACTCTCCAAAACTTAGTGATTTTTCATGTATATTTGATACTTGTGAATATTTTCTGGTCAAATGATAATGTTTCGGTATAATTTATTCTCAATGAAAATTAATACTAATCAAAAAGTTAGAATCCAGGCCTGAAACTTCGCTTAAATGATTGACTCAGATAATAGGTTTAAATGAGCCCAAAATGTATTTTTTTCAAAATTTTTGTTTTCAAGATTAATTTAAAAAAGTATACAATATGACGATACAAATTTTAATTTAAGCTTCAATAGATGCAATAGAATAGCATTCATGACAGATAATAATTCCGATTAATGAAATTTTTCCAATAAAATGTTTTGAACCAATAAAGTTGCATTAAATTCAAGAATACTAATATTGATGAATTATTCAACTTGTTTTGATGATTGTTTTCAGTTAGTCACCGACATCTGAGCTAGAGTGAATTTGTTTAGGAGATTTTCAAAATATTCCTTATTGCCATAAAAATAAGGTGGTGTGCATGAAATTTCGCCAAAAAAGTACTCTTTTTCATCAAATACATGTTTATAGAATAATATCTTCTTAAATTCTGGGTCAATTTTATCTTGATATTTTTCCCAAATTAACTTAATCCCTGATTGAACGCAGATAAGAACATCAAAAGTATATTTAGTGAGATATACTATGCTTTCTTGGTGAATATCCTCCCAAGACCAAGAATTTTTGATTGCAAGCCTATATTTGAAAAAATTTTCGCGGAATGGTGTAATGTCTTTATAGGTTTTGTTAGAAATGTCGGCAAATGTATTTATACATTCAATTTTTTCTGCTTTTGAAAATTTGTCCAAATCTAAATATAAAATCATTCCTACATAAAATCGTTGGAAATGAGTATAAAATTTGTATATATCTCTTTTTGAAACAGTGAATTCGATATCTCTAAAAGTGTTATGTGCTCCGAACATATCGCGGGGTATTGTTACAGACTTTTCAATTGGATATAAGCATTTAGCGCAAATACTAAGATATAGTTCCTCGTTTGCTTGGTTTGAACAGGTTAAATGATGATTATCAATGAGCATTATAAAAAAAAGATCGATTATTTTGGATTCAAAAAGTTCAATAGGATTGTGTAATAATTATCAACATCCTATAGCCTTCAAATGTATCACAAAAATTTTCTGTAACCATTTCTCTCAAATTTTTTGTAAAAAATTTAAGGATTCACTCAAACGATATAGAGTATTCAATTTTTAAATAATTTACAAAATCAATAAATCCGTGTTTCCATAGTAAAATACTATAATAACCCCATTCGTTACTACATAGTGGTTTATAATTTCTTTTTACAGACAAAATATCAACTTCTCACCTAATCATTTGCGACATAAAGTTAGAGATGTCATAAAAATTGAGAGAGTATGAAAGTGGTAAGTACATACATTAATTTCTTCAAAAAAAGTCGTAAAAAATATATAGAGTGCACTTACCACATTCTGACATCTTTTCATATCATCAATATATGACTTATTATAATACCAAACAAGTATAAAAGCTTTTATGGGGTCATACAATAACTTTTAAAGACCAAAAATATTAATTCTTCACCTTAGAAATTGGGTCATAAGAATTTGAAATTACTAAACTTGAAATCATATTATTCGCGCTTGTCTCTCAAAATTTTAGGTAATTGAAAAGTTGACACATGAAGAATATGATTTCAAGTTTATATTTTCTTAATAACGTAACTGAAAAATAAGCCATATTTAAATGGTCAAGTCTTCTCCCGCTTTTGAGAACTTTTTCATGCAGAATTCACACCCATCATTGGCAAGGCTATTCAATTTTGAGAGCAGGTAAATAAGTAAAATATTTTCCAACTACGCTAAATTAAAAACAAAAATGAATGTAAAAGAACAATAAACTAAGATGAAATGTTTAAAAGATGGTGAAAAGATAAAAGAAGGTGAAACTTTGATTAAACAATCAAATAAGCAATTAAAAAAACAAAATAAAGAGTTGGCCAAATAAAAAGAAGCCAACAAAACAAAGACACGAAGTCTTGTAACAGTTAAATAACAAAAAAAATAAAAATAAGCAGTGAAATTAAGCAACAATTGGAACCAGTTGCACGCGAAGTGGACGAACTGGTGGTGAATTGGAGTATGGCTTGCTGCCGACGGAATTGTTGGCAACGTCGAGTGAATGTGTTTCCGCGAAGGAAATTTTTGGTAAATTCGAGTAATCGGTTTCGTTTGGATCACTGAGGAATTGGGAGCACAAAGCTTCATCAACAGTGATCCTCTGGGATGGATTGTACTTGAGCATTCCGAGAATTAAAGGAATCGCTTCAGCTGACTCTCCAACGAGGCATTCGCTAAGAATTCCTTCTAAGGAGCGGTCACTGTCGCGAACCATGTTCAAGAGGTTGATGTTTGAGCATGAATTATTTGCAAAATCGTTTTCGTTTGGTTTTCCGAGGACAAAAACGATCGCAGCGAGTTGTGAGATATCTGAGGATGTTAGAGGACGGAATAATGGTATTCCTGTAAGCATTTCGAATAAAATTGCACCAAGTGACCAAATATCAGAAGAATAATCGTATTGTGTGTTACCAAGGATGATCTCTGGTGCTCTGTAACCTGGTGTGACAACTCCGAGTGTTCGTTGGGAGTTGCCTTTTGTTAAATCACGAGATAAACCAAAATCACCAAGTTTTACAACGTTGTCACGTGTAATGAAGATGTTGGCTGGCTTGAGATCTCTATGGACGATGTTGAGATCATGACAAGCCTTGACTGCATTGAGAATTTGCTTGAAATAGCATTTTACAGTTTGTAATGGAAGGCCTTTAGTATTTCTTGAATGGATGAGGCCGTCAAGGTCAAATTCGCAGTAATCAAATACCATATAAGGCTCTTCCCCACTGTTTGAACGAAAGATTTCTCTTAAATTGATAATATTCGGATGTTTTAAGGTCTGCAAGTTGGATGTTTCACGGTAGAAGGCCTGTGGCAATGCCTGGTTCTGGTTAAAGATGCGAACCTTCTTGATCGCAACTACTTCTCCGTTTGTTGGATCAATCGCCTTCATAACGTTACCGTAACATCCCTGACATATTTCTTCGATTGCGCGGTATTTCTCAAAGATAGAAACCCGATTCTGGCGAGGTCGAGTTGTTGGTAGTATGTTGAAAAAAAACGAAAAAGAAAAAAATTGAAAAATAATCGTTTGACTAAATAAACTATTGAATTAGAATTTTTAAAAGTGACATGCGACCACGTGAATAAATAAGAAAATTTTCTAAAGTTTGGATGTGAAAATCTATAAGCACATGATTAAGACCAAGTTTCTTTCAAAATTTTGAAAACCGTAGAAAATCTCAGAAATTCAAGTTATGTGGTTTGGTATATTTGGTCTTTCCATTATATATATCACTTAGTTTAAAAGATAAATTTGTAATAAACAGAAATTCATCAAAAGTGACAGCTCTCAATTTTTTGACATTTGTAAATTCTAAATTGAATGAGAAAAATGAAATAATACTAAGCATAATACAATATTCTAGATTTAATTATAATTAGGAAAAAGTTAGTTTTGAGAGTACTTTTCATAGGCATATAGAATGAAATCTTCTGAAAAATAATATCACATAAACTCATATTATTTTCTAATATATAACTATTTTATATAAAAATCAAATTCAATGATCTTAAAAGCGAAGGATAAACCTCAAAATTTACGAATATAATGAGTGAGAATATAATGCTTATCTATCATAAAACCATATGAAATATCAATTTTTGCTTTACGCCTAATTTTTGACGACAATTAGCAAAAAATGTTAAATGTTAACACTCAGTCCATTTGAATATGAAAAATAAAATTGACTTTGATTAAATGTTTTTATTTATCATGCAATTCTTCTTGCGACCAAAGATTTGAATAAAAGTTCAAAAAATAAGATAGCTTAAAAAATAATATACGGTAGTGTTTACTAATAGATGAATAGTATATAAATTCTATTAAAATGGATTTGATCCAAAAAATATATAAAATTTGATCATAAATAAAATCGTTTTTAATTACTTCTTCATTTAAATTATAACAATTATTTTTGGTTTTATATTTTTTGGATCAAATCCATTTTAATAGAATTTATATACTATTCATCTATTAGTAAACACTACCGTATATTATTTTTTAAGCTATCTTATTTTTTGAAATTTTATTCAAATCTTTGGTCGCAAGAAGAATTGCATGATAAATAAAAACATTTAATCAAAGTCAATTTTATTTTTCATATTCAAATGGACTGAGTGTTAACATTTAACATTTTTTGCTAATTGTCGTCAAAAATTAGGCGTAAAGCAAAAATTGATATTTCATATGGTTTTATGATAGATAAGCATTATATTCTCACTCATTATATTCGTAAATTTTGAGGTTTATCCTTCGCTTTTAAGATCATTGAATTTGATTTTTATATAAAATAGTTATATATTAGAAAATAATATGAGTTTATGTGATATTATTTTTCAGAAGATTTTGTGTTCTTCTTCAAAATTTTATTTTTTATTAAAAAGAATCTTTACAAAATATACATTTACTTTAATTAATATTTAAAAACGTGCTCTATCAAAAGTTCCAAAAATTCAATATTTTAGCTTTTCTGAGGTGTCACTTTTGATGAATTTCTGTTTACAACAAATTCAGTCTTTCGATCCAAAAAAAACATGAATTTCAATAAAATTTCCAAAAAATTGAAGAATTAGTCAAAAGTTTATAAGCATATGATTGTAAATGATGAGTAATGACATATCTAAAAGGAAATATTAGTTAACTCAATGATAATAAGAAACAAAATTTTCCTCTATCTTATCCAACAATATTTGTAGGAACTATCTTATAATATATGAATTATACAATAAAATTATCTTTTTAAAATCGCACATATTGTCTTCAATGAATCAGAAAATTGATTCTAACAAATTTTTGAACCTTATTATTCCAAAAAAATCAAGAATTTTCAAAAATGAAATAAAATATTACAAAAATGCTTAGGCATTTTACCAAAACTGAAAAATTTTGAAAAAATTAATCAAAGCAAATTGCTTTCTGAAAGCCATGGCAGCATCGTGCAGTCAGAAAAATCTCGAAATTGAGATATTTTTATATCGAATTTCATCATTTACTCAACTAGGGTTTCCTATTGTGAGTTATTCAATACGTCAATATCTTAAAGTCAACAATCCTATCAACAATCATGCTTTATCAAAATTAAAATCCTTTCTACTATAAACTTGCTATTTACACCTTTCATTCAGCATCAAAAGCAAAAAATCAGAAGAACCCACCGATACAATTGGAGAATTATCAATCCTTATTTTGATTTAATCAAGAAACTTTACCATAAAAGATCAAAATGATTAACTTCATATGAGATCTGAATAAACAATCATAAGTGAACAGTCTCGTCGAAAATTACCGAAATATTTTAATGAAATAAACAAGTTATTTTATCTCCATGAATTCCAACTCTTCTACTATACGTATTTCATTTTCTTCTTAGATTGCAATTAAACACATACATTTTAAAGTAAAATGAGTATTATTTTAAAAATAGTTTTTATCTCAAAATTAAAAGGAAATCATTCTATGCCAGCACACACAATATTCCTATTCTCCCTATACAGAGTCTCTTGGACTCAAATTCGGTCATAAACCTTTTTTTTGAATTGGCAAATTTGGAGAAATGACGAATAAAAAATGTCACTTTTTTATTTAAAGACAAGACATTTTCATTTAGAGCTGGATCATAAATCAATAAGTCGTCTAATTTGCCAAATCGACCCTTGACAGAATCTATTTACTTGGCACTCACTTTTATTGTTCTTTTTCCAAGGAAATGAATTTCAAACGTTTATTGCATCAAGCAAATAAATTATCCCAACAAATGCTTTTACAAACGACTTTTCTCATATACGCCACTATCCAATTCAATCATATTGCTGTCTTGTGGAATTTTTCGAGTATTTAATGACTTGGTTATCCCTCTAGAGATTTCTATTAAAGACAGCAATTTAAAACTTAGTTACATCAATTCGCTCGTTATTTATCCCATGAATTATGAATGTTAGAGATGATTTTTTCCAAGTAGAAGAAATTTACAGATACACGAGTTCAAACCCAAGAAGTAATACTCTCTTTAACTCCATACCTTCATTATGACTCGAAAAAAAATTTCAAAAAAATTCATCAATGAAAAAAATTTAAAAATTCAGGGGCAGGCCGGAATCGAACCGACTACCCAGGGATCTGCAATCCCTTGCTCTACCGGTGAGCTACTACCCCAATTACATAAGATATCTTCTGGAAAAGCTCCAGAAAAGTTATTTTTCCAAAGTAATATTATCGAATTTCTAAAAAGTCAAATTTTATACCATATCATTGTGCAATTTGAATAGTCATAGGTTATAACTAGAAATTATCTCTTTTTTATTTATATATCTTGAAATTTACAAATTTATAATTTTTTTATCTGAAGATATTTGTAGTTTTTAATGAATATAAAAAATCTATTCATAGAGTTAAATAGAAAAATGAGATTGTTCTTTTAAACTTTCCTATTTTAGAAATAAAAATTGTGCATATGCAAAGAATGGGAATGAAAAATAAGAGATCCGATTCCCAGAAATACATACCGACGTAAAATATCCGTATAGTTCAATACCATAGAAAGATAATTCCATAGTTCCGCAGGTATCTTTTCCGGCGCTTGAAATTCTCAAATATTTCAGAATTCTTTCTTCTGGAAAAACATACTCTCTAATAGTATCAATATCACAACCACAATTCTCTTCACTTTTTTTAGCACAAAAAGGAAGATTCGTATTCATGATATGCTTATAATTTTTACCATCCAATGATGATTCTATTTTGCTCGCATTGAGATATCTCAAGTAAAGTCCATCCCTTATTTGAATCTTTCTAACGCTCACATATGTCTTTGGAAAAGACAATGTTAGAGTTTGAGTAGTAGTACCATAAGATACAAAAGCTCTTGATGAATTCCAATATAAAGCATTTGTACAATAAGCATCATAACCAAGAAAACTGGTAACATTAGAACTACTGCACGATATATATGCTTTTTCAAGTCCATTACTTTCTACAAGTGTTGACACAAGTTTTAATTTCATCTTTCAATTTGTGAATTTGATATTATGAGCATGAAATATTCCCATTTTCAAGCACTTTACCCTCAACATAAAGGCGAAACACATGATCAGTTTAGAAAATCATGTGAAATAGATTTCGGAAGGAAAAGCTTGAAAACAAATTTGTGAGTGTCAAGCCGCCGTATCACGCAATTTCATATTTGCTTTATTATCAATCTAATTAAAAATAAAATAACTTTTATTTTGAGAATTGTAAAATTTTTATTGAATTCATTATTTTCAAAAAAATGGAATTAGAACCTATTCAAGAATTAGATGAAGAAAACTATGAAGAAGATATGGATGAAATGTCCATGATGTCTACTCTTCAGAGATATCTCACAAATATCAGTGAAAGCACATACGATGAACTTGATTTGTACTTCCATTCAATTCCGTTATCACAGAATCCAGATTTCTATCAACTTGTTATTGATGAAATCATTAGTGCATACTCAGTCAGACCTTGGAATTTGAAACTGCTTGCAAAATTATGTTATTCTATGAAGGACCATGAAGGATTTAAAGAGAATTTACTTGCAACTGTGTTCAAAGCAGAACTTGACTTCAGAAGAGTTGAAAATATGATCACTCGTGTTTGCCTTCTCAGAGAATGTTTCAATTTAAGATTGACTGACGTTAAAACGCTCGTTACATGCCTATCAAACTTCAAGCGCAACTATTCAAACCTTCCAGAAGAACTTTTCATTCTATTTATTTACTTTGCTCCAGAAATTGAAAAGCATTACAACGAAATTTACAAAAATTTGATGGAATACTTCCGTATATTACATGCAAATTGCAGAGTTCCACAAGCCTACCAAATGTTTAAGAATTTCGAGCAACTTAAAGAAAATGATTGGCAAGGTCTTCATGATTGCATTGAATTTGCAGGCACAAGCGAGAGTATACAATACGCAATACGTCATGACGATCTTGAAAAGTTCAAAAAAGTCTGTCCAAACGTAAATACTCGAATTCCAAAGAGTGCTTTTGAACAATGCGCAATTTCACAATTCGTCATGGTTCCTCTTCAATACGCTACGCTATTCAACGCTACAAAGATCGTTGATTACATACTTACTCAAAATCCTGATATATTAAACACAGGACCAATCAGCAGCGGCGATTTCTATGATGGCAGAGTCGAAGCTGTTTACGATGGCAAGGAAAGTCCGGAGTACGAACAAAGCATTGCCCTTGCATTTGCTTATATCAGTAATCCGAAGTTAGCAATCCGCTACGAACAGATGAATTTCGGAATGGCCGCTGTAACCAAATACACAGCCGCCTTCAGAGCCAACTTTTCAGTTAATTACGAAGAGACAGATAATTACGAATGTCTTTTTGCAGCCGTTCGAAACAACAACCTCGAAGCAGTTGTCAGTTATCACAACAGCGGCTGTGCCATGGATGTTCGGTCAGATAATAACATGCTTCCTGAGCATATTGCCGCTAGTTTAGGACATTCATTTATTTTGCAAGTTTTGATGAGTTTCTCCGACCAATCAATTTTCAATGTTGATGACGAGGAAGAAGAAGAAGCTGAGCCAGGAAAAGGACCAACATCTGAAGGTGATTATTTCGGAAGACTTCCAATACATCTTGCTTGCATCGCAGGACATTTCGATGTCGTTCAAGTTCTTGCGAAAATGAATGTTGATATTAATTCAGCTGATAACATGGGAAAGACATGTTTGTTGTTGGCTGCTGCTTCTGGACATACAGCAATTGTTGACTTCCTTCTGAAACAAGGTGCTGAACCTAATGCTAAAGACAGAGAGGGATTTACACCTCTTTTGGCTGCAGCACAGAACGGAAGAACAGATTGCGTTAGTTTGTTGGTTAATTGGCCAAATGTTGATTGCACTGCAACTGCTGAGTTCGGAACAAACGCTTTGCATATCGCTGTACAAGGAAATTATTTAGATGCAGCTGAAGAACTACTTAAGTCAAAGAAATTCCCTCCAAACGGAAAGGATATGATTGGAAGAACTCCAGCGGATTTCGCAACTTCAAAAGAAATGTTAGATTTACTTGATCGATATTCTCAATAAAGAAATAAAATTTAGAAAAGTTGTATAAACTCTTTTATAAATTTATCAGGCAATACAAATTTTGCTTCATTTATAAGGAGATGGGAGAAATTTCTGAAAATTTTTGACATTTTTTTGTTATCAAAATCATTGTCTCAGTCTTCCTTTCAATAAAGATCAAGTACCGAAAGACATATGGGAAGAATACTACGGGACACCAACAGAAAATTATACAAATATCACAGATAACACAAAACCAACAATTTCTAAAAATTTCTTTTTACTTTCTTCAAATTTCATTAATTTTTCATCAAATGTCATTAATTGCGAAATCGATTCAATTAAATTACTACATTCGATATGTACTTATACTAATATTTCACGTAATGAAGGGGAAGGTGGCTGCATCTTCTTCAATGGTAGCAGTTCCATTGTTCAAGACCGATTTTGTTCTATTAGGTGTTACACGTCAGGCGATGGAAAGCATTCATACACGGATGTTAAAACATCCGCAAACAAAAATTTCGTCAACTTAAGTTCTCTCTATCAGTGCGGTCGCGATAACACCAGGGATTCCAGTATATATCATAATTTTGGGATTAAAACTCTTATTTCTACAAATAACACTAAATCAAGGTGTAAACTCTTTGCAGGCTATCATTTTCTATTTGATCCAGTTAATATTACCTTTTGTTGCTTCGTTTCTAATGATAACCATGAATCAAATCCATGTTGTATGGCTCATGTTGGAAATCTTGATTCATTTGTTAAAAAATCAATCTTCAGAAATAACTCAGTTCAGTTTGAGGGTGCTTTTGCTGGTCTTGTTACATCTTCTTGGGAGTCAAATGTTACTATATCAGAGTGTATTTTCTTCGAAAATAGCGCAAAATATTCATTTGGTGCATTTGTTAATGGTATTCTTACAGTTATAAACTGTATCGGAGATTTGTCTTCAAATAGTACTTTCGATGGTACAGTTAATACAGAAAAAATGAACACAGATTCTATTAATCTTAGACTTTCTCTTCTTTCATTAGGTAAATGTGAAGCAGAAAACCCATTTTCATTTGAATTAAGCTTGTTTGTCAGTGAAAAGAAGAGAAAACTCTATTTTAGATTTAATTTTACCCTCATATTTTTATTTCTTTCAAAAAAGTCATAAAATTTTTGAATTATATTCATCTGTACGTTATTTTTTTTCCCTGATTTATGAAGTCTGAACAGTATTTATTTAGCATTTATGAAAATATTGATTTTTTCTATCCAAATCATTGGGATATAATAATAAACAAATCAAAATGACAGAGTGTGTAAGCATGAAAAAGATTTCAATCGTTTTGAAGTAATATTTTTAAATTTTCCAAAGGTAAAAGATAAAAATGTTTATAAAAAATATTTATTGACAAATTAATAAGAGCTATATGATTGTAGTTCATGCAGTAAACTTGACATCCGACAACTTCGCGTTCTGATTATCGAAAGTATCAAAGACAATCAGTTTGATTACATCGCCACTGACTTGGTATGGAAGCATAAATGTCTGTTCTCCAGTTTCTTTCTTTACTTCGAACCTAGAAGTCATGATTTCTGGAGTTCCATTCTTATAGAAGTATAAAGCGAAGTCTTTGATGGTTGCCTCACTATCCTGGCATATTGTAACTGCTGAGAATGTCTTAACTTTCCTTGATTGTGTCTCAAATGTGTAATTTCCAACTGAATTTCCTAAGTTCCAAACTCCATCAACTTTTTCAATGGAAACACGTTTTTGTTTCTTAAAGATTACGTCTAATGCACGTTTTAACAATGTTCCTTGAATTGCTGGAAGTCCAAGTGGTCGAATTTCTGTTAATATCATAGATAAATTCTTCTTATCTTCAATACTTACAACTTGTGGCTCGGCAGGAACAAAGCTTTGTTCAATTGATTTGATCCTCTTTCCAATATCCTCGATTTCCTTTGTATTTTGATCGCGCTTGTCTAATAACTTATTGTATTTGTCTTTAACATAATCAATGATGCCATTGATCTGTTTAATAGTATTATCCCACTTATCTTCTATTTCTTGAGTGATTTCTACATAACGATCAATACATTCCTTCTTTGGAACAGGGGTTGGAACCGGTGTAGGAATTGGAGTTGGTGTCGGAACAGGAGTTGGAATTGGAGTTGATGTTGGAACAGGAGTTGGAATTGGTGTAGGACGTGGAGTTGGAGCAGGAGTAGCAGTTGGCTCTGGAGAAGGTATTGGTGTTGCTGTTGGTTCTGGTGTAGGCAATGTCTTTGGTTGTGGTGTTGGTTTTGGTTTAGGAACGGAACGCGGCTTGAGGTGACTGATAAGCTTCCAGAAGCCACGAATTTCTCTCTGTATAAAGTAGCCAATGTATTCAAAAATACATTTCATTCCGAGCTTGAATAAATCAAATATAGATTTCAAAATCTTCTTAATGAATCTGAAAGGTGCAAGCAGGATTTTGCCGAGGAATTGTAAATCACGTTTAAGATCGAAGTTTTTGAAATGATCGTAAATTGCTTTCAATGAAAAGAAAATGAAGTTAATACAGTACTTGATTGGATTTACCACGAATTGTTTGAACAGGCAAACAATGAGCTTGAAAACCCACCATAAAATTCTGAAAGGCAATTTAATTAAGTAAAGGAATCTGTTTTGAAATACTTTCGGATTGTAGCCCACCTTTATTTTCCCTGCATTCGATCCGTAAACATTCGAAGCAGTGTTATAAGAGTCATCTGGTTGCGAATTGACTGATATAAACAGTGAGAATAAAATATACAAAACAAACATTCGAAAAAATAGAAAATTAATTTTTGCGCGGGCATATTGACAAATTGATTTTACATTTGACACGTAAATCTGAGGATGTTTTATTGTCGTCTGGAAAAAGTGACAAAATTATTATTGTCGTCTAAAAAGGTGACAAATTATTATTGTCGTCTGGAAAAGTGACAAAATTATCATTGTCGTCTAAAAAATAGATTTTTCAAGCATGTTTCGGTACCTAAATAAAGGAAGAACATCAATTCCATCTATGTATATAGTATGCAAACACGCATGATATATGGAGTAGCTCTTTATCTGGCTAAAAATCCTATTATTTGAAAATTCGCATTGTCGTCTAAAACCGCCAGACGACAATAATAATACCCCCGTAAATCTATGGGTTGAATGGGCGTCAAATTTTATGTAAATATGAATTGTTATTAGATTTAGTATCTCTATTATACACTAATTCGTTTCCCGTAAATATTGGCCATTTTCTTGAATGTTTTTGTTTTCGCTTTTTATTGAATGGAAGTGCACAGATAGGCAATGCATAACTGAAAGTGGTGTCTTCCATACTTCTTTAGAATATGGCAATGATTCATCTAAGAAAATTGCAATTGATGCGATAAAATCTGTTAATAATTACTCAAAAATACCTACATTTATACTTGGACCAGGAAACGGACGTACAAATATAGTAACAGAATTCAAAGTTTTTAACGAATACATAAAAAACACAACATTTTATATGCTCGGGTACCGAGGTATCGATTCTGACATAAAATTAGAAGACTCTGACATAAAAACACTAGCTACAATCTCTGAATCTAAGATTACAGATAAATTACTCCAAACAATTGCAAATAGAACTTTCAGTAAAGTGAACGTCAGCAATTTTTGGACTCCTTCACGCGCACTTGACATTGTCAACTTTATGAAAGAAGAAAAAATCCAAATGGCCAACGTTATTTCAATTGGCGAAACCGGATCTTTAATTTGTCATCAATTACTTAGTGATTATCATGAATACTTTAATAGATTCGTAATAATAGGATCATCTGCTCCATCATTAGTCCATAATGAAACTACTCCTCGCTTACTTGGAACATATCGAAGATTATGTCGTGAAGATCCAGCAAATTGTCCATATCAGAACATCAGATGGCTTCCATACGATATACCATCATCAGTTCTTTACGCTTTCAAGGTTTCAAGAGAAAGAGTCATTTTTGCAACAGAACATCAACTTAGAAACCCTAAAGCAGCTGCAACAGCATTTGATTTATTACAATCCATTACAGATAACTCTAAAATGAGCTATATAACCTTCAATACCCTTCCAGGACCAGAGTTGTTAACTTATCGCTGGTTAGACGTTGCAATGCACCTTTGCTCAACACCACAAGACAGATCTTTCTTTGCACCACTCGGATTGAAGCATGTTTGTAATTATATGCCACAACTTTCGAATGAATTTAATCATAAGTTTAATTCTCCAATTTTATTAGTAGTTGGTGAGCTAGATCTTCCAAGAGTTCAATATGTATCTGGTTTCTACAAGAATAATAGTATAAATTCTGAAAATGTCGAAGTTATCTTTTTGAATAAATCAAATTCAAAATATGACTTCGGAAGACCAGATATTGCAACAGAAATATCAAGATTCTTGCATACAGGGTTAGTAAATATATCAAATATCAACCAAACACAGCAAATTGTTTGGAAAGATTCATTTTCAGCAACAACATTCACAAAATGGATAATTGGTATCTCAGTGTTCACAACTCTCGCCATATCTGCTTTCGTAATGAGAAATGGAGGAAAAGAAGATCTTAGCGAGAGAAAAGAAAGAATTCGCCAAGAATGGGCAAGGAATCAACCAAAAGAACCAATTCCTGATATAAAAATATCAAAGAAACAAGAAAAGCAAAGAAAAGATAAAAGAGATTAGAGATTTTTTTTAAAATAAATTGTTATTTTTATATTAAATTACTGTTTCTTTTATAAGTTATCCTCTAAAACTCGAAGACATTAAGAAGGACAGATCTGACTGAAACTGTCCTTGAATCGAAAAAGGAATTCAAAAAATTTTTGATAAATTTTCTAAATTCCACCATCATCTTATGCGTTCTTTATAATATTTAGCACAGCACATATTACTAAACATGTCAAAATTTCATTCTCCACCAGATTTCAAATCAATTTAAAGCAAAATCTGGAAAGAGATACGGATTAGATAACAAATTAATCATTTATCCACTGAATATTAAAATTTGGCAATCTAATAGACTCAGAAACAGTTGGATGATTATCGGTTACTTTTGACAATCTCCTGTCCTTCCCTCAATTTTTCAGAAGTAAAATTTTTTGAATCCGATTTTATATCGCGACCAACTTTCAACATTCAATTATCAGATTCTGATCATGTATTGATTTTTATTGTGAATCTGATTGCATATGATGAATAAAGAAATTTGGAGAAATTGAAATAATTTCTCCAATTTATTGCATGAGATGTATTTTTGCCCTCAAATGCTCTACAAAACATACCAAATAGAAGAGTGTACTATAGTGTTTGAAAATATACTTCATATAATCTCTTTTAATATGATATATTGAATATATAAGTTTTATTAAGCAAACAATGCGTTGTGATATAGCATTGATTTCCTCTCTTATGTGCTATTCTTGCGATACTAATATACCATTTAGGTTGTAATTTTATGAAATCGTATCAAATCAAACTTTTTCACATTATATAACTAAGTTTATTCGGAAATAGTAACTACAAGCTCCTTTAAAACTAATGTTTTAGCTTTAAATGTATAGTTCAGGGAAATTTCCTGATCTTTGGGAAGAAATGGAGTTCAAAAATTATTATCCTCTAAAAAACACCTATGAACATAAAGCCACATCAATAGAAAACCTATTCCATACACATAGAATGAAACAATCCTTTGCTCAATCAATTCGTTAATTTCAATTTCATGCATATCAGATTAAAATTACTAAAATATTCAGTAAAAATGACATTTCTAGCTCTGTTAATCCAAAATTACTCAGACTAAGCAAAATCGAAAATCAGAAATTTGGATTTTACAACAAGAATTTTTAAATAGTGGATTAATATAGAAAATCAAATCAGAAAAGGATGGATAAAATTGTTCGCAAAAATCAACGTCTAACAGCTTTGAAAGATGGCTAATCAAAAAAAGAACACTTTTTAAAAATTTTCAAAGAACTTTTTCAATGAGATACCACAAAATTTAAGAGAGAAATAGTGTATCTGAGATGTAGTTAAAATGTTGGAATTCAAGAAGTAAATTCAATACAATTTTTCGGAGCTTTTCAATGTTAACTAAAGATTTTTTGTCACGAATTGAAGGAAAATTTATTGATTATATATTAATTATTAATATATAATAAGAAAAATCCGAAAATCTTTTGAACACAAGTATCGGTTATTCTGAAAAAGTAATCATAATTGGTGATGTCTCAGAAGACTATCCACATATGTATGCTCGGATCCGGTGGTGTCGGCAAGACAGCTATTACACTTCAATTCGTTAGAAACGAATTCTCTGAAACTTATGTCCCAACAATCGAAGACGAATTCCAGAAAAACATTTCTATTGATGACGAAACCGTTGTTTGCGAAATCGTAGATACAGCCGGCCAGGAAGACTTCAAGGAGCTTCGTAGCCGTTACATTCAAGAATGCGAGGGCTTTGCTGTCGTTTATGCAGTTGATGACGAGTCTTCACTCAATTTCATTAGCGAAGTTTATGACGATATCGTCCGCGTAAAGAATACACAGAAGCCACCTATTGTCATTCTTGGTAACAAGTGCGATCTTCCAGCACCACATGCCGTCCCACTTGAAAAGGCCAAGGCTAAGTCCGCTAGCTCATGGAATAACGCTGAAGTATTAGAAACATCAGCTAAGCAGAACAAGAACACTACCCTGAGCTTCGAAAAGATCTGCCGCCTTGTTTTGAATAAGAATGCTCCAGCTGCTAAGGAGGGCAAGAAGAAGGAAGAAGAAAAGGGTTCTAGCGACGGATGCTGCGAAATTCAGTAAGAAATTCTACTAAATGTATAAAGGTAATGTACATTCCACTTTTATTTTAATCCTTTTAATAATTTTCTAAAGCTGATTGATATTAATAATAAACTCGTGGATTAAAACAAAACGATTTTGTATTAACAGGAAATCTTCATAAGAGTTTTTTAATTTCACCCAAAATCTTAAAGGTTTCTTCCATCGCAATCGTTTCTCAAATTGATGGCCAGACAATTGCGTGAGACATTTCAAGCTGGATAATGGAAAAATATACTCGGGTTTTGTTCACTAATTAAGGGTTTCGTTTTGCTAAAATTGTCACTTTTATAGCATATTTGTTTTTGGATGTTTTGCGAAACCAAAAAAAAACTATGATATACAATGTGTGTGTAAAGAAAATACTTTATTTACTAGTTAAAAAATCATTTGGTATTGATCAAGTTTTTTTTTCTGGATAAGATATTATATGGATAATTGGATGGAAAATACAATTATATAATCTTGTACCTGGTTTAATTAAGCTAATTGTCATCAGAAACTTGTAATTTTTATGAATTTCAGATTTTCTTTTCATTACTGCTTTTCTTAATATGTCAAGTTCTTATTTACGTTATAAAGTATGATATTTACAAATATCAAGTTATCATGTTTTTTGAGAAATTATGAGAAACAAACAAAAATGAAAAAGATAGGAATAGCAATGAATAGTGATGTGGGTATAGAAAATGTAAGAGATATGAATGCAAAGCAATCAGTATTTAGGATATTGACCATAGATTTCGAAAAAAAAATGCTGCATATTGAGCGAAAACTATGATTATATTATAAGGCTGTCATTTAAAGCATAATGAAACTATTCCCTTTTCATTTTAATCGAATAAGATAGTAAAGATTTTTGAATTAGCTAGAAACTGATGAGATGTTTTCACAAATCAGATTTTTAATCTCTATAATGCATAATTCACTCAATATCTCAATTTTGATATTGCGAGATATTTTTGCTATCGGTTTCGCAATTTTGACACAATAGCAAGAGGGTTCTATAAGCATTATTATCAACGTAGAATCTGAATATCATATCAGAAAATGTCGCAAATCTGACATTTACCCGACCAAATAGCAAAAATAATTGAATACTTTTCGCAAAAACTTTAAAAATCGATAAAAATATGAAATATAGATATTAAAGAGACTTTTTATATAATATTCATAAAGATTTTCCAAAAATATGATACCGCAAAATTAAAAAAGTGACGTCTTGAGTGGAGTCAAAGGTCGAAATTGCTAGCTAAATGTTTTTTTAGCGAAATTGCGTATTGTACGTTTTTTTCGCAAAACGAAACCCTTACACTAATTAGTTAATTCTGTAATGGCAATCATAGTTTACTACTTTTATCTAAAAATTGTCCAGTAACGTTTTGAGTTCAAATTCAATTCGACCTTTTCGGTTCATTTCAGAGTGTTCTTTGCATTATCTCAAAAATCATGAGAGCATGATAACGTGCATAAATCAAATTTCGCATCTTTCAAAAATATGCCTGATATTTCAAACCTCTCGCGTTAAACACAGAATTGTCTCTTTCTTATATCTACATTATAGTTTGCTAACGCTTTGATATAAATATTCTTGCTACTTGTGTTTGTTCAGCCGATTCTATTATTGCTTCCGAAAAAGTTCATATTTCTCTTTGGGAAAACTATAACCCTATATGTAAAAACTTTAAATGATATCTAATTTAACACATCGCGATATAATTTTGTTATTTCGTAAAAAATCCAATATATTTTTGAAATTTGAATAAATATTCATATTTATCAAAACAAATGATAATTAAAAACATTCATAATTTATATATAATAGCTGATTTTCTTTCGAACCATCGTAAAAACTTAGAGAAGTTATCCTTTGTTTAATGAAACAAGATATACATATGTTTTCATAACTATATTTGATATTAAGAAATACATTTATTATATTTGAAATTTACAAATAAAACGTGACATTGATGGAGGAAACTCAAGAAACAGCAGTTCCTCCCCCGATCCGCATTTTCACGACAACACAAGACTATCAAGAATTATCCAGTTAACTTGCCAAATTGTGGAAATTGCAAAATGAAGCATTATCACCGCCTACTTTTACAACTATTATCATTAAAAAGTTTAATAAAATCCTTAATCGCGCTAAAGCTACTGCAAATCAGTCAAAAACACTGAAGCCAACTGAATTCGTTTCAATCATGGCTCCTTATATCCCCAAAATTGTTGAGTTGTCTTCTCAACACTTCTTTCAGAGAACAATTCGTGATTTTCAAGTTCTTGTTGCTCAGCTTATGAAGCAAGTCACCGATTTTGGCGAGAATCTTCCTCCTTCTGTTGATAATCGCGCTCCATTGAACAGAATCTCATCCGCCTTACAAAACCTGATGCAAAAGTCATTATTAATCTCATATTTGAAGGCACCACCATCAACATTCAACTCAATTCAGCAAACAATTCGTTCAATTCAACAAGATTTTCTTTCCATGCGTGATACAGCCATTTCATCATCCCAGAAATCCTTTAATTCATTACTTTCCACCTCAAACGAGCTAGAAAATTCAATCAAGCATATCATTGCCGCTCACGGATTCTTATCAATCACAACTGTTCTTCAAAACCTATTACGACACTTTGCATTTGACGAAGACATCAAAATACCAAGTCTCAAGAACGAACACTGCAAGCTTAACCCCAAGCCATCTAAAGAAAGTCCAAATTCCAAAACTGCATCACAAGTTCTCAACGAATACAAAGAGATCAAGAATCCTGATCCAGAGACACGTCAACGCTTCATTACAGAGTTCGAAACATCGCTTGAATCAGAGATCAAGTTCGAATCATGTACATCAGCGATAGAAAGCATCATTTTTGTCATTTTAACAATACAACCACCACAAGATCCAGCTAAAAAAGTGTTTACCAAATGCAGTAACTTCTATTTCTCTGCTTCCCGTGCTGTCACACAATTTTACAAACTTCCTGAATATGCATTTTCCAAAAATGACATTGAACAATTCAACAAAGCCCTGGAGAACTTGCAAACTGTTAGTGACAGCATCATTAAAGCCAGAAAGAAACCTGTTGGCTGGAGTGCACAAGACACAAAATCATTTATGAAATGTACAGAGCCATTGATTAAAATTGGTCAGACATTGACATCTGTTATTGATGTGATTGAAAAAGGAAATCAACTTATAGGAACAAATATCTTTAAACTTAATCTTTCACAGTTATTGCCACGTCCTATTTCATTACGTTTCCTTGTTTCAGAACCTCTTGATGATGAAAACCAAACTGAATTTAATATAAATAGATGTTTGTCAAAAATCACTCCACAATTACAATCAATAACTGAAAAAGGTCTTTCTATGCTTCCAACAGAAAACAAAATAATTCATCCTGCTGATTTCACAACAATCTTTTCTCGTATAAGAGTTAATATCAGATTAATTGAAGAAGAATTATTTAATTTGTCATTAAATAGATTTAATGATTTCCCTGTAGCTAAAGCAGGAATAACTATGTTATCAAGTATTTCTGGTATTCGTGAACGCTTAGAACAATATATTCTTTGTATGAATACGATTCCTTTAGTTATATCAAGTCTTCGTGAAATATCAATGATTCTATATGAACAAGGTTTTTCTGTAAACATGGATCATGTTTTCACAGAAATTAATTCTTTGTTGAATATTATTTTCGATGTTTATCGTATCTACGAAGAAATGGATATAAGTGGTGCCGCGAATTTATCAACATGTTCTCAGTTATCTTTCATTGCTACTTCTATCACAGAATTGACACAAAAATGGCCTGAATTCCAGCCATTTTCGGAATACTTCAGTAACTTAAATCTGTTTAAATTAAATATGACAGAAATATTAAGTAAAATTGAAGAATTCCGTAATTTGTCAACTGATTGTCTTAAACGATGGACATCTGCTGATTATGTCTCTCGTTTCAATGCACAATACAAGAGCATTTATTCATCAGCGACAATTATTCGTCGTGAACAAATAGAAGCATTACCTTCTAAATTACTTGGCCAATTAACAGGTTGGCTTTCCAATTTACCACATTCTCCGCCGAAGAGAACAACTGTTAATGAAATGGACATCAAAATGTCTATATTAAGAAAGATGTTGACAATTTATATCAATACTCATCCTGATAACCAAATTTCTTCACAGTTTGAACAGTTGTTTAATTGTATTGACATGTTCGCACAAATGAACATTCATTTCTACAGTAAATTACAATTAAAGAACTTGTTGTCTTTCTTGGAACGTGTTAACACAGGATCAGATAATCCAACAGAATCTTCTGATGTAGATAACACTGATACAAGTTCAGCGGAACCTTCTAAAAATGATGAATCAAACATCGATTCTTCACAACTTGTTTTTAGTGAAGAAGAAATGGCTTTATGGACTCCTTTTGCTCAAAAAGTTTTTTCCGTTGATCATGTAAGTGTTCATCCACAATTCCCTTCATATACTGAAGAATTCGTTCATTCTCGTGCACGCCAAGTATACGAAGAGTTCAAAGAAGAATGGCGTGGTGAAACATCATCATTCGATACAGAATTGGCAGAAATTGACAGTGAAATTTCACAGCCATCATATGAACACTTGACATTGCATTACCAATCATTTAATGATAAAGTTGTTAGTGCTCTTGAACATAAAGTTGATCTCTTGTTACAGATGCTTCTTGAGCTCAATCCTCCTTCTAGAGGACGTGGTTATCCAAGAGAATTCCCTCCACATCCGAAAGCAGCACAAATTTCGGAACTTTCCAAGATTTTGACAAGTGTTGGAAGTAATCTTAAAGATCTTGAATTCGGATGGTTACCAACACTTCTTGAATGCCGTGGTCTTACTTATAACATCTTCCGTGCAACAGATGTTTCTAGTGACCAAACAACACCAGTTGCATTAATTAGAAACTTAACTAATTGTGCATTTGCTTTCTTCCGTCTTAGCCGATGTTTGTTGTTTGCTAAAGGAACAACACCAACATTCGCTCCTGATTTAAAGATGTTGAAAGTTTTGGTTGGTGGATTACTCGAGAAAACAAGATTTGTTAAAGAAAATTCACCATTGTTATTCCACGAAATTGATCAAGTTGTTAAATCTAACATGTATAACAACTTCTCGAGTCTTATTTCCAGTGTTAAAGTTCTCAAGAGAAGCCGTGCATTGTTTGATGCGAAAGAATTAGTAACAATCACTGATCTTGATTTCTTTGACTTCGGAGATTTCTTCAAGAGAATGAACTGCGAACATATTTCTTTGTCATCATTCTTGGATTCAAACATCTACGAAATCTTCACACAGAACATTTGTCCAGTGACAAAATACGTCGAATCCAATTTCGACAATTCATTTTTGTCTGATCATATCAAAAGTATTTTGAAGTTCAAACAAGAATTGTCTATTTCTCCAATTGCTGTTAGTTGGGATAAAACAGATGATAGATTGACATCATTGACAGTTCTCCAGCAATTGATTGATATTTCTATCTCTTTCGACCGTGTTTGTCCTGTTGTTCAACGCAAAAGAAAAGAACCATTTTTGAGTGGTACTGATTTTCTTTCTATAGAGTTGTTGATCTTTGAGTTGCAGAACGAGATTGAATCTCTTGTTCAATCAAAACCAAGTCGTCTCTGCAAACTATACATTGATTTAACACGTGTTTTAACAGCAATGAAAGATATTTCATCAAAGTTCGGACCGAGAAAATCCAATTCTAGTTCAATGACTAATTTTGTTACGGAATGGAACAACTTTACTAAGTCATTGGATAACTTACCGATGTCCGATTTCCATGGTGAATTCCGTCATCTTTCTAACAAAATAATTGATGTTATCCAAGACTCTCCATCTCTTGGAATACAACGCGAAATCAAATCAATAACTTTCTTATTAAAACATTTCGAAATTTTGCCAACAATTGAAACACTCCGCAAATTACGATTTGCATTCCAATTCTTGGAAGGACAGAAAGGAAGATTTACTACACAAGACACAACGAATACTTTACCTTTCTTCCAGTTACAAGTTATTATTTCTACAATGCTTTCTATGTATCGCATTGTTGAATTAATACCAATGATTACTATTAAACTTAGTAAATCTATTGGACAAGAACTTCCTATTCGTAAGCCAGACATCTTAGAAGTTATTGACAACGAAGAGAAACCAAGTGCTCCTTCAAATAGTGATTTAGAACGTCAATTAACACTGTTTGAACAAACAGCACTTGGTCACATGACATCAGCATTGTTTGACGCGAATGTTGCTGATGAAGAGAAGATTGCAACACTGCCAATCTTGAAGAGATCTGTTGAACATTGCAAGATGATGGTTGAGAACGCGAAACTCTGTAACCAAGAGTTGGAATCAATCAATAATTCGTTGAAAGAATACGTACAAATCAAGTCAGTTCCTAATGAAAATAAACAAGAAACAGAAGGTGGAGAATCAGCTGAAGGACGCGAAATTTCAACAGAATTAGATGAAGTTCGATCTAAGAAGGAATACGACATAATCAAGAACAGATACCAGACTACTATGTCTTCTGTTTTGACATTGACATCTGCTAACTACGAATTGTCACAGACGAAGCGTCAAACAGATGCAAGGAATGAGAAAAATCAGAATTTGTCACATCTTATTTCTATCCACAAAGAACTTGAATCTATTCATCAATCTGGTGTTGAATGGAATTCTATCGAAAAACTTCTTACCGATTAAATATTAAAAAGCTATTTGTTTTACTTAACTTTATAAAAAAAGATTTTTTTTGAACTTCGTCTATACAAATTAAAATGAATTTACTTGAAGTTAATTCATTTAATGAGTCCGGAAGTCTCATATGAAATATATGTACGTTCCATATTTCCAATCTGAGAAAGGACTTAATATTTCGATTACGGTTAGAAACAATCATCAGAAACTTAACATGAGACCTAGGAATAAAGTTGATCAATGATGAGATAAGCATTACAATGTATTTTTTTGAGTCATTTTAGCGTGAAGGAAAACTGCAATAACTGAACTTTACATAAATTTTTCAATTAATTGACATGATCTGGTTTCTGAATTTTTTTGACATTTTTGTTTTCAAAAACATCAACTTGGTACTTCTTTAAATAAAGCTCAAGTTCCAAAAGATATATGGGAAGAATACTACGGGAAACCAACAGAAAAGTATAGGTATATCACAGATAACACAAAACCAACTATTTCTAAAAATTTATTTTTATTATCTTCAAACTTCGTTAATTTTTCAGTTAATGTCATCAACTGCAGTATTGATTCTATTAAACTGCTACATTCAATATGCACTTATACAAATATTACACAAAGTTCAGGATTTGGTGGCTGCATCTTCTTCAATGGTAGCAGCTCCATTGTCCAAGACCGATTTTGTTCTATTAACTGCTTCTCAACAGGAAATGGAATGCATTCATATACAGATACTAGAAAAGAAACAAACAAAAATTTCGTTAACTTAAGCTCTCTCTATCAATGCGGTCATGATTATACTGGAGGTTCCAGTATATTTCATAATTATGGAGAGAAAACTCTTATTTCTACAAACAACACTAATACAAAAAGTTTCTCTGGCTCAGGATATTCCTTTCTAAATAATCCAGTTAATATTAACTTTTGTTGTTTCATTTCTAATGATAACCATGAAACAAGTCCTATTTGCATGTGCCATATGAATACAATTGATTCATTTGTTAAAAAGTCAATCTTCAAAAACAACTCGGTTAAAGCTGATGGTACTTCTCTTGGCCTTCTTTCATTAGCTTTCTCATCAAATGTTACTGTTATAGAATGTATTTTCTTAGAAAACAATGCAAATCATACTTTTGATTCAAATTTTAATAGCGTACTTACAATTATTAACTGCATTGGAGATTTGTCTGCAACTAATGTCTGGGGCCATAAAGCTAATACAGATAAAATGAAAACTGATTCTTTTAATCTATCACTTTCACTCCTTTCATTAGGTAAATGCGAAGCAGAACATCCATTTTCATTTGAATTTCCTTTATTCATCAGTAAAATTAAGAGAAAAATCCATTTTCGTTTGAATTTTTCTTTTTCCTTTTTAATTATCGAGAAACAACAGAAAAACAGACAATGACACATATACACTACCATAGTGACTATTCATGAAATATACTTTGGTTTCGGGAGTGACATTGAGTTTCCTTATAGATAGAGTGAATTCTTAAAATAATTTGTTATTCGAATACCAATACAATTCTAAACAGATATTAATATGTCAAAATAATTGAATGTTTTTCCATTTTAAGGCTGCGCTTACGCCCATCCGACTTTAATTCAAATTTTTGACAACCGGCGTGAAGCGTCATTGAAAATCAACCTTAAACATCTGAATTGAAGGCTATACCAAAGGGACGTAAGTGTACCCTTAATTAAACACATTTTCCTACACATAGTATCATTATACTACTCTTCCCCTCAATATTCAGAAAAACTCTTTTCCAGAGATCTTTTGAATGTATGTTTCTGGAAAATTTCGAAGCAAGAAAATCCATATAATACATCAAAAACTCTCTGCAAGTTACCTTTGTTCTATTTCAAGATATGATTCAGGTGAGTAAGTATACAAAACAGATTTAGTTTTGAAACTAAGGCAATACTTTCATATATAATGGACTACTAGATGCCAAACTTTACTCTGAAGGTTTGCCTTATTATATATATATATTCAAAAGTTTATTTTCTTGTTTTTCAATATTTGGAAGAATCTATTCACTTACAAATGCGCTAATTGAATGGATTCACTCTTTATTGACAATACAGGAGTTTCGAAACTGTTCTTTAACATTTGAGTATATTCATAAAGATTGAATTCTTCCATAAAGTCAGGAAAAAAAAAGGGGAAATAATAATTGTTAATTGGATTCACACACGTCAAAATACAGTGTTCCTTAAAATGAATCTAGTATATACAAGTTTTATGGGAGTTCAATATCCAATTTGGATTCTTTAACTAAATCAACAGCATTCGGCCATTTTTGAGCAAGTTCACTCCAGTTTGCAACCTTTGCAATGGAGAACTCAAATCCAGGGAAAACTGTAGCTCCGAATAATCCCCAAGAATTTTCAGAATCATCGACAAGGCGGGCAGCTTGCCAAACACCTACAGGAATTATACTTTGAGGACGCTCGCCAGCTTTAAGATTTGGACCAATAATGTGTTTTTCGAAATGGCCATCTGGGAAAAGTAAAATTTGAAGAGCAGGTGTTCCAGCATGGTAAAACCAGATCTCATCGCTTTCAACTAAATGCCAGCGTGATACATTCTTTGCTTCTAAAGCGTAATAAATTGATGTTCCGCAGCTTCTGTTTGGAATCGAGGCAGGAACACTGCATCTGTAGATTTCATGGAAGGAACCTCCTTCAAAATCGAGGGAGTCCAATTTCAAAATCTCTTTGACTTCTTGAAAATTCATCAAAAAATAATGATCCCATTACGATAAAAATGATCGGAATTTACAATATTGAATCCGTCAATTTTAATCATGAGTCTGTACTAATATCTCAACAAGATGAAAAATTGAAAGCATGAATTGAATTTAAGGATTTTGTCTGAGGCATAATCAGTCAAAGTGACATCTTTCGCAAGGGTTATCATGGATAAGCAATTATAAGATATTAAAGGCTTAACCCAACTCAACAGATGTTGGTTGTAGATGTTCATTTGTAGATAAGAATGTATCTAATACCAAACTTTTACCATTTTCTCAAAGCAGATGAAAGAAAACGAGCAGAAAGAGTCTGCTAATTTCATTGATTGATCAAATTTATCTGAATTAATAGAAATTTAATTTCATGGCTAGATATTCATATAAGAATACTTATGATGCGCATGTTAAACTTTAACATCATTTCATCCCAGAACATTATAGCTTTTGACAGATACTAAGTTGATTTATCCATACAACAATTTTTGAAATAAATTTAATTTGTTGCACGATTCGAATATTTTGAGTCAATTCTGTTCGAAAATTTGTAGTATATGTAAAATATGAACTTAAGATATAAATTTAATTCGTTATCCTTTTTGTAAAGTTTCCGGACGTTTACTATTCGTTTATCAAATCTACAAGACTTAATGAGCGAAGAGTTCCGCATCGATGTACCCACAACAGTCATCGGATATGATGAAGCTATTACAAAGCCAACACTTCTTTACCAGTTTGCTCAGACATTCGGAAATGGAGTATCTAATGGTCCATTCCGCCTTCAAATTACAGATCCGGAAAATCCATTATTCTTATTCACTTACGAATTATCAGTAAACGATTTCCCAGAACTTAAAGAACAACTCAAGCTTTATTGCCAATTTCCAAATCTATCAAAGAGCTTTTATGATTTACTTGTTTGCTGCGTTGATTCAGAAGATTATGGTGCAGTCATTAATCTTCATGACTTCCAAAAGCCAAAACTTCTCCTTCAGCAAAAAACGAAAATTTCACTTTATACATTATTCCAAATCGATATAGTTGCAGCAAGTGAAGCTAAGCTTAACCAGTATCTCTCCGGTGAAGTAAAGAGATATAAATCAGCTTTCCTTAACAAGGGTAAGAACTATGATGATTTAACAATTCAACTTCAAGAAACAGAGAAATCTATGGATGAAATGGAAAAGAGTTACAAGCTTCAACTTGAAGAACAAGACAAGAAAGCTCAAGAAACACTTCAAAAGGTTTCCGAACAGTACGAAACTCGTCTTGACGAACTCCAAAAGTCATCAAAGGAAGCACTTGAAGCAGCTCGCCAAGAACGCCAGAAATCAGAGACAGAAATGACAAATAAATATGAACAATTGCTTAATGATCTCAGAAAACAGAATGCTCAAATTCTTGAAGAGAAGACACAAGTTTCTGTTGTCAAAGAACGCTTTGAAGAAAAAATCAAGTCTCTTGAACAGCAATTACACGATGCAAATACAGCCAAGGCCACAATCGAAGCCCAGAAGAATGAACTTTCTGCGCAGCTGTTGAGTGCATCTTCTACATCAGCAGGATTCTCTAAGGAAGCCGAAACTCTTAAAGAAAAGATTACATTATTAGAAAAAACAGTTGAACACGATAAGGATGTTCAAGATTCACAAGCTAAGATAATAGAGGGCCTCCAAGCTGATGTTGCTAAGAAAGATGAAGAAAATGCTCAGATTCGTGCAAGATTATCAGAAAATGAAGACAAAGCAAGACAGCACGACTGGATTGCTGCTAAGTCCAAGCAAGTTATCGAGAAGTTCATGGCCGAAGCTAAAGAACTTAATTTGCAGATTGCACAGCTCAAATCACAACTCGATGAGCGTACACAGCAGATGACAGAGATGCAAGTCGAAAATGCACATGCAGAAGAGCGTATTAAAGCACTTAATGATACAATTGATCGTGAAAATGCAGAAATGAAGGAACTGAGAACTAGAAACGATGCTCTCCAAAAGCAGATAGCAGAAATGAAGGATAAGAGCGCTACTGACGAGATAACAATCCAGCACTTGAACAAGAGACTCAACGAACACGAGTTAGAAAATCCTCCATGTGACGGATTTAGCTCATCCTTCAAGGGAGGATCTCAAAATAAGAAATTATTGCCTAGCTTGCAGCCAATTGCTGATGTCAATGGCGCTGCTTCTGTTTGGGATTCCACAGCTTTCTTCTAATTATGAATTTGGTTTTTATTTGAATTTTGTTCAATAAATTGTTATTGCATTTGCTCAAAATAAAAGTGTTCATTTATTATTTATAATTAATTCCCGGTATTTTTAAAATTTTTCCATAATTAACAGATTCCGCTGCAAATTTATCAAGCACTGATTAGTTTTATAAGAATTTCAGACAAATGTAATCCATAAATCATAAGTTCAGCGTAATTATATCAGATAAAAAATGATATTCTGATCTTCAGTAAACAATTCAAACAAAATGATAAGGTATTTATTCGCTATCATCATCAAGGTTGCCACCAAGTGCAACAATGGCCTCTTCAACTAAAGGCATTAATTCTTTGAGTTTCTTGAAATCTTCGACACGTAATGAGATTCCTTTCTTACCTGGAAGCCATTCGTCATCCTTGCAATAGAGCTCACAATATAATAGAAATAGCTTATTGTTCATTTGATAGTTCCAACATTGAGTCCATTACATTTAATTCGAAGATCACAACTATCTCAGGATATGCTTTTACAAGGTCTAAATTGAGATCAGTTACTATACCCGATACTGGAACCTATATTGGAGGTGGAGCTTTTGCCACATGCACTCAATTAACTACTGTGAAATTAGGCAAAGGAATTAATACCATTTGGGAACACACCTTTGAAAATTGTAGAATTACTGAAATCACAATTCCAGAAAATATAAAGTCAATAGGAGAATTTGCATTTGCATACTGTTGGAGTCTGAAAAATGTTGTTTTGCCACCGAATGTTTCGCGTTTAGAAGGAAATTGTTTCCCATCTGGAATTAATGTTTCGTTGACACCAGGATCTCCATTTTCAATCGATAATCAGATGATCATATATAATCCAGATAAAACGACAATAGTTATTTGCTTGAGTAAAAGAGAATCATATAATATCATCTCATCTGTTCAAACAATAAGCACAAATACATTTGCATCTAATAATATACTCACAACAATAACATTTGAATCGAAAACTAATCTCAAAACGATCGGTAAGATGGCATTTGGAGATTGTCCACTACTTTCATCATTTGAGTTACCAACATCTATTGAAACCATTGAAGACCAAGCATTTTCTGGATGCACATCTTTAACATCGATATCATTTGGGAGCAGCATTACTAAGATCGGTGCATCCAGTTTTTCAGGATGCAGTTCTATCACAAGAGTTACATTTGTTGAATGCGATAGATTGACCATTGGTGACAGTGCATTCATTAATTGCATCTCACTAAGTTTCCTTTCATTCAGTAATAATTTAGTGAGCATTGACAGATATGGCTTTTATAATTGCACTAGTTTGACAAGTATTATCTTCCCAATCTCACTCGAATCGATCGGTGTTTATGCATTTGGACACACCAATATCGAAGAAATTAACATTCCAGATGACTCTCGAATGACTGAGATTGGCGATAGTGCATTCAGACAATGCACAGAACTGACAACTATTCACATCCCAGATACAATCCAAAGACTGAATGACAATTGTTTTGAATCAACGAAGATCTCATCATTCAAAGTTCCTCTTCGGACATCAATCATTTCAGATCTTGCATTTAAAGATTGCATTTCTTTGACATCATTCATCATCCCTGCTGGCTGTTCTCTTTCATCACTCGGAAACCTCGTCTTTGAAGGATGCATATCTCTCAAAGTCATTAACTGCTCCTCAAGTGATTTCTTCGTTATCGAGAATGGAGCATTGTTCAACAAGAACAGAAGTACACTCCTCATCTTCCCTCCAGCATCACCGATTAAATTCTTCTCTCTGCCACAAGACATCAGAACTATTTCAACGAACGCATTCAATGGCTGCAACAATCTCTTGAGCATTACAATTCCCGATAACTCAGTAGAAACCATCAAAACGTTCGCCTTCGCCAACTGCTTATCACTTCAATCGATTAACATTCCCATTTGTGTAAAGACTATTGAAGACAACGCATTCATTGGCTGCCGAAGTCTTCGATGCGGTGTCATGATTGAGAACAGAGATAAAACATTTCTTCGCAATCTCGTTGACTCAGCCAAACTGAATCCAACATCTCTTAAAGACTGTGGCTATATCACATGCAAAGCTGCTAAATACAATTCTCTATTCTCTAGTAGTTCATATGTATATGTATTTATTTTAATGTAGAAATAAAAATGATGAATTTTTTTAAATGATCTAATTTGAATTCCCAAAAATAGTTATTCATGTTAATTTGCTAACTTTTATATGAATTAGACGAATTGTCTTATAGATAATCTCAATTTAATGTTCAATAGCATATGAAAACCTTTTGTGAATGAGCCAAGAACCCAAATAGTGACACTTTTAGACTTTATATAACTAGTATCCAATTTCATTTATATATTTGAAATATTAATATATTTTTATGTTTAAAATTGAAAGAGAACTCCGATCAAACGACAAATTTTCTCTCAATAGATTTTCAGAGGAAAAAACAACATTCATTTTTCACAAATGGCTTCATTGCAACCAAACACAATTTATCAAATCGCAACTCTTAACTCTCTCGTCATTGGCAATTATGATCGCATGGCTGCATTGCAAGAAGTTCCAAAGGAATTAAATTTCGGAAGTGGCTGCTTCGAAGATTAAGATGGTGAGCTTATTTTCATTGATAAAAACTTCTATCAGCTTAAAGCAGATGGAAAATGCTATGTACCTTCAGAAAATGCTGGAACTCCATTTTCAACTTTGGCAAACTTTGTTCCACAGTTGACTTTTGATATCGAGAAACCAATAGACATGCAACAATTTAACGATCTTGTTGATCAGAAGAAGCCTTACGAGAATCTTCCACTTCTTATCAGAGTTGATGGTGAATTCGAGATGGTTCACTTCCGCTCAGTCCCGGGCCAAAAGAAACCATACAAGCCACTTGTTGAAGTTGCCAAGGTACAACCAGAATTCAAACATCAAAATATTAAGGGATCTTTAATTGGTTATCGTTTTCCAAAGTACTTCGCTGCTATGAATCTTCCAGGATACCACATCCACTTTGTTGACGATAAGAGAACATGTGGTGGACATGTTTTAGGATTCAAACTTATTTCTGGAAAAGTTTCTATTGCAGAGTCATCAGATTTCCATCTTCATCTTCCTTCGCACTCAGAGTCTTTCAGAAAGTGCGATTTTGAAGTTGATAGATCAAAGGAAACACATTTCATCGAAGGTGGAAGCCAATAAGTGCAGACTGTATAAAAGTTTCTTCTATTAATACAATTTTTCTGTATTTACATTAACTCATAGTGTTGATAATATATTTGATTTTATATTCAAAAAATAATGGGATATATCAGATGGAAAGATATATATTTGCATTGTTGATCCATTCTTTTCACATGTGGTACTTTATTCTTTTCAATAAAGGAGGAAAATGATTCGCAAATTGATCAAACTTAACATTGCAATCTTTGAATCATAATGGCTGTATATGACTCATACATATTAAAATTAATTTGCAATCAAATCTGATGGATAATAATTGCAACTGTTCATTTTGATCAAATTCTTCAGAATTCAAAACTCCATCAGATTGACGATATATTCTTGGATGTAATTATTTGTTATGGTAAACTTTTCATAAAATTTTCGATCAAAAATTGAATTGAACTCATAACGTGCAATTTTTTTGACAGTTCATTATTACCAAGCTTTCATGAGTTCGGACAATCAAGAATATGAGAACAACGTGAACAATAATAATCAAGACTATAATAATGAACCACAACAACTAAACAACTATCAGTATATTGAACACCATGAAGAAAACAATAATAACAACCAACCTTTCCAGCGAATTTGCACTCGACGCTTTATGTTTGGCGGCCATCCAAGGAGATTCATTTTACCATGAAATTTATTTTGTTTTATTTTTATTTGTTTTCTTAGTTCAAATTCTATTGAATAAAGCCTTTTTATTTTGATCGTAAATTTCATCTTCTTAATATACTTATAAATTATATGCGAGTTTTGATGCGTTATATTTTAAAAATTAAATATAAAACAAAATAAACGCGAAAAACTCAAATAATGGACTATGAGCAAGCGTTTGCCATACTTATTTATTCATTTCAAATTTTGAAAATATGTACGTTTAGTGAAGTTTAAAATCATTACATTTGATGTCTAAACAAGCCACATCTAAGTATTTAGACAATAAAAATATTATCAAGGAGCTTATTAGATCCTCGCCTAAAAAGTACAAAGCAATAGTTATTTCAGACTCAGAAGATGAAGATCAAAAGAAAGCCATCTTAATCTCAGATTCAGAAAATTATGATGATAACTCGTACACAAGTGAGTACAACTACAAAATGCACAATAATAATAAGAAAAATAAAAATTATTCTGATTCTTATGTTGAAGATTACAATACATATGCAACAGAATCAGATTATCAATCCAATTTATCATATACAACTAATGGAGATTATACACCTTCAATTTCGACATATTCTACTCAATCGAATTTATCTTATGATTCAGAACAATCATATAATGATACTTATGATCCATATTCATCATGTGCCACTTACAATAGCAATTGCAGTTCAAATCCAAGAATTTGCCCAAATTGCTCTAAAGTTCTCTCAGATTCTTCATATCTCACTGATGATTCAGATGCTTCTGAAGATTATGAAAGCGTTTATGATTCAGTACAGAACTCTGAATCCTACGTGTCTGATAATGAGGACCCAATCCCCTACAAATCCTCAAAGAAAAGATTTGATCCAAGAGTCGAACTTAAACAGCAAAGAAGAGCAACCAACACAAAAAGAATTCTTGATAATCGCCTTAAATGCGATGACGTTCCTTCTCCGCAAGTGATTATTTCACCACGTCAGCCATCTCCGATGAGATTAGCTATCAAAGCTAAGAATAAAGAAGTTAAATCACTTCTTGAAAGATGCTACGAAAAGCTTGTTGCAAAAAAGGCTGCAGAGAAACAGAGAAGGGAGGAAGAAGCAAGGAAGAAAGCAGAAGAAGAAATCATACGAAAGAGGAAGAAATGCGTTAAAGAGTTACTTGAACAGCTCAGATTAAAGAAGGAAAATCCAGACAGATATATTTCTACATACAGAAGACCGGTTAAATGCATGGTTGACGATAGTGATTCTTACTTAAGCAATGCAAACTCATATTACTCAGATTATTCTGATGATTATTACTCAGATGATTATGAAGACTATACTTACGACTCTTATGCATACTCATATGCTGATTGACTTCAGCAAAATTATTAGCAAACTATTTTTATTTATTTTTATGTAAACAAATCATATCCATCTTTAAATTGAATTGAATTTTCCTTGAATTAATTAGTTTGAATAATTAATTTCAAATTTGTCTATTTCATGAGACGCCAGCATGTTTTCTCATCTGTCATATCATTTGCATCAATTTTCATTCTGATTTTTATTGCAATGTTAGTAAAATAATTCATTTCTTGCTAAAGTGACTTTATTGATGGATGATGAATACAAAGATGGTACCAGTAAAGAAAAAACATTAAAATATTTAAGTACCACATCAGATGAAACTGAAATTCCAAAAGATAGATGCGAAATTATAGTGAATGGAATTATTCAATTAAATTCAACTTCTGATTTTAATAGGATACAACTAATCTATGATAACTGCCTGAGTGCAATTGAAAATTATGGGAATATTGCGTGTGAAATGCTATTTTCAGAAGGAATTAACTTAGAGATATCAAATGGCATTTTAAATTATCCTGAATCATTAACGGCCAAAGCATTAGAGATAATGTATCATCTTTGTTCATCAAAAATTGATCTGGCTCTTCGAATTTTGGATTCGGAATTTATTGAAATTATTTTCCAGATAATTAAGGAATCTCTCAATCCATATATATTGCATTTGTGTATTGACATTGCAGCTTCTGGGTATAACTATTCAATAAAAATTCTGAATAATGATATATATCTCGATATCATTCGTTATGCCTTTACAATAAGGGTACAATATTCTCCAAAGAATGATTCTTATATATTAAATGCAGCAAAAGAATATTTCAAAATCAAAAAATCAATGAAAGTTGAAGAAAAAACATATAAGCAATTCACCGTTGATCAGATCACTCTAATTAACGGTGAACCAGTGTTTGTTCAAGAAATTCAAAATCGAACTGAAACGTTCAATAATAATGCCATACCACTTATTGAGACAGATGATGAAGACGACAATTCTATTGATAAATTAATAATATCAGTGTTCGATTGTTATTCCGTAATTTGTCAAAATCAATTCTTGCAGGAGAGTACTCATATATCACAATTTATTTCAGATTGCATATTATTTCAAAATTATCATATCCTTGAAGTTAGAATTAGTGTTTATAATTGTCTTTCAAAATTATGCATCAAAAAATTCAAAAGCAGTTTTGATATCATTAAAACAGAAAAAGATTTTATAAGGTCACTTCTATTTTATGCTCAATGGACAGAAAATTTAGAAATTCTAAATTCAATTGCAAATATAATTCGATTTTTAGTTTCTATTTCTGATAAAAATCAAAGAAAATACCTAGTAAAATATGGTGTTGTTGATGCTTTGGAGTTTCTTTTATTCAAAGATATTGATTATGATATTCTTCTTGAAATCATCGGATTTTTGATGACTTTTTCTGATGATATTGCAATCCAACTTATTGAAAAGCAAATTCTTCAATATTTTCTCTCATGCGTTAACCAATCTTTACCAAATGACTCAAAAATAATTTTTGCAGAATTTTTTGCTCGAGTTGTAAGACATTTGCCAATATCATATTCACAACTTCTATTTTCAAATGATACCGTAATTGAAATTGCAATTTCGGCTTTTAGAACAGTTAATCCTAGTTTAGCGTTTAGAATTCTTCAAGCATTTCAGAAACTATTGACTGGCCTAAAAGAGGATCCTCAGAACGAATTTGCAGTCAAACTTGCAACTATTTTAGTACATTCTGGCGAATTTGAGGAAGATGAAATATTTGAAAATGATAAACTTGATGCTGAATACACAAAACTGAGACAATATCTTTATGATTTGAATTCTGATTCCGAATCATGATAAAATAAGAATATTGTGCAAATAATGTTACAATAGATAAAGTCTTGTCTTTTATTTTTTCATCAAAGTATTACCTTCTTTTCCAATAACTCCTGTCGTAATTCATTAGTTAGAACAAAATTTGGGCAATTCATTTTTTCGATATTTAACACTTTTGAATATAAAGTGCTCAAATGCTTGCTTAATAGATTTTTAAGTTGCATCGAGTTTTGTGATCTGTTAAAAACCGATTCTATTCAAAAATTAAAATAACGTTATGATTAGTTTCAGAAATTTAGTTAAATTTCATCAATTAAAATCAATCAAACAAATATGATCAAAAGTGATAATTGAATTGAAATTTATTTTACTTTTAACTATCAAGAACAAGTCTTAGTGTATACAAATGTCAATTTTATTTGGTTAATTATATTTCACTTCAATTTAAAAATAGAATTGAATGTTTGGACATTTTAAAATGAATTTGTAACGTTATGATTTTGAAAGAATTCAAATTTTTAAATTGAGAATAATTGTTAAAATTTTTTTATCCAAAGTCTAGTAAAATGATTTCTTTTATTCTAGCATTTGCAGATATTAAATTTCCCAGAACTTAAATCGAAGGCTCGGATTGGTTTAATTATAATGACATTTTCAAGTTTCTTCGTGGAATTTATAACACCAACAATTTAACTAAAGTTGATGCTGTAACTTTGACACCTTCATCAACTCATCACTTACAAGGCCAAGCATCTAAAACAACTTGCGACGTTATAGTTGGAAATATTACGGAATCGCCCGGAAGATTTTTGACAGAAGATGAGCCATGAATTTTAAATGCTTACTTACTTATCGATTTTCATCATACGAGAGTTACTCTTTCATCATATACAATTCTTTTGAATGCACAAGTTAAGAGATATATGCAATCTTTTAGAATGATGGGTGAAATTGGGCCGGAACAATGGGTTGTATTAAGTGATCATAAAAACATAACACCATACCTTGATCCGGACCGTGATTGCCCATCCTGCCCTATTAAACCAGATACAAAAAGATTATATCGCTACCATTACAATACAACAAGAAATGGAACATTTTCTCGCTTTAAGATTGAGAACACTGGCCCAGATTCATACGAATTAAATTTCCAACCTCATGCAAATATAGTTTCAATTTCTAAATTATTATTTTTCGGTGCCATTGAAAATAATCGTATCGTATTTTCACCTGATAGGGTTTCCACGTCATCTACTAAAATCCTCGCATTCGGAGTACTTTCTGTATTTTCATGAAAATTTAAATCAAAATCATGAAGTTTCCCAAGTTAAAAAATTTCATTATTACCGTTTACTTATTAATTATAGCTTATTTATATAATCTTTTTTTTTTAAATTATATATATCTAAATCCAGTCAAGTACTGAGCGTATTCTATATAATTAAGTTTGTAAACATATTGATCATTTATATATATTTGCATGGAAAATGTTTAGAATGAAAAAAATTTTTGATGAAAATAATTTCATTAATCATTTGGGGTGAAAATATCATCAGATAGATGATGAACTTATAATGGATTATCCATTGTTGTACCAACATCACCATTTTCAATGTCCGATTCATTATCGTATTCATTGCTGTATGAATTTTGGTCAGATAATTCATTTTCGTTATTAGATGGTTGGGGCATCCTGAACTTCTTAATAGCAAAGTATGCTCCAAGGATGATGGCTCCAAGAAGGATTCCACCTGTAATACATGCAATTATTGGAATATAGTCTTTGATTCCTCCTGATTTTCCATCATCTTTAGTAAGCTAATTGCTGCTATCAGATGTTTGTGTTTGACTCTGTGTTTTGATGTATTCAGTTGCTGGAGGTGTCGGAGGTTCTGGAGAACGATGTTTGGGGAGTGGTTATCTTGGGTATTTCGTTCGGAGTTGTTTCTTTTGGAGTTTGAATAGCTGTTACAGCAGCTGTTTCAAATTGTGTTTCACCGAATGTTGGGGAAGGTAATGGAGTCTCAAAAGCTGTTTGATTTGGAGTTGGAGCTGGAACCTGTCAAATGTTCCTGAGGTGTAAGTGGTATTTGCATCATTAATATCAATTTGAGCCCATAAAAATATAATCCTGGTGTCAGTAGCTCTAGATATTCTTGTGTAAGGAGTTGCTGGTAATACATACTCTGATAATGATGGAACAAATGATGTTTTCTCGGATCACTAAAATATTTCTTGGACAAACACATAATCTGGAGCATCTTGGAGAATATTTTGGTAAATATCAGTTGGAACAGCTCCAAATCTCATTTCTGCCAACCATAATGTAACACAATCATCAGAAAAAACTTTGGTAACTACTGAAACAACTTGAGAAGGTAATAGTTTCCAAGTGAAACCGTAGAAATAATCATCATATGAAATATAATCAGTATATCATTCAAGCACAATTTCATTACCACCTCCATTTCCAAAGGATATTATCTGATATAAACTAAATCAAGCATTTTGTCCAATTCGAGTTTGATTTAATTTATATCAGCTATATATGATATTTTTTATGCATAGATTTATTTAATACTTGATAACTGTCAAATCTAAAGAATTCTTTTGAGAGTTATTAGAAAATTGAATGGCCTATTCTCAAACACTCAAATTCTATCGTCGAAAAGTAAACCACCAAAATGATACGGAATATGTCATTGAAATCACTCATCCGCTTTATTCAATTTATTAGGAATCGAACATGATATAGTAATTATGAGTGCTTTAGCTGAATTATTGTTAATTTTTGCTATAAGACAGAATTAACTTTTTCCTAAGAAAATAATTTCATGAAATTATTTAATTAGAATTTGGAAAAAAGTCATTAGTTTCAATTTATGCTACATCTAGTAAATGATTGAGGATTAACAGTAAAGGAATAATTTTTTTTTTCATTAATAAAATTATAAGATGTAGAAGGATTGACTGCCCTTCATATTTCTGCGAAAGATAATAAAATCAATTTTGTTAATATGCTTCTTTCACATGGCGCAGATGTAAATGCCAAAAATAACTATGGATCTACTGCTCTTCATTTTGCGGTTTATAGTAATAGTTTAGAGATAATTGAAACTCTAATTTCACATGGTGCTAAAGTAAATATTCAAAATGATTATGGACAAACTCCTTTTGGATATACCACTAATGAAGAAATTAGGAAATATCTCAAATCACATGGTGCGAAAGAAAATTAAAGAAAATTAAATATCCTATATGTTGGATACTATCATTATTAATGGAAACGTAACAACAGCATATTTTCATGGAAATGTTTACGTAGCTTTGAATAAAAAGCTCATTCCCAAAAATGGATTCAATATTTAATGATTATGATTGTTTACCTAAATTTAATAGTTTAAATAAGGATGTCAATTTGGAAGAAAAGTGAGAAAATTCCTAAAATGCTAAAAATGAATTTTCCAAACGTACCTTTTTATCTCATTTTTTTTGATTTTGAAAAAAATTTGGAGAGAAGAACTCTTCGTTTTTGAATTTTGTCACGATGGTTTTAAAGTATATTAGACACATGTATTGATATTACTATTTTTGTATATTTTGAGAGAAAATCCCTAAAAAGTGAGAAAATCCGAGACGGTTTGAGAAAATATATAAACTATTGAAAATTTGAATTAAACTTCTAATTTGGAAAAAAGAAATTTGGAAAGAAGAAAATTCAAAAATCGAGATTTAGACTCAGTATCAAATGGAGAACAAAATGTTTCTTCATATGAAGGAAAAAATTTTCTTGTGAAGAAATAGAGTTTTTAAAATTTTATTGTATGTAATGAAATAAACAAATATTAAAATTATTTTTTGATAACAAGAAAATTCCCAACAGAAAATATTTGAGACAAAGAAAAAAAGAAAATTGAAAAATATTACTCTCCTTTACATTTCATGAGATTTTCAATTTATTTTCATAAAATTGACAATTTTATACGTTTAGATGAAAATAAGTGATTTTGCTTGAAATAAAAATTATTGTTTGTTTACAGCTATCAAATAGATTTTTGCTATTTTGATTAAAATTTGTTAATCAAATTAATAATTTTTTTTCTAAATATCTTAAATATCTGGATCACTCACTGATACGATGAATTAAACGATAAAAATAATACAAACTCAACTAAGTTTCCTGTCTTTCAACCAAAAAATATTATGCAATTTAAATTAAATTGTTTATTCAAAGATAAAACAAAGATAAAGTAATTATAATTATCATATACTTTATGAATAACTCTCTAATTGGATAAGATTTTCGTACAAATATTTTTATTAATATCGATAAGAATATGTTTACCTACTATCACCATATGTCGATAAACGAGAGTAGAGTGATTTTTATCATCGAAACTTTTTAAAAGCTGTAAGCAGAAAGTAATAATCTTGTTTTTTCTGAGTTAGTTGTAGAACTATTGATGCCCGAGTTATCATTGTGATGCAGAAGGATATCAATGTACTGACTGAAGGATATGAATTGAATTGAATTGAATTTTATTGAATTTCAATTTGATCAAAATTTGTTGAAATGATATGAATGTGTCAACTTCTGTATCATTCTCCTTCACTCCTTCCTTATTCTTTCGAGAATGAAGCTAGCTCAGCTTTCGCTGAGCGAATTGACACTTTTCATGCCCTAAACGTACATACTCTCAAATTTATCGAAAAAATTAATACCACCTAAACTAGTATATTCTTATTTTAAATATGATATTATCCTTATATTCCACACTAAAATTCATTTAAATCAACTTTTAAAAAAGTTCGAATCCTGCGCGTCTCACTTTTTAAATTTTCCAAATGGAAAATTATATTCTCCTAAAGTGAAAACAATTTTCCAAATTGACTTCCTTAGTTTAAACTTATAATATCACTTTTTCCACCTCTCTATGTTTTATCGTGTATATTAATTGGGCAATCAATTCACAAATAAAATTTTCTAACGGATGAGCGAAGTTGGAGCGAGAATATTACGCCCAGGAGCTGCAACTTCTTTAGGAACAAGGCAACAAAACAAAACATCTTTTGTTCCTACAGGCACTTATTCAGCTTTGAGCAATAATATCCGGCTGGTTTACCCTTCTCCACGTGATTCAAATCAAATTAGTGAGTTCAAAAACAGTTATCAACAAATGATGACAAATTTAGCATCTTTCTTATCTCATAATAATACTACCACCGAATTTAGAGCACAATTTAATGTGATGATTAATGAAATGGACACCTTATTTAATACATTCATCGCAAATATGCCGCGAACAACATCTTCTGCACTAAAATCCGCTCGGGTTGCAAAAAGTCAAGCTAGTGACAGATTTTTACAATCAATTTTTCCGTTTTTAAAGCAATTCGGATTATTCACAAAAGCAATGACTAAAATACGGCAAAGTGGCGATGATCCAATACATGAAGCTATCGATATGCACTTTACAATCATAAATGATTGTCTTGAAACAGTTCGTAAGAGCTCTACATCAGCAACTGGTATGCATGATGCTACTGTTAGGAGAGCCAAAACATTAGAGAGTCATTTAATGAACTTGAAGCGTACAGCGATAAATGTTATTCAAGAAGCGAAAGATACAACAAAAATTACAACAGAAATACGTAATTTTTCAAGAACACTGAATAATGCATTTACTAACGAGTTTGCAGATTCACCTCTTGGTCCTACTCCTTTGGAGAAATTAAGAGCCGATTCTTATACATCCTGTTGCGCTATTATACATTCAGTTAGGGATGCCAATATGTTTGATAGTCATAGCACACAAATGTTTGAGTCTTACGACAATTTTAGAAATCAATTAAAAATTTTTCTTGAAAAAAATGGAGTTGAAAAGACATTAAGCGACCTTGTTGATTGTGATATTGAAGATGTTGAACAGATAACCTTCAAATTTGATAAAAATGCTCCTTTGCTTCAAATTCTTTTCAAAGCGAAAGAATTTTTCGATGACAAGAAAGTACAAGAGTTCATTGATGTTGTTCATGAAAAAGCAACACAGATTATCAAGGAAAGTGATACTCTTCAGAAGCAAATTTTGGAATTTGCAAATCTCCAAAACCAAATAAAACAAGCAAAGGTTGAAAGAGATGCCGCACGTAAAATAACAGAGGACACAAGGAAAGAAAATGAAGAAATGAGACAAATTCTTAACGAAAACATGAAGAAAATGGAAGAATATGATAAAAACTCTGGTGCAGATACACAATTCAAGCGTGCAATCATTGAATCTATTGATAGCATGGCTAAAGTACTTAATGAAGAAGTTCCTGAGATGGATACTGATCGAGGAATTCTAATGGTTTATAGAAATTATTTGAAAGCTGTTTTTGAGCAAAAATGCAAGAATTGTGCTTTAAATATGGAAAGAAATAAAAGAATGACAGAAATGATGTATCCAATTGTAGAAAAAGACCAGGATATCGAGAAAATGGTCTCTTCTTTGGTTTCAGTTACAAAAGAATGTCAAAACAATTTAAAGTCAAGATCAATCGAAATTTCTCAAATTAACATCGATTTGATATCGCAAAGAGAATCATTTAACAAGATACTTGCTTTAATTAATAAGAAACTTCCTAACGGAGTCGAAATTGGTGAATATACTTATAATGCTGTTAAAAACAATCTCGATGAAATCAAAAGAAATCTTGATGGAATTGTTGATCAAAAATCTTTGGCTCAGCAAGAATTCGTTGCTGATTTAATGAAACGATTCAAAACTATTTTAGAAACAGACCAAACAGAATCGATTGAAAGCTATTTGTTCCAAATTGAAAACAGATTAAGACAAGCTGAACAAGAACATATGAATTATAATATCTTTTTGAATAACATATCATTGAGATTATATACAATTCTCAAGAAAGAAAAGAAATCAAATCCTTCAATAGAAGATGAAGTAAATGAAGCAGTTACTGAAGTCCAGAATTATATTAGTGATATAGAAAATACTCCAAAACAACCAGAAACAGTAAATGTTACTGATTATTCATTGATTGCTGAGAAACTTTCAAAGATTTTGGAAAAAGATGTTGACAAAGAAAGTGAAGAATCAATTTTATCAGCTATTGATGATATGAATGATTATCTGAATAGTACAAGAAAGAGATTCAAAACAGCTTCGGCAGAAGCATCAAGATGCAAAGGAGAAATGATTGATATCGTTGATAAATTACAGAATTTCTTAAATCAACCTTCAAATATTCCAAGAGATCTTGAGAAAATTGTTGAACTTGCTGATGATCTCATTAAAAAACTTCTTGCACAAAGAAATGAACTTAAGTTGGCTGATATAACTAAAATGTTTGAGCCAGTTTTCCCATATCTTCATACTTCATCTCAATCAGATCCATTTTCGTTCATTCCTGACTTTGTTAATGAATTCCAAATGGTTGAAAGTTCTGTTCTATCTTTGAAACCATTTGCACTGATTTTGAACAATATTTTCACCAATTTTGATTGTCAATATTCTAGTTTCGATCCGAAATCTCATTCTTATAACTACTTGAAAGGACAAGTCAATGAATTACATCAAACTTTGGGTTCCATGTCTGCAGCAAAAACACACAACTTGATTTATTTGGTACTTTCAAGATTTGTTACTTTTGTTTCATCTATTTCATCAGCAATTGCTATGGCATATGAAGCAAAAGGAAAATAAGAAATTTATATTATATTATTTTGTTTGTATTTTATTAAAATTATATTTATCGGATATTAGTTCGTTATTTTCTTGAAATAGCATTGCTAATTAGAATGATCTAAAATAAAAATAGAAAAAAGTAAGAAGTCCTAGTTGAATGCTATAAACGCTATTTTTTGGCCTATTTTCTATACTCAAATAGTAAAATTGATTTATGAAGAAATTTGATAACAGTTTTATTGAATGATTTAATGTAACAATGCATATACTAATGCTATGTATCGTATTTGTAGATTGGTTAATGCATAAATTTATATTTTAAAAAATTAATTTGAGATACACACATAATTTTATTGTTTTGTTGCTGGGAATGGATTTGCTTGCACTTCTACATTATAGATTGTGCAAGGACGAACAGGTCTCCCGTTAGGCAATGTTTTTCCGTCAATTATTGAAGCAACGTAACCTTCTCCTGACTTAACGCAGCCAATAATATGATATTGGTCAATAGAAAGAGGTTCTTTTGATATTCCGAAGTCCGCTGTATTCGAAATTCTTGAAATATTTTTATTTTTCTTGACAATATAGATCTGGTACCTCATTCCTCTACGTGGTTCATTTCTTTCGAATGAAAACGGTGTTCCCCATACGGATTCATCGCTAATTGCACTAGATGCAATTTCCAAAAACTTTCCTTGATCAACTTTCTTAACTTCTGCTTTATCATAAGATCCTCGTAAAGCGTGGCCAAGAAAATTCAGTACACCCATTGGTGTTTTGTCAGAATCTAATTCTAATATGACATTTCCAAGAGAAGTATGCAAACAAACTAATGATTTTTGTTTAGGAGGGTTAGTTGATAACTGTGATGCCAATGCGAAGCTCTCTGAGTTTGGCCTTGCTAAAAACCAAGTTTTATCTTCTTCTTTTACTGTAGGATGCTTAATATCAAATGTTCCTAATAGTAACCTTGCATTACGCTGTGCTTCTGTTTCTGTGACTTCTTTTCGGAAACTAACAAGAGGTTTCGGAGGAAGATCTAATTTTCTTGAAGGATCATGAATAACAACCAAATCAGATTCCTCAAATGGATCACATGTAATCAAATCTTGCCAGATATTTGGAAGCTTGTTAAATTGAAGAATTGATTGATAATTATAAACGTTCCCGTTTTTCTTATTCATAACAATGATATTTTTGGTTGTTAACTTTTCTTGGGTAACCGGATCAATAATATCTCCATTTTCGTCTTCTGTAAATTTTGCTTCAATTAAATCTGTCATTTTATAAGGAATTCCTTTGAAAGGATGAACACTATTCTCTGAAAAGTATTTCTCAGCTCCTTCTTTAGAGTATGCATATCCGAATTCATCGAATAATGAATCTTCATTTGGATAATATGTAAGAGAGCAAGTATTGAATTGAAAATCATCAATAATTTCTTGAGCATTAGATCGCTGTTGCGTTTTTCCTAGCATTTCATTGTGTGTAAATCTAACTCCAGAAACACCACGCTTTCGCTTACCCATAAAATGATCAATTTAACCGGAACAGAATACCACATAACGCATATGATTCAAACATTGCAACTTATCTATGGAAAATCCTTATTTAAGATGAAATTTTCATTTCATTATTTGACTATATGGAAAACAATGTAACTTATGTATTAGATAAGGCGAGATATCATATGTAATTTAGTCTATTTTCCTTCTTTTTATTTATTGAAATATATTCAAAATCTAAAAGTTGTTTTTCATCTTTGAGTATAGCATCATCAATTCACACAACTGCAAGAAAACTCATTTCTAGCATTAAGATAAGACAAATATTGAATTAGACTTTGAATACTTTTATATCTCAAAAATTTTCTTTGAAGAAAGCAACAAATGATTAAGATAGAAGTTTCTATGATGATTTACAATACTCATCAACTTTGAAAATAATTTTTGTATGATTTCAATTTGAAAAATTGCAAATTCGCCAATATTTATAAAGTAAAAATTGCTAGGAAACAAATGTAGATGATGAATATCCTATTTCTGTAAGGATTTAATTTAGGCGAGATTTTAAACGTTCGTCACTTCCATCTGAAGCATGTCTTCCCTTTCTTACTGGAATGACGTGATGGATGAGGAGCCCACATTAATGTCATCAGACAGACGAGTAGGTTCTGTCCCTCATAAATCAGGGCCTCGTATCGATGACTTTTTTATTGAATCAAGCGAAGAACCAATTCCAACACTTGACGAATCCTATAAAAATGTAGGAGCGCCTCTACTTCCATCACCTTCTCATAGGCGCTCCAGATCTTTGAATAGCTCGGATATGGAAGCTGTCCCACCAATAGATCTCTCATTTGCAATGCACAAACCTTCAGATCTCTTACCAGTTGATCTTAAAAATTTAGCAAGCCAACAGAAACCCGCGCCTTCACTAGAATTATACGAAGCAATTTTAGAAAGTGATTCACCTGACAAAATCAACAAAGCAAATAAGCAACTTCAACGAATCGTTAAAACTAAATCTGATGCTAAAGAACTAGGTAAAATATATAGAACTGCAGCAGAAATCAACAAACGCAATTTTCTTTTCAATGATTCGCTAAATTTATACGAAAAAGCAACAGAAGCCGAGCCAGGAAATGCTCAGAACTATTTGGATCACTCAAAAGTATTAGAGGAACTCGGACAAATCGAAAAAGCCGAGAATATCCTCAGAAATGGTATTTTTGTATGTGCGCAACATGAACAACTTACTCCAAAACTTCTTAAAATGTTCGAAAAAAGACAGAAATTCGATGCCGTGAGAAAAGTTTTAGGTTCATTGTACCAAAGGCTTGGAGTTCCAGCGGCAACACCAAGTTTACTTGAAGGCATATTGTTTGAAATAAGACATGGCGATATCAAGAAGTCTCTTAACCTTTTATCTGAATTAGAAAAAACATCTCAACTCAAAAACGGCTTTTTCGTAGAACTTGCCGAAGACATACGTCGTAGAGGTTTATCTGATCTCTCAATTCAATGCTCTCAAACAGGAATTGAGAAATACCCTACAATGCCTAGTAATTGGCTTCATTTCATATCAGTACAGCGTACGCCTCATGATACTCTTGAAGCTCTTAATAACGCTTCAGGAAAACTATCCGTTTCTACGATGACCAAAATTGGTCAAACCGCTGCATTTCAATGCGCGCACTTAGGAGACATGAAGAGCGCTCGGAAGATACTTGCTGAGGCCATGTCTACAGCTTCGCCTGACCAACGATGGCGTTTTCTTTACAATTCTTCAGTCATCGAAACATTATTCGGCCAACCACCACTTGTCGAGAAACTTCTTAACTACACTTTACATATTACACCACAAAAGTCGATTTCTACCGTACTCATGGCCATTGCAAAGTATTATGAGCAAGTAAATGACATGAAGAACGCCAAACGGATTTACAAGCAGTTCCGAAAGGAATTCACCAGTGACTGGCGAATATTCCTGGAATACGCTTTATTCCTTATCCGTAGAGGCAACAGATCGAAAGCGATCAAGTGGGTCAAGAAAGGCATCGAAATCCACTCGGCGACCGGCAGATTATGGGCCTTATACGTACAGTTGGAAGACGAGACTCTCCAGAGCCAACGTTTGGTCGAAGCCGTAATGAGTGCTCCGAAAAGTGGCGAAATCTGGGTCGAAGCCGCCAGAATGGCCATGAATCCATTGACACCTTTCTTCAACTTAAAGAACGCGGAGTTCTTTTTGACGGAGAGTTTTCTCTTCACTCCACAATACGCTGACATCTTCATAGAGATGATCAGACTCTGTTTACTCAAAGGCGGATTGAACGCTGACTTGAGTACTGTTCATGACTTGTTCCTTTCCGGAGAAGGAAACTACGGAACAGTCATTTACATGTTCAGGAAACCAGGCACTGAATTCACTGAACAAGAGTTTGATGCGATTGTTGATGGCGTGAAGAAGGATATCATTAGACACGCGAAGGCTTATTCGCATGCAATTGCTCGCTCTTCATTTGTTGTTGATTCTGTAAGACACGAGGAGGAGAACCTGAAGAATGAAAAGGAGAATGAATCTCCTTTTTCGTTCAGCTTCGGTTTGTCTTCTTTCTTCGATGCAATGTACGCGTCGCAGGAGAAGAAATCCCCTCAGGAGCTTCTGGATGTTCGGAAATCAATCATTTTCGGAACATCTATGGTTATGTTATAAATAAAATTTTTAATAATTCATTTAACTTTATTTTTTAGATTCTTATTCATAAAGAAAACATAATGAAACAATATTTCATGTTACAATAGATGAAATCACAATTTGATTAGAATTTCAATTTTTTCTTGGTATTTATCCAAATCTATCTATGTGTAAAGTGAAAATGTTAAGCGTTGTAAATAGAATATGCTATCTGAAATCCTGAATAAATCAAAAATTAAAGACAAGATTCAAAATTTAGGAATATAAGATTTGGATTCATCCTTTTCCATGTTAAAGTGGTCGTTACTGTCTATGAATGAAAGTGCACATCCCATTTGAATTACATATTGACACATATTGAAGATAATTATCTTTTTATTCTATGTTATTGAAGCATGATCTCTATAACATAAAGGCAGACAGATAAAGTTGATGTAATTACTAGGAAGTGAAACTAAATGCGATAAATTCATTGATAGCTTCTGTAAGTGGCAAAAAATTCTTCACAATTCAAAATTTTCTCTCAAAATCTAATATGGACTCACTACAAAGACTAGAATCAGGTGAGAGTTTGTTACCTCAAGAAAAGACACTTTGTGAGTATCTTGAATACGTATGCAACTCATTTGATCATCCAGTGGTCGCAAGACTTGCTGGAGGATGGGTTCGAGATAAATTAATCGATAAGGAGTCAAAAGATTATGATGTCACACTTGAAGGCTGTACAGGTGTTGAATTTGCTAATAACTTATGCACATATTTAGAATCTAAATCCATAGAACATCGAGTAATTCGAAATCCAGATCAATCAAAGCATCTCAGTTCTGCGAAAGTTTGCTTGTTTGGAGAAGTTTGGATCGACTTTTCTTCATTACGCTCTGAAAAATATAAAGAAGACTCAAGAATTCCAATTGTTGAAGAAGGAACTCCATTACAAGATGCCGAACGCAGAGATTTCACAATCAACACTCTTTATTATAACATATGCACTAAGAAAGTTGAAGATTTCTTTAATGGTTACCAAGATTTACAAAATAAAATTTTGAGGACACCAAAAGATTCTCTCGTCAGCTTCCAAGAAGATCCATTACGTATCTTACGCGCTCTCAGATTTGCTTCCAGATTCAATCTAACTTACGAAGAATCAATTCCAAACGCAATTGAACAATGTCGTGATGTTTATTTACATAAAGTTACTCCGGAGCGTGCGGCAGCTGAAATATCACCAGCCTTGCTAGGTCCTGACCCAATAAGATACATAAAAGACTCAATGAAATTTGGTTTCTTCCAAATCATGTTTAATCGATCAAAAGAGTTAGAGTTAGATAACGATGTTGTTATTAAGCGTGTTACGTTTGCTTTATCTCATTTACATAAAGAATATCAGCTCCAATTAATTTTAGGCGCCATTTACTTCGACGAATTCGGAAAAGGAATGCTTCAATCAAAGAAATACGGGCGCAAGTGCGACCAGGTCGAAAAGATCATCTCCAGAGTTCTCCGAATGACAGTTCAAATTTGCGATGGCGCCAGACAATTAATGAATGGAGCAGATCAATTATCAAAGATAAAGAACTTGAACAACATCGAAGTTGGCCGAGCAATACGTCAATCTGGCGAATTATGGAGAATTTCAACCAGCCTCATATTTGATGAAGATACATATAATTTTGTGGTTAATGATGTCACTCAGTATGCTAATGAACATAATTTGTCGAACGCTTACGAAATTAAACCTTTATTAAACGGAAATGAGCTTTCGAAGATCTACGGAGTGAAGGGAGCCGATCTAAAACCATTCCAGGAAAGTATGATAGATTGGCAACTGGAACATCCTCAAGGAACAAAAGAAGATTGTCTCCAATTTATCGAAAGTTCCAAGAAATAACGATATATTTATTTGTTTGTAAATAAATTTGTTTAAATGATATTTTTAGAGAATGATAATAACTCAAAGCTGAAAATAAAAATCCAAATTTAGAAATGCATAAAATTAATGAATGAGACATATTTGGCGATGCAATTTATTTTATTTAGAATCAAAACTCTGTAAAAACCTAATAATTTTTATTTGAATATTATTAAATAAAATTTATTTGATTTCAAATATCATATAAAAACCATACACAAGTGAAATGAAATTTTTATTAGTCTATTGTAAGAATAAAAAATGCGAGAGTAAAATTAAATCGAAAATAGCGCTTTTTCTTCTTTCGACTGATAAATAAAGGAATGTCGAATAGGGGTGGATACTCTACTTTACAATGAACTCACGAAAGAAAGGGAAGCGGAAGAATAAATGGATCTGTATTCATTTTATCTGTATTAACTATCCCAGTATAACTTTTTACAGTTAAATTTTCTCCAATGCATCTTATAGCTGTAAGAATACTACCAAAAGATGCACTAAAAGTAGTTTTTGCAACGTTTTCTAAGAAAATGCATTCTGAAACAGTAACATTTGATGAAAGAGAAGAGCAAAGGAAGCCATTAGAAGTATCAGTGTATTGAGCTGAGTTGTTTTTGAAGACTGATTTTGAAACAAAAGAATCAGGTGTTTGAGAATGATGCGCGCAAATGGGATTTAATTGATGGTTATCATTAGAAATGAAACAACAAAAGTTAATATTTACTGGATTTTGTGAAAAACTATAACAAGCATAGCTGCCACAAATAGTTTTGGTAATGTTTGTGGAAACAAGAGTTTGATCTCCATAATAATGGCATATTCCGGAAACACCATTGCTCTTGTGGCCGCATTGATAGAGAGAACTTAAGTTTACGAAATTTTTGTTTGTGGATGTTTTAACATTTGTGTATGAATGTTTCCCAAGGCTTGGTGCGTAGCATTTAATTGAGCAAAATCGGTCTTGGACAATGGAACTGTTACCATTGAAGTAGATACAGCCACCATTTCCTGAACTTTGTGTAATATTGGTATAAGTACATATCGAATGTAGTAATTTAATTGAACTGATTTCGCAATTAATGATATTGGATGAAATATTAACGAAATTTGAAGAAAGTAAAAAGAAATTTTTAGAAACAGTTGGCTTTGTGTTATCTGTGATATTGGTATAGTTTTCTGTTGGCTTCCCGTAGTATTCTTCCCATATATCATTCGGAACTTGAGCTTTATTGAAAGGAAGCCTGTATCGATGATTTTGATATAAAAAATGTCAAAAATTTTAAGGGTCTGCTTCTGTCAAAAAATAGCTCAAATGAAGAAAACATCAGAGAAGGAGAAGGCAGCTTTAGATAAAGGCGATTTTAATCGCGCAACTTCCGAAGCATGGAAATTACTCAAATTAACATTTGAGAAAGATGATTTTTCTCAAAATGAATTAAATGATATAGGAGAAATCTTCGAAAATAATTACCCAGTCAAACTAAGAATCAGAAATGCAAAGCGCAATAAAGATATTGCTGTAAAATTCTTCGAAGATAACATTGAATATTTCAAAGATTTTTGCTCTAAGGCTGGCTTCGAAAAGCACGATGGAACCATAGGAGGACCTCAAAGAGAAAAAGTTCTTGATTATAGATATCCACCTACAGTTAATTCATCTCCAGATGAATAATTTTTTAAAATATTTCCTTTACTGTTTTATTCTATTAATCATTCAATATTTCTTTTACCATCATGTATATATATATTTTCACCAATTTTGATTTCAAATTACTGGCGCGATGTTTCGTTAAGGCTTAAATTTTTTCCATCCTGAAAAATATAATCTTTGCTATATCTCCATTATTTTTTCAAAGAGGGATTTTTTGAATTGGATTCAAAAATTCACAAATAATTTGACTGCCTAAGCAAAATCACAATTCATACCAAAGCTATCAGAGAAAGAGCGAGCTGCACTTGAAAGGAATGATTTTGATATATCGACTTCTGAAGCATGGGAATTACTCAAGAGCACATTTGGTAAATCTGATTTTCAAATTAGTCAATTAAATGATATTAGCAAACTTTTTGAACAAACTTATCATACAACAAAAAGGACACGAATGGCCAAACGTAATAAAGCTATTGCTGTTAAATTCTTCCAAGATAACTTGAATGAATTCAAAGATTTCTGCACACACATTAGTTACCAAGATAAAGATGGATTTTTAGGCGGTCCTACAGCAGCACAAGCTTCAAATCTTCTAAATTATTATCAAAATATGTAAAGAATGATAGTTGTGACTTGAAGCCGACTTAAACAAAATAAACACCTTAAAAGATTCATAATTTGTTTCATGTATGATAAAAATATAAATTTTCATTTTAAATTTTAGATTTTTTTTACATATCTGATATAATAATAAGGTCAGGTAAGTGGGGCCTCCAGGCACTTCGTGCCCTCTAGCCCTGAAGATGTTTAGTATAAATGAAGTTTTTATTCTGAGTCAAAGCTCGGGTCTTCTGCGTTATATGCAACGTAATTGAACCATATCTTGTATGGATGGTTCAAATCCGATGAAACAGAAATGGTTTCACCGGGGACTAATACCAAGTTTCCTTCCCAGTAGTCTTGACCATTGCTAAAGAATATGCAAACCAATTCTTCGAATACAATTTCTTGTCCACTTTTGCGTTGGAAAATGACTCTTACGCAGCCCAATTCAAATTCAATTTGCCGTGCAGCCATAAACTTCACTCCGTACTCGTACAGCTATGACGAGGAAATGGTTGACAATTTCAACTTGGAATTCGCAAGGAGTTGTGCGAAAAACCCAGCCAACATTTTCGGCTCCGTACTCGTCAGCTAGTTCATCCCGTTCGTACTATTCGTTACAGAATGAAGACAACGAAAAAGATGGAGTCATTCCAGTGACCGTGTAAGAGTCATTTTCCAACGCAAAAGTGGACAAGAAATTGTATTCGAAGAATTGGTTTGCATATTCTTTAGCAATGGTCAAGACTACTGGGAAGGAAACTTGGTATTAGTCCCCGGTGAAACCATTTCTGTTTCATCGGATTTGAACCATCCATACAAGATATGGTTCAATTACGTTGCATATAACGCAGAAGACCCGAGCTTTGACTCAGAATAAAAACTTCATTTATACTAAACATCTTCAGGGCTAGAGGGCACGAAGTGCCTGGAGGCCCCACTTACCTGACCTCATAACCATCCATGCTTTTACTTTACATCCGATAAAAGTGGTTTGGAAACCGTTATGAGATGGTTAGAGGACATACATGACTATGTGTTTAAATATGACAAGATAGAATATGAGATAGGACGGTTATTTTACAAAACCGACAACACTTTGACCGAGTAGTTTTTTGTGCTGAACAAAAAGTGTCATATAAACATCTGTCAAAAACCGTTTTTTACTTCACTTAAAATGCCACGTAAGCTACGTAAGAATATACGTAAGAGGAAGAGAGCATTGAAACATCCAATAGTAAAACTGACACCACAACAACAGTTGCAACAACAAATGATGAATGACCCCACTATGTTGCAACAAATGTCAAGCAACCCTATGCTTTTAAACCGAGTTATTGGTGCACAGAGTGGAGGTTTAAGAGCGGCACTTTTAGCGAAAATGGCAGGCTATGGTGGAGCTGCAGACGGAACAGCTTATAACCCTCAAAGTCAAATGAATTTGAGTTCACTCAAAAATCAAATAACAGATGTCAAAAAGTCAAACATAGACATACAGAAACAAATAAGTGAAAACGAAAAGAAACTAGAATATGACAGACACACAAAGAAACTCAATGAGTTAAACGTAGAGAAAAAGAAGAAAGAAGAACAACTGAAAGAACTAAGTACAGAGGAATATGCGAAAAAAGTGTCAGAAAAAGCAGCAGAAGTAGCAAAAATGGAACAAGATGTTATAAATTTGAAAAACCATACTACTCAATATAAAGTACTGAAAGATGAAGAGATAAAACAAAAAGCCATGAAGACATATATGGATAGCGATGAGTATAAAAAAGAAGTTGAAGCAAATGTAAAGGCAGAAAAACTTTTACAGTTGCAAAACCAAACCGTACAGTATGAAAACTTAGCACAAGAAAGTAAAAATAACGACGCAGCCATGCAAAAGGCAATGAAAAGCGCAGAATATATAAAAGCTAATAATGATTGGTTAGATGCCCAAGCCAACGCTAAAGCAGCCCAACTTATAGGGTCAATAAGGACAAAAATACAAGCGGATGAAGACAGTTCAAATGAAGCTTTAATGAATGCTGACTTTAAGAACGCCTTCGAAGCTCTTCATAGTAAGGTGAAACTAGTGAACGACTTCTCATCTGGAAAGAAACTGAAGTCTGAAGGTTTCGACAAAGAGTTAAAAGAAGTAGCCCAAAATATGACGAAAATAACAGATGCAGCAACGAGACAGGCAGTTCAAAGTGCCTATGACGCCGTTAGAGCAACTGTTGTGGAAAGTCAAGAAAAAGAGTTACAACAGACCAAAACAGACCTAGTAAATGCTTTCTTAAAAACGAAAAGTCAGGTAGGACATTATGCTGCAGATGGAACATATGTGCCAGCTGGTGGAACTTATATACCACCAAACCCTCCAAGAGAAGCACCTGCACCAGGACTACCTAAAACATTTACATCGTCACATGGACACAGACACAGGCATGCACCAAAACCAACACAACAACCAACAGTTCAAAATCCAGCACAACAACAACAACCAAAACCAACAGTTCAAAACCCTGCACAGCAACCAAAACCAGCACAACAACCACCTCCACAACCAGCACAGCAACCATCTCCACAACCAGAGCAAGGACATAAAAGAAGTAGAGAACAAGGAAACCAAGAATTCTTAAAAATGCTTAAGGAAGATTATGGTTACCCAGATACTCTTGACTTTAGTGACAGATATAAAGAAGCTATTAGAAAGTTCAAGGAAGGAAATACTGACCCGAACCTATTTAGCTTTATGGTTCAGCACCAAATGGGATATAATTTCAAACCTGGAAAATACAAGCTCGCTAAGGGATATGATTTAATAGCATATCATCCAAATGACATGAATGAATTTACTCCGAGATATTTGGTGTCAGAGCTAAATGATAATTCAACTCTCTTCATGAAACGCGTAAAAAATAGAGACGGAACGAAAGAAGAAAGGTTTATGAGTCCGGATGACTTAGATAGGGAACTTGTTAAAAACGGTCTCGGAATATATGAAATGCCAGCAGATGAGGTACAAGAAACTCAACAGGAAGAAGTTCAGATACAACCAGACATGGAAGAAATAGTTCAGCAACAACAGCTAGAAGAGCCTGAAGGAAACGAACAAGTCCCTCCTTTGGAAACTAACTTCACAGAACTAGATGAAGATTTGGAACAGCCGAAAAATCTTGACCCTCAACAAGTGTATGCGGAGAATATGGAATCTTTCCAAGAGTCTAAGAAAAATTCGGCTGACATAGTAGAAGAATATCGAAAAATGTTCGCCGACATACAAAAGACTCCAACATCAGATGAAAATATTCAGCATAGAATGGAAGTACTGAAAGATAATGTACGCAAATACAATAATCCTTTTTACTTACGACCATATAACGTTCAATCTTTGGCTGAACTCGGTGAAAATAAAAGGTTAAATTTCAACAAAACATATAGAAATGAAACATTGTTTAAAGTTCATTCAGAACCTAACCAATATGGAAACAAACCTACTTTTGTTTCTGCAGACTATGGAACTACAATGAGATGGGGTCATAAAGCTAATCCGGATAGGTGGTTCATAAACTTACAACCACAATTCCAAGAAGTTGTAGACGCAATGGAAGTGAATGGTGAACCAGATATAGCCGGTATTTTCAGCGCGGCTTTAATTCCATTGAAAGATATGAAACATGCAGATATTTTGGACCAGTATGAAATGAACATGGCTGATGGAAATATAACACCTGACGTTCTAGAACATTTATCTCAAAGAACTACACAGAACCATAGAGATGGTATATTTGGTGAAGAGTTTAGAAAGAAAGTTAGGGAGAGAGAAGGAAGAGAACCTATTGTACATGACCTTGCAAACGAAAGTTTGCAAAATGTCATAAAAACTTACTTTGCAGACAATGAACCGAGAAGGGATGAATATTTAAGAAAACTCAAATGGACAGTACCAAATGAAATGTTAGTATTGAAAAACATGTTCCTTGACAAAATAAAACCAACTACAGAAATAAATGACGCAAGACTGAAACATTGGGTAAAAGCTTTCCCATTCACAAAAGATATTATTGGTAACATGGAAAGAAAACCAGAATGGCTACAAAAACATATATTTGGAAACGAGCTTATTCCATATGGACAAGCTCTGTTTGAAGAGCTTGAACCGGAAACTCAGGAAAGAGTCATGCAAACAATACGCGAAGACTCAAATACAAACTATGACAAAATCTTTCTAGGATATAGGTTACCTGAGATGGGCGACCAGAGCCCAAAGGCAAAAAGGACATGGGAAATTTACAACATACTAGGTGAACATGAGGCAAAGATGCAACAACTTGAAGCAGAGGGCAAGTTACCAAAAGCGACACCAAAGAAGAAGAGTAGAACAAAGTGAAAGTAGTGAAGAAGTAACTTCATCTAGTGAAAGTAGTGGCAATGAAGGAAAAAGAAGAGTTAAAAACTCAGTCAGGAAGAAAGTAAAGCTTGGTCCGAAACAATTATGACACATAAATCCAACTATTCTATATTTTTACCCATATGAAATGTACGCCGCTCAGAATATAACGCCAACAGTTTTGGATGCCATGAACGGAAATGTTTCCGAATGGTATAACGAATGCGACAATGCCATTAGAAGGTCAGAAATAGTTCCTGGAACTTACGAATATACAACTGCTGTTTCTTATGGAAACGTAGGTGAGTTTGGAGAAGGTTCTTCAACAACAGTAGATATTGCTTGCGACAGGTTTCATATTATTTCTATTGACAACTCATTCTTATACGTGGAACAAGACATTGAAATAAAACCTTCTGCCAAGTTGTCTGACAAGAAAGGTTGCAATGGAATTTTCTATGTCGGATACCAATATGCTCCAGAAGTTTTCATGGGATATAAGATATATTCTAACTCTGACTTAGTTCAAACAGTAACATGGGCAAACTATGAATGGTTCGCTTTGAGAAACTCAGTACAACCACAAGCTAGAGAACAAACAGACCAGTATGCAACTATTGAGAAAATAAGAAGACTTGACCCTAACGTTCCAGGAGTTTATGTTAACCTTTCTGGTTCAGATGGAACTGCTGCCACTAAAGTAAAACTGAAACTTAGAGTTCCTTTGTCATCTTTCCTCATCTTCAGGTTTTTAAGATACTTGCCAAACTGGGCAGGAAAAATTTCTATCGAACTTACTCCAAGCAAAAATAACTTAGTCATTGCACCAACACAAGACCCATTCACTCTTACAGACGTAAAGGGAACAAATAAAACGTCATTCGCCGAATTTTGCAAAGACAAAGTTGACTTAGACTTTGGTTTCTCAAACTTCAACACTGAAGTAAACTATTATTTCAATGCTGCTGGAGATGCTTGGGACCCAGTTAAGTTCACATGCGAAAAATTTGAATGCAAGAGAATAGAAAGCAGACTTGCAGTCTATATGTTGGACCCAGATATTTCAAATGCTTTAGCTGCCAAATATATTGCAGTTCCACTTATGTTCCCTATACACCAAATATCTGTCAAAGACTTTGCAGGTGAAGTTGGAAACCAAAGTGCTGACCCAGGTGCAAGAACAGATATTGCTTTAACAACTGCAATGAAACATGCAGATACTATGTTTGTACTGTTCAGACGAACTATAAATGACTATTCTTGTTTCTACAACCCTGGTATTAAATATCATATAAACATAGATGGCAAATATTATCCAAGAGAAGAATATTCTACAGTTGAGGATATGAGGTCATACAACTTGACATTAGATGCTATGAACTTTAACAACAACTTCACAACAACCATTAACCCTGAAATGCAAAGTTCTATTATGCCATATGTGAAAGTATGGACTCATACAGGAGGTCAAAAAACTCAATATACAAATGGAGACCGTTCAAACTTTTGGCTTGGCATTCCATTTGCTGACTCAGAAGACTTTATGGGTGGTATTTCAACTGTTGGTACAGTTCAAATACAATATACTGGTGACAGAGACGGTCCAGATGAATTGAAAGCAAAAAGTTTACAAAACCAATAGCACTTTTCACGGAAGATGCTCTTTTGAAGATTCGTTCGATGAAACCTGCTGGGGCTCCTCAGATTGGCATAACGACAGCTTCCATCGAGCAGATTTTGGCAGCAGGTCAGTAAGTTGTTCTGAACTGACTTCTCTCCGTCAAATATTGACAGTACGCCAGTTTTGACATAATATTGTATTATAACTTACCTTTAGAAAATATCTGTAAGTTTTGAAGTTATATTTTTGTCTGCTTCAAGAACTTTCACCATTTCAGTTATACCAACTTTCTTTGCTTATGAAAATATTTTGGTTCAGCAAAGACTGCTATTCTATAACATTTTCCATTGTTTGTGTAAAAACTATCTGTCAATGTATTTGTATTGTTGTGAGTATAAACTTTGTTTTGCTTCAATTCAAGAGATATCCGAATACGTCCATCTTTTATTCTAAGTAAAATGTCATTTCCGAAAAATAAAAGCGTAAGTGTTTCAAAAGGTTTAATGGCGGTGCAGATGTGAAGTTAAATTCACCAACTCAAACAAACAGTCAAAGTGTTATTGTCAATGTCAAAGACAGAGATGTGAAGTGGGGAAACCATACGAAGACGAAATGGTATAACAATTGTTCCTGTAAAAGAACCAACATATCCTGAAGTTAACAGAGACTAAGTTCTGTTGCAGATATTCGAAACGACTACCAACAACTGAAAGACAAACTTCAAACTCAGGAGAAGATTTGTCAAGCTTTAAGTATAATGTTAAACTTGGTCGAACACAACCCTGTAAAAGTGAACTCATATGTCATTGCACCTCATGAAGTTTTGAAAGAACTATTGAAACTTTTGACAGAGGCAGACGATATAAACATCAAAAAATAGAACCCGACATTAGTTGCTGTGGTGTTTCATATAATGTCATTGACAAGATATACGTTATGAAAGGAGGTGAAACGTTGAACTTAAAATATAGTTTCCCAGACTTATAAAAATATTTGACGACACAACATTTCATTAAAATTTATTTGCTAAGTAAATGGCAGAAGACATAATGGTTTATACTATTACGACTAAAAACCCTGAGTCATATAATTCTATAACAACAAACTTACAAAGTCCTCAAGGACGATATTGTAAACTAACCTTAAACACAATAGACGACTAAAGCCTGTTTTGCTCTTTTACACCAGAAGACTTTATTGTTGTGAATGGTAAAAAATACTCCTTTGAAGATACTTACTCAGATATACCACCAACAGGTTTTGTTGACTTATTTAATACTTTAAGTACGGGTGTAACATGTGCTGCAACTAGAGCAGGTTTCATTATGTTTGATGTCCGACTGAGTTACTATAAACAATATGAGCTATAATACAAAACTTTTTTTCTGGTTTTTACTACCAACAGTTTCCTATAACAGGAAAAGGTGTCATACAAGGAATGTCTATTCCATTGACATTAAGCACACCAATCTTATATATTTTTCAAACTTAGGTTCAAAGTGTTATTCGAATGTCGACAGAAACTATTATGACCAAAAGATACTTATGCGTATAAACAATACTTTCTCTGCTGGTTTGCCTATGTTCATTCGAATGCAGAATTTTCAACCTTAGTGAACTCAAACACTTTGGCAAGATAACGTTGACATTAGTTGACGCAAACTTTGTTCCTGTAAAACTTTTATGTCCTATGTATTTGTCAATGACGGCAGAAAGTTTCGAATTGGAAGATGCAACTGGTGAAAGTATTGTATTACAAGAACAACTTCAACAACAAATAGCTCAAGAACAACAAATGCAACAACAAAGTCAAGAATAAAAAAAAATATTTTTTTATTTTTATAAAATTACAGAATAGATGTTTCAGATTTTTATGACTTCCAAGCATTCAGAAATATGTGTCCATTAGAGACTATAACAAAGCAGTCGAGAATTTGAAACGTTTAGTCATTTATGTTGACTCTGCCCAGAATGTTATGTCATGAAAGAATGGGATGTAGTCTTTAACAAACCTAAAGCGACAATAGTTTCAGAACAAGAATGTAGACAGAAACTTAAGAAAATAAAAGTGTACAAGTTGGAATGAAGATGTTAGATGCTTGGATATCTATGTCAAAGTTAGAAGATTTTTCAGTTCGAGGTATAAAGTTCTATACACCTTCTCCAACTTCTATTCTATCTTCACTGGATATAAATACGAACAAGTAGAATGGAAAGAAAATATTATAGAAGCTTGTTAGACCATGTCAAAAGAAATTATATGCAATGGAAACGAAAAGGTTTATGAGTATATTTATGTTGGTTTTGCAAACATCTTACAACATCCAAGTGCTAAAAATGAAACTGCTCTCATTATAATTGGAAAACAAGGAACTGGTAAAGAATACTTTCTTTACAGATATTTTGTGCAAACTGTTAGAAGGTTATTCGAATCCGAATATACAAACTTAGAAAACATCTGTGGCAAGTTTAACTCCTCAATAGAGAATATGAAACTTATAGTTTGCAATGAACTTCAAAGTATAGATACAACAAAAGTTTTGAACTCAGAGCTTTGAAGAGTCTTATAACAGACAAAGTTGGAGTTGTTGAAAGAAAGTATAAAGACCAAAGAGTTTGTGAAAATGTTGCAAACTTCATTATGGTTTCAAACAATGCTGTTCCGATGAAGTTTAGAAAGTTCTGACAGAAGATATGTAGTTGTCAGAACGTCAGATTCTCATATGCAAGAATACAGAATATTTTGACGACTTAGCAGAAAACTTTGACATCTGACTTTTACAACACCTTGTTCTCCATTTTCATGACATTAGATATTTCTAAGTTCAATCCAAGACAAATTCCACATACCGAAGAGAGACAAACATTGTTAGAAGCAAACAAGAGTGTATATGAACTGTTCATAGATGAAACTGACTTTGTGTCATTAGATGAAAGGTCATTGTACGATTCGTATAAACAATATTGTTCAAGAATATGGTTATATGACAGCGTCTAAACGAACATTCTTGGCAAATGTCAAAAGTCTTTTAGATGTTCAGAATGGTGTATATACAAAGAAAAATTTTTCTGAGTAAATTTTAAAAAAAAATTTTTTTTATCCGATAGAAAGATGACAAAATTCATCTCAGTAAACAAGTACATGTCAGGACTTAAAGAAGAACTAGACCCATTCACATATTTGAATGTTTACTTCTAACATTTGAAAAGTCTTCATTCAGCAAAGTTTGAACAATCGAACCAGTTAAGTTTGCTATTGTGACTAAAAATGGTGCGAAATTTGAAGACTTAGACATAGAAGGTTTGTTAACAGTCAAAGAAAGTTTTGACAGAAGGTTCTCAAACCTTAAAGAAGCAAAGCATACAAACTTGTTATACCTTATGAACCAAAAAAGCAGACGACTATGAATATTATGAGTCTAAGATAGTTGAAGTTCAAAGTAAATTGGGTAAAAAAGATTTTAGAGTCTAAGCCAGTGTTTGCCCCTAAAGAGGAAGAGAACATTGACATTGACCCAGAAATGTTCTAAAAATAAAATTTATTTTTACATGTCAAATTTCTTTTTTCTGGAACTGTTCAGGTTCTTTCTTCTCTTCTTCTACTTTCTTTCTTTCTTTTCTTTCTTCTTCTTTCTGGTGGATTATGTCAAATTCTCTCAGAACCATATTTATGTAAAAGTTCTTTGTCCTTTAATAGCTCTTCTATTCTGTTTTCTATTTCATCTTCAAGAACAGCGCATGTGTCTTCTTGCATTCTAAGAAGTTTTGTTGGACTTCATCTCTCCAAGAGGCGTCATCTCTGTCAACAAGTCTGTCATTGACAAATTTTAAGACTGCTCTGCTTAATGTTTTATGGTTCTTGTCATATTCCCAGAAACAGAACTTTAGAACAAATTCACCTTTCTTGTTTACACTATGTAAGATTTTATGGTCGACAGATGTTTTGCTGTCGAAAAGTTTGTCACGGACATAGATAGCGAAATCGCTGGACATTTTCTAAAAGATAAAAATTTTAATTTTTCTAAAAATATGTTAGAAAAAAAGTTTGCTGACATTGACAAGAAATTTGAGAATGTTTTAAATAAGAACAAGAGAAAGTTAGAAAATGCTCAGATAAAGCCTATACATGACAAGTTCTTATTTACTCAGAATGGTATAACAGGTCTAATTGCACCACCTGGGTCGGGTAAGACTTTCACTTATCTTAAAATGGCTGCACAACAACAAGAACTAGA